CACACACACACACACACACACACACACACACACACACACACACACACTTACAAATAATAAAATAAATGGTTTTGTTTAACTGCTTTCAGACTCCATCTCACCCCAGTCAAAAAAAAAAAAAAAAAAAAAAGCTGTCATCGTTACAAATGGCAAATATTGATAATGATATGAGGAAAGTATAACTCTTATCCACTACTCATGTGAATGTATACTGCTACCCTGTCTACAGAAATCACTAGGAGATCTCTCAAAAGCTGACATTAGAACTTCCACATGACCTAGCTATACTACTCTTGAGTACATACCCAAAGCATTCTAGCTCAGCTTACCGCAAAGAGACTTGTAAATTCATCTTTATTATTTAATATTAACAGTAGCTAAGAAATGGAACCAGCATGGGTGTTTCTCAATAGATAAAGAAAATGTGGTATGGGGTATGCATACACAAGGGAATTTTATTCAGCCCATAAAGAGAAAAGGAAATCATGACATTTGCAGGAAAACGGGTTCGACTGGAAATCATTCTTTTAAATAAAATAAGCTAGACTCAGAAACACAAGTAAAGCATATTTTCTCTCCATGTGGAGCTGTGTGTATGTGTCATATACATAGAAATGAAAGCATGGAGGGGAAGAAAAGATCATAAAGAAGCAGGGACTGGGAAGAGAAAAGAAGGGCAATGAAATACATCTGATGGGAAAGCAGGAGGGGTTTCTCATGGTGAGAATGAAGACCACCAGAAAGATGGGCCAGAAGAGAACAGTAAAAGAGGGAAGTGTATCAGAGCAATGTGTCTATGAGAATGCCATAATGGAACCCATTGTATCGAGAACTCATTAAAGGGCTAACAAGTTTTTATAGGGAAAAAATATCACTTAGGAACACAATAAAAAGTCAGTGAAGACTTTAATAATGAGTGCTATGGACATTTTGAAATAAGATAGAAATAGAATAAATAGAAAACACAGAAAAACGCTGATGCTAACTGCTTAAAAGAAAAAAACTAATAATTCCTGTACTATTAGTTAGCCAACCACTCCTGCCACTGAACACTGGTGTGGGCTGTTTCTTACAAGGAAAATAAGGGCCTGACTGGCTCTGCCCCAGGTCCTCTGTGTATGTTATGGCTGTTAGTTTGGTGTTTTAGGAGGACTCCAAACATTCAGAATGGGTGTGTCTTGACTCTTTTGCCTGCTCTTGGGACTCTTTACCTCCTATTTCGTTCCCTTGTGCAGCTTTGGTTTTTGCCTTGTATTTTTTTTTTGTCATGTTTGGTTGTTGTCTCTTGGAGGTCTGCTCTTTTCTGAAGAAAAAAATGGACATGATATGAATCCTGGGAGAAAGGAGGTGGTCCATAGCTAGGAAGAGTGGAAAGAGGGGACTATAGTCAGGATGTATTGTATGACAGAGGAATCTATTTTCAAATCAATAGATGAGTGAGAAAGAGAGAGAGAAAGGGAGAGAGGAAAAGGAAAACAAGTCGATGAAGAAAGAAAAGGAGACCCAAGCCTCTCAGCCTCATGGGCAGCTGGTTTCTGATCCGATATTTGATATTTGATTGTTTAACTACTGATATTTGGTTGTTTAACTACTGCTTTCTAGAAACTGTGTGCAGGATTTTCAGAGCTTTCAGACTGTGCAGGTGCCAAGCCCTGCAGTTCCAATAGGTAAACGACAGGGCGTTTGTGGATAGTCTGGTAGAACTTAGGTAATTCTCTCTCATTTTACCCAGGGCTCCCAAGGACCAGCTGGAGAGCCAGGCATTCAGGTAGGTGGCTTTTCTAAGTTAGTCAACAAAGCAAGTTTAGTTCCCTGATTGCCTAAGATTACTCACAGGTCTGTCCTAAGCAACATTTGCTTTTAATCTTTCGTTTTTTCTAGGGTCCTCGTGGTCTGCCTGGATTGCCAGGAACCCCAGGGACACCAGGGAGTGACGTAAGGGCGTTTCCCCCAACTCCCATCCCACCTCCCTTTTAATCTGCTCTAGCTCACGGAGGTTTGAATAAGATGGATGCCTTTGTTTTTCAGGGTGCTCCAGGGAGAGATGGAAAGCCAGGCCTTCCAGGGCCCCCAGGTGACCCGGTATGTAGACAGGCTTTGCCTTGATGTGTGTATCTTTAATGGACCCAGATGCCAAACAGCCTACCAAGCAACTTTTGCTGTCCGAACTAATTATAATGCTCAGTGACTGCTTGGTGATTGTGTTTATCCCCATTATTTTTTAGAGGGGGAAAAATTTCAAGCTAGGTCAGCATTATTGGGTGTGTGTGTGTGTGTGTGTGTGTGTGTGTGTGTGTGTGTGTGTGATGAATACTTATTTCCTAAGGGTATAATTCAGCTGTACAATTTTTGCCCCAGGCTGAGCCTTTAATGTCTTTGTTCCATGGAAAATTGAGATAAAATAGATAGGCACAATTTCTATTCTTCCTAACGCTAGTAAGTGAATTTCATTTTCTAAATGGAAGTTTGCAGGTAAGCTACCTCCAGTGTGGTGCATGTCCATTGACTGAGTACCTCTGAACAGATGAGATGATTAAATTATGAAAATTGGATTGAAAAATCTCAGAAAATGCATTAAGACACTAACTGTGTGTTACATCATTGTGCTTCAGGTTAAACCTTGCAATGAGTGACAGTAAATCCCTTTAAATAGCCTCATCCCCAACACTTATGTTTTGAGAGGCCGTATGGCACATGGCATTGTATTAAGAGAGCCTTGTATAGTAAAATCCAAATCTGGCCTCATGCTGGGTTTTCACAGATCCTCTTCCCTCCTGCAATGCTTGTGCCTTACAAGCTGTACACAGCAGCATTATCCTGCCTTTCTTTAACACCATCACTGCGTCCTGTGCACGCCACGTCTCAAATCCTGTCAGCTGTCACTCGGGATTACACAGTGTTTCTCTCTGAAAGGACACATTAAGACCTGTGGCCCAAACACAGCCTATGTTCGCCAGGTGTCTGTCATGTCCCTCCAGAGTCTCTTTTGAACTGCTGTTAAGAGCTAACTTTAAGGCAGGCTCAGCCTGCCATCTTCATAGTTCTCAGAAGCGTGGGAATGTACTTGGTCAAGGAGTGATCTCCTTTTAACAAATGCTTGATTTTCATATGTGACTTAAAACCAACAACACGGGGAAAGCATAAAGGTTACTGTGTCATGAAACTACATGGTACAGGTGCATGATAAAGACAATGATCCATATGAGCTTTTCGTGTTCTTGGTAAAGGAACAGTGGATTCTCTCATATTCTGGTTTTGTCAGTACCATGTGTCTGTCAGTTTCATGCCAGGAGACGTAAAGCCAAACCAGTGTGTCTGATGGGTGAGATCAAAGTTCCATGCCCCAAATTTCACGTGGCACATCGCTTTAAGAAAAAAATACATCAGCTTCTATGTTCATAACGTATTGTGTTCACGTACATGCAAATATCCATGGATCTGGTTTCTCTCTCTTTCTCTCTCTCTCTCTCTCTTTTTAACTACAGATCGCACTTCCTCTCTTGGGAGACATCGGTGCCTTGCTGAAGGTATTCTTTTGCTATAAAAAGAAATCTCATGTTGATGTGCAGAAAAGGTTAAAAAGGAACTTCCTACCAAAGATAGAATTAACGGCTCAGCCAAACAATTCAAATTCCAACGTTAGAAAATATTTAAGACAGAAAAGTGCACGTCTTAACCATCACTTGTGGCATTTGTGCCAATCTTCCCTCTTTTGTTTCTGGGTTTCATGTTGTGGATATGGAGACGAGGGCAGGCAGTGCTGAGGTGAAATACAGAAAGGGGTGACATTGTGGAGACCTCTGAGTGGATCCTGCCTTCTCTGAAGCTATAGCTTTCTCTCCCTTGATATTTACCCACCCTGGATCACTGCTGTGAAACATATCTGGCATCCTGTCAGCTCTTGTCAGATTCAAGATGAAAATCAGTGCAGCTAAGCTTACAGATTGAGTTTTTAATATCATAAATTTCACAAAATGAGCTATAAAATTCCAAAGCCAACAATTACCCTAACACCAGTTACACTGTTAAACAAAAATTATCTCTACTGATTATCTAGTCTAAACAGTGCTTTGGGCTAAACATGGTGACACAAAACTGTAATTCCAGCCTTTCAGAGGAATACAAGTTTTAATCCAGCTTTAGCTACTTGGAAACACAAATATACCAGACACACACACACACACACACACACACACACACACAATTTGGCTACTATTTTCCTGCTTAAATATTTTTTATCAGTAAAAATGAGGTAGTGGGTAGGGCTATGTGTTTGTAGTTTCTGTGTAGTCTAGTAAGAGTTGGTAAACCCAAATGAAAATGTAGCCCTTAATTTCACTCTTACATATCCTGTCTATGAATGAACAGAAAGTAAATGTTCATGTGTACCACTCATGCTTACAGGTAATTTCACTTATTCAACTTGTGTTTGTTCTAATGATTTGCCTAATGACTTACAAATAAACATGAATAAATAGTTGTAGCATTGAATCTATTAAAAGACATGGCCTAGTGGACGAATAGGGGAAATTACAGCTTTGAGAAAATATATGTGAATGTAAATATTAATATAAAAACTCTTTAGAAGGGTTATCAGAAACTCCAGAAGAGTAACATCTTTATAAGACAGAATATTTGTGAGGGTCTCAGAGAGCAGTTCTATTTCTATTTTTTAAGTTATAATTTTATGCCAGTAAGTGCAATCTTGCTTATTTCTTTCTTCCCATTTAGTCTTTACCAAAATGTTATAAGCTCAGTGTGCCATTCTCATTCATCGAAGATGCTTGAAGTTCCAAATAGCGACTTAATTTTTCCAGACACATAGCTAATAAGTGTGAGGCTGACACAGGAGAACATGCCCTTAGGTATTCATCCCTGAGACAGTGTAACCACAATGATGTTAGAAAAGGCAAGACTGTAGGAATTGGACACCTGAATGCTTGAAGGATGAGAAATGTATACACTTAACCAGAACTGAATGTTCTGACAGGATATGGGATGGCTCACAGAACAGACAGAAGAGAACCAGGCCTCCAGGGGTCCCCAGAATGTGAGGAACTGAGAGGCTAGCCTTCTCTGACACATAACACTCTTTTCTAGTCTCAGAATCATCTCAGTAAGGTGTTGGGTCACAAAAGAGCAACTGGTAGATTGAAGGCAGGAAAGCTTGACAAGTGACCCCACTACGCTTTAGTCAGCAGAAGAAGAGGGAAACAAGTAGTTACCACCCAAAATCTAACTTCAAGAATTTGGTTTAGGGATTGACCTATGAATGCAGTTTAATGACGTGATGTTAAATCCTGACACTTAAGCAGCTAACTTAAGCTCCATGCCTTGAGTCATTAACAAGGTGTTACTGCTTTCTGTTTCCTAAGATGCTTTAAGTTAGAGTGTTGAGAACTAAAACCGAACCCTCCCTCCCAGCCTCTGTGAATCAGACTGTGCATTGGCTACTGATTAATGCATCTTAAGCATTTCTGTAAAATAATAGTCTTTTTTTTTCAAGTAGTTTTATTAAAATCAGTTTCCCTTGATTTAACATTCTGCTAATCTAATCAAAAAAAGAAAAAAAAAATAGACCAATGTCAAATGAATCTAAGAAGTTTCTGTTGAGTTATAAAAACTATCAGCTTTCATATTTTACTAAAATCATCAGTGGAATCATCTCATCTATCTGAGAATGTTTCCAAAATCAGTTTTCTAAGGTTTTGTTTCATGCTGCTAAAATATATGTATAGGTCTATAGGCATAATTCATCTTTTTCATACATTTTGAAATATAAAAACTTTCCCAGTTTTCTTAATCCCCACCTTCCCCATCCCTGCATGGTGCTTCAAAAGTTTTATGTGTGTTTTTTAATTCTTCTATCAATTCGACAGTCCCATGGAATGACCTAGGTGGTAAAATTGTGTGATCGTCAATATATATGATTCTGGTATCTTTTTACATATTTGGACCCTAGAAAGGACCATTGAAGAATTTAATCCAGCATTCCTGAGGCTAACTATCTCTGAACCTTCTTGACATCACATATAGTTATGTTCCAAGGAATATATAAATATCTGGGAACCAGATAGTTATTGGGCCAAAAACATGGTTATGAAAAGCTTTAGTTTTTCTTGCCAACTTTTTATCAGTGGCAAGTCTCCATTCCTTTTTCTGCTCAAGGATTCTTCCCATTATTGAAGACATTGACATGAGAAGCGTCTTCTGTCCTACCCTGTCAACTCTCCCCTCCGCCATTGGTCCTTAGTCTTCGTCTTTCCTGACCATATTTTTATTCCAAGGTTTTATTTTCAAATAAGCTTTTCACAGACCTTTTCCCTAGCTATGTGATTAAGTAAGTAAACGTAGCAAGAATAGTGGGTGGCAAATTTTTGACTAAAAGGGATGGTAGAAAAACAGAACGAATACATGTTATTATTAGTGTGTGTGTGTGTGTGTGTGTGTGTGTGTGTGTGTGTGCACGCACACACACTCCAATCACTACAGTGTTTTGGTTCTAGAATAGTCTGTTTCATTTGTTCTTCTCTATACCAGCCTCATACATAATATATTGTCAGTATAAATGTTTGTTGACTCAATTCATGAACAACTGGCTGCAGGAATGAATGACACATCCATTTTTTCATCTTTGGATTATCTGAGGAACATACATACTTAGTCTCTCGAGCCTCTGTAGATCACCTGAAGATTGTGGTTGAGTGGAATGATGACGCCACTCAGGTTTCTCTCCTCTTGGGTCTGACCCTGGGCCAAGTCCAAGGCCCTCAACTTCCTGTTTTTCCCAAGGAGGCCTCCCCTGGAAAATGTTAGCAGAGCCAGTGGTAGGCCCCCAACTCTTTCGGCTTCCAAATCAAAAAATTTTCTTCCTCATCTTTTTTCTACTTGTATTTCCATGACTCGGGCTATTGGTTTGATATACTATACTAAACAAGGTTAAATATATTATTTAATCTTACTGCTTAATCCAAACTTTAATACGGCTTCCCTTCCCAAGCATGCTAAAAAAAGAAAAAATTAAAACTCAGATTGTATTCTTGAATTACATTCCTGGCCCCCACCATTTATATGTGATTTTTCTTTGAAATGGTGTCAGAGATGTTTTCATTTTTAAGTAAAAGTTCACCAGTATCGTAAACCAAGATTACTGATTAGGTTTATCAAAGTTTTTACCTCAAAGAAGTCACCTTTCAAATTGGACAGACAAGTCTCTCAAAGTAGAGTGGCCTCACAATAGCCCATTTGACGAGGGTTCAGACAGTTCAAACCTTAGCTTCATAATCGGGTTTTACGAACCTCTCAGTAAAGCTGTCTTTATACTCGCTAGAACTTCTGTGGCAACTGTCAAGCCAATGTCCCCGGGCTGAAGAGCAACAAAGGGGATGACGGAGGCACAGGGGAGCCTGGAAAATATGACTCTGCGGCCAGGAAGGTGAGAGGCTTGCTGCATGCCTGTGATCTGGCTACAGTGCACCTACCGAGTGCGCTCCGGCAGCTCTGTTATTCCTCTGTCTTCTAGAGCGATGTAGGGCCACGGGGTCCTCCAGGAGTTCCCGGCAGAGAGGGCCTGAAGGTAAGAAAGTCCCCTGTGAGATTTTCAGCTATGTGAAAACTAGAGAATCCCATTTTTAAAAGGCCTTCCTCCTCTGAAGGCCGTTTGCAAATGCTGCCATTGGTTTATTCCCTGAGCCTAGCCAAATAACATGTCCCCGTTGTTCTGATAAGTGTGTGTGTGGGGGGGGGGGGGAGGTCTTTTTCTGTTGTTCGAATGACACTGAAATGGTCCAGTATTTAGCTGAAGTCGCTGTCTTTTCAGGGAAGCAAAGGAGAGCGCGGCTACCCTGGAATTCCTGGGGAGAAAGGCGATGAGGTAAGAAAGAGATTCTTCTGACAGTGGTCAGCTGTTGCTTCTCTCTGCTTGAGGCTGAGTTCCCCGTGGTGCGTGTTTAACCCCAAGACCATTCAAAACCAAGAGTAGGTAGATGTTTTACCAAGAGTAGGTAGATGTTTTAAAATAATGCGACTTAGTAAATGTGGATGCATATTTGTCTCCAGTGGTCCAGAGGTGGAAACACAAAATTAAGGCTAATAATTACTCCGTAAGTTTTAAGTTATGGCGTTTCTGTTTTCAGCTGATCGCCATCCTAGCTCTAGCAAGAAAAGAAAGAGGAAGTATGGACTCACAGAAAGAAAACTCAGGGCAGCCAAGAAATCAAAATAATGTGTGAACAAGTGTAAGGATAAGTGCAGCTCCAGAGCCCAGCTGAGAGCCAGGGCGGGGAGGGGGAAAACTCTGTACCATGATTCAGCTTTAACAACTTTGGTTTCTATATGTCTCTGCCCAGCTTCCAAACACTTATCTAAACCAGGCCAAGGATCTGGGCAGACTGGTTTAGGTCATCCACTCACCCCAGGACCATGTACCTATCTCATACGTGCTTTTGAGATAATGGTGTAATTTTCTGATACTGTAAGGCATAGGGATGCTCAGGATATCATTCTTGCCCTGCATAATTCACATTAACTCTTAGAAAAACCAATTAGGATGATGAATTGCTGTTAGTTTAAACAGTTTTGGTGCTAATAGTTCTTAATGAAAGTAAGAAAGCCATCTGGCATATATTAACCTTGATGGTAGTACGGAAAATTATGATGCTATAAAATAGATCTATTTTCCTGGTTAGAACTGTATTTCACATTACAAGCTATCATCATTTATTATTGTTGTTATTGATATTCATTGTGTTCTAGAAACCTTTAAGATTGTCTTGAGATTGTTTCAGTGTTAAAAATTAAAGAATAGGAAATACAGCATTTGTTTTCATTTATAAATAAAATATTAAAGGCATTTTGTTTTGAAAACAAGTAAGAATTAATGAGCTTTTGCTCCCAGAGTTCCACAGAAGGTTTCAGTAAAGTATAACCACAATAATGGTTTTTAACAGGCAGGCGGGTTTTAACTGCCTAGATTCAAGAGGTGGGCTTTAGAGGCAATTGAGAAGGTAATAAAAAGAGAGAGAGAGAGAGAGAGAGGTTGAGAAATAATTGGATTTGGGCTTTTTATAAGTGACTGTTAAATTCACTAGAAGTTAATTTTTATTGATTCTGTGGGGGTATTTTGCCGCCCTGCTGAGCGGAACCCATTGTTAATATTCCTCGATATTTAGTGTGTCCTTTCTTAGGTTCGCTTCATGCACTCTTTGACATAGGTCACACAGAATTCTGCAGAAGACTCAATGGAGTTCAGGAGGCTCTCTTTCCTTGTTCTCCACAGTATAAGCATAGCATGAATAAACCCGGCCCAATATGCCCACGTCGTCCAGCCATTAGAAAGGAATAAGGCAGCACACCTTTTCTCTGTCATGCAGATCAGTAACAGCAAGCGACTGCATCATCTGCTTGGACTCAGGGACTACCTTAGTTACATACCTCATTGGTGTGTTTAAGTGAATAAAATATTAGCCAACCATATGTACATTTCCAGATGGCCAACGGACTATACTATGATAACATACATGCATTGTCTCTAATGTTACAAAACAAAAGACCTCTGTCCTTCATTCAGTGAGACAGGCACAGATGGAAGCTCATAACTTTTGGAGATCTAATTTTAGGTTCATCGATTTAATGTAATACATTAGAGGAATCACCATTTGTTGGTCTTCAAAAATGGCATCCTCTCCAGGTTCTTTACATGTTACTAACAGAGCTCAGATCCCATCCTTCCCAGGCAGAGAAAATTCTTTTTTGACTATATGTCTTCATATAATAATTTATGATAATAAATGACACACAAGACATGAAAATATCATTAGTCATAAAGGACAGAAATGACAGCTGAATACCTGTGCAATAGACTTTAATTTGTGTTTGAATCTGGCCCTATGTACTAACCCTGACTGTCTTGGTCTTGAATGTCTGTCTTTTTTAATAGCCATCCTGTCTTATAAAATCATCTTATCACCCGTTAGGCCTCCATAGCAGCTTTCACTCTTATTAAAAAATTTCATGTAGCTGAGAGTAAGGCTGCTGAGAATGACGGATTTTGACTTATGTAGTGGTTTTTATTTTAAAACTTAATGCGGTGGTCAAAGGTTAACGAGTCCCATGCTTACAAATTAGACAACCTAAAAACTCGCTCAGCATCTCTAGGCTAACTCAGAGTTGAGAGTTAAAGTGGCAAAGAGAGGAATATATATGCGTGTGCATGTCTGACAGGGCTATGTAGGAAAAGCTATGGAAATGAAAATGTTTTACGATAAAGAAATTTATGATACATACGGGTAAGCTTCAGTCATTGACACGTACCATTCCCAGTGGGAAAGTTTTCTTTCCACTTACAAAATTATAAATTTGTTCATAAACTCGTAAAGGTTTATAAATTTGCTTACAAACTCATTTTCACAGGAAAATGAAAAGCGGTAGTCTGTCATTCGTGTGTGAGTGGTCCCCGCATGCACATGTGTGGAAATGTGCACACAGCAACCAACGAAGGATGACAAGATCTTGAAGAAACAAATGGCCACATCCTTTAATACAGATATGCACACAAGATTTTACCTGAAACTTATTACATGAGGCATTTCAGCTCACTCAAGGAGATTTTCTTTTCAGTATTTCTTCATATCATACCTGTCTTAGTTACTTTTTTATTGCTATGAAGAGATGCCGTGACCAAAGCAGCTTATAAGGGAAAGAACATAATTGGGGCTGGCTTAATGCTTCAGAGGTTTAGCCCATAATCATCACATGGGCAGCGTGGTGGCAGGCAGGCATGGTGCTGGAGCCGTAGCTCAGAGCCCACCTCCACAAGCACAAGGCAGAGAGCGAGGGAGTCTGCGCCTGGGGTGTGCTTTTGATACCTCAAAGTCCACCCCCAGGGATACACCTCCTCCAACAAGGCCAAACCTCCTAATCCTTCCAAATAAGTTCCACCACACACCAGCTAGGGACCAAGCATTCAAGTATAGGAGCCGACTGATGCCCTCCTCACTCAAACTACAACAGTCTCTCATGGAGAAACCTGAAGTAACCTATGATCTCATTTTGTTTTGGACAAACTGAGCTTGTTCTTAAGCCTGTTGGTGCGAAGAACTTTGATCCAACTCAGTCATGTTGACATCCCATGAATAAATGAAGTCATTTTACCATAATCACTTTAACTGGTATTTATAATGGGTATAAAATCTATCATTTAAGAACAATAGAAGAACAAGTTCTATTATAACAAACAATATTAAGGTTGCATAAAAAAGGTGCAGACAGTCCTGATGAGACCTGATAGGCTAGGATCAGATAAAAGGGGAGGAGGACCTCTCCTATCAGTGGACTAGGGGAGGGGCATAGGGGGAGAAAAGGGAAGAAGGGTGAAACTGGGAGGAGACTCCGGAGGGGGCTACAGCTGGGATACAAAGTGGATAAATTGTAATATATAATAAATAAAGATTTTTTTAAAAAAGAATACTTTATTCAGTAAAGGAGATTAAATCTTGAAAGATTAAATGGTACCTTTCAGTCCAGAACTAGGGTCTTCTTTTTTGTTTGTTTGTTGCTTACTTGACTGGTTAATATTCACACTGCTGGATATCAAGGCCTAAACTTTATGCCTGCTAGTCAATGCGGCATCACAGAGCTACAACCCCAACCCTTCCGTCTAGAACCTGATGCATTTCATGTGAATCTGAAATGACAAAAGGGTGATTAGCTTTTTTTCCTCTGGTTAAGAAAAGATCTAAACATCTTACATAAAAATTGGTGAACACACAAAACAATAAAAACCTAAAACTTATGTCTGTTCCCACAACACACGGAGGTAGTAATGGTGATGCTTTGTATGGTCCACAATCCAAACCCCAGAAAGCCTCAGAAAATGCTGGAAAACTCACTGGGGTTGGCAATAAATTCACCTAACAGCAATATCTGACACCAACTCACACAGGCTTGGCCTGCTTCCCCCCGACCCCGTCAGAACATCCCGCTCTGCTCCGGAAGTATTTATTTATGTGTTATTAGAAAAAGCTGCTGCAGACACCAGAGGGTTTGCTGCACACCGCTCACAATGGAAGCAGTTACCTGTATGAGAGAAAAAAAAAATCAGAAAATCCAGAATTCTGAAACAACCATGACCATAAATTTTCAAAGTTAAAAAAAAAAATGATCTTTTTTTGTGTCCTGATGAAAATAAAAACTCATTCTTACATTTTAAAAATGTATTGCTGTCTAAAATTTTAGTTTCTATGCTGTGTTTGTGGCTTCTACTTTTCTATGTTATCCAATTGTTTTCTAAGTAGTGATTTAGTAGTTATAAAATTTCCATGTTGTGGAGTTTATGGAAGTTATGCAGCTAATACTCTATAGCGTTGTCTCAGTTAGGGTTACGTTGCTGTGAAGAGACACCATGACCAAGGCAACTCTTATAAAGAAAAACCTTTAACTGGGGCTGACTTACAGATTCAGAGGTTTAGTCCATTATCATCATGGTGGGAAGCAGGCAGACATGGTGCTGGAGAAGGAGCTGAGAGTTGTACATCTTGATCCACAGACAGCAGAAGGAGGCTGTGTGCCACGCTGTGTATAGCTTGAGCATATGTGACCTCAAAGCCCATCAACAAGGCCACACCTTCTGGTAGTGCCACTCAGCACGGCCAAGCATTCAAACACAGATTTAAACCACCACAGTGGTGCACCTGGCAAAGGAATAAAACTGCCTTACAAATTTATTCCCAAGTACAAGTAAATGTGCCAAGATTCTCATTCCTACACATTCAATTGTTATTATCCTGCCAATCCAAAGACAGGGGCTGGTGAAAAGACCTTAACCTTATGCTTGAATCATAATTTTATGGTTTTTCTTATAATGAACTGAGTAATTTTTCTTATGATGCACTGAACAGATAAACCAAATACATCATAAAAATCTTTTCTACTTTATCAGTGGCTAAATGACGCCGCTGGCATTATACCAACCCAAAGCCCATATTTCCGTGCTTTGGGAGTGTACATTCTCAGTGACGCTACCACTAGTTGGCGGATAGAGGGGATGGAAGATCAGAAATGCTCTGTGAATCACCGAACAGATTAAATTTCCTTTGTTACAGACTCCCTGCCATGGCATTTTCGCTTACCACCTTTACTCTTTGAAGTGGCTATTTAGGGACCTGGGAGATGTCTCAGTGATTAACAGCACTTTCTATTCTACAGAAGTCCAGGGTTCAATTACCAGCCCCCAAATGGGGCTCACAACTATCTGTAACTCCAGTTCCAATGTGCTCTTCTGGCCTCTGTAGGGACCAGGCACACACAACTGATACCCAGACATGTGTGCGGCAAATAGCCATGCGGATAAAATCTTTTGAATTAAGTAGATATTTATAGGTCGTATATATCAAAATTTTTGATTAGTTAATTTCTATGTTTAATTTTCAGTAATAACAATTTCTAATTTCAAAAATGATTTGTTCCCTATAATAATTTTTATGATGGAAACTGTTTTTTTTTCTAGGGTCTTCAAGGAATTCCTGGTCTCTCGGGAGCTCCTGGCCCAACTGGACCTCCTGTAAGTATTTGTTAAGGCTATTCAGGGGTCATATCTGTAGGAATGATACAAAGTGTATTATTGTTCCTGGTATCGTTCATGCTCTGTATCTCTATGTAGATTAACCATTGCCTACAAAAGTAGTCTCTTCCAGTGCCTCCAACTTTCATCTAACATTAGTTAAGACTGCTCAGTGTCCTAGAGACTTTTTGTCAGAATTTTTGCCAAGCCAAATAGCAGCCTCTCACTCTGTTAGAAACAGAAATTAGATACGAAAGTGAATTCTCTCCTTGTCTATAAGTTTTGCTACTAACCTTGGAAGAGGTTTAGCTTGCAATACAAGCTGAGAGTTTTCTAAAGAAAAATAAGAGGCCAAAGATTATCAGCTTTAATTTGTTTTATTCCTATATGTGAATTTTTTTAAAAAATCTGTTTTGCTGCCCCCTGAACACAGCAATATGGCCTTTGGGGGGTTATCTTGTTTTCCTGGAACAGAATCTGTTTTCATTCCCAATCTGCCAAACCCAATCTCTTATTTAGAGTTTAATTCTAAGCAGTCCTAAAGTTCAATTGCCAGATAAAAGACGGGACACACAATCACACTTGAGTTTCAGACCAGCAAATAATGTTTGTAAGTTTGCCCCAAATAATGCACTTTCCTTGCCAAATCAACTCTACTCAGTTGATGTCACAACTCCTCTATCTCTTAAATTTCTCATGCCAGTAAAGTATTTCTATCTTCAAATAAGATTGTGATTATTCCTAAATGTATTGAATCACGGGTTTGCCATAATTAAAAGTTTATCGCTTATGCTTGCACCTCGGTATATCAAACAAACCTATATAGTAAAACTTAAAATTATGAAAGAGAACCATGAAAGAACCTCAAAATTGCTGCTAACTCTATTCTCAAAGAGGAGTTAAAATTAACTTTTGTTTTCCTTTTTATAATGCAGATCACATAACTCAATATGCACATTGTTCATTCTACCCAGTGTTAGGGTATTTAAAATGTTGACCGCTGCTACCGAAATTATACTTTATTTAGAAAGACATAATGTTATGTAAATTGCCATTTAAACAGCAAGGCTAAATTCTTAAGTGTATCAAAAGGCTCCAATTAAGGTCATTAAATGTGGTTAGCCAAGGTGAAAAAAAAAAAAAAACTTACACACAGATAGAAATTTTACCCTTCCAGGGGCTTATCAGGAGAACACAGCTACTGTATCAGCCTGAAGAAATAGTAGCTTGAGGAACTGATTTAATTAGGATCAACTAACCTTTGTAGTGGGTTTTAGCGACCACCTTCCAACCCCTTTTGACCATTGATTTGTTGCTTCTATAACAAATTCATCTTCCCATTTTACAGGGCTTAACAGGAAGAACTGGACACCCCGGTCCCACTGGACCAAAAGGTGACAAGGTACAGAGGAACATGGGGCTTGGGTTAGGGATAAGGTGGGACCTTTTACTGAGAGATCCAAGCAACCAAGCACAGCCTACAAGAACAGATGATGTCAGGAAGTGGCTGTTCGTGAGGCGAACTGGCAAAGATACTGGTCTAAAAGTGGGTTCAAACACACCTCCTGTGTTCAAGTAAGATGAGAACACTGGCCTGGAGACAGAAAATCCAAACTAGATTCGGAGGCTTTGTGTGGAAGGATGGCAGGTCCAAGCCTCCTAAAGGGTTAAATAAAGGTAAGTTGCGCTGTATTGTTTAAAAGTAAGCAGCTGAGGCTGAGTCTTGGCGTCTTTGGGCTTTGTAACAAAGTAGCATAAACTGGCTCTAAGGAGCTGTAAGTTTGGGGAAGGAGCACCCAAACGTTTTGAACAAGCTCCCTGGGTCAGATGATGCCGTGTTGGCAGTCAAGACATGGGACAATAAACAACTGTCTCACGAAGGGCTTGTAAGAGAATCTGGGAAAGTGTCCCTAGGAGGCCTTAGAGGGAATTGAACATGCTCCGTGGGAAAAAGAAGGTGTCAGTTACTTTAGTTGCTATGTCAAACTATCCGAGAAAGCAGCCAAAGCTAGGAAGGTTTATTCGGGGTTACAGTTCGTGGCGGTGGTGGAAACAGAAGCTTGAGATCTTGAGGTCACAGCGCATGTGCAGACAAGAAGCAGAGAGGGACAAATGCCGGTGTCCGGTCTCTTCCTCCGCTGGGACTCCAGCTAGTGCCTCAATGATGTCCATAGTCGGGGTGGCTCTTCCCCCATCTACTCAACTTTTCTGGAAACACACCCAGAGGTGTGTGTTTCCATGGTAATTCTAAATCAGCAGTCCAATCAGCAGTGAGATATTGCCTGTCACAGCTCACAGCTGGATGTATGCGGTAGGATTGGGACGAAAAGACCAGCAGCAGAGGAACGTCAAGCTGTCCCGGTTTAAGATCTGAGGTGGCACTGCAGCGACAGTCCAGGCAGAGCCAACGAGTGGGTGAAACAGTTAAAAGTATTCAGATTAAGGAAACGAGTGCCAAGGAGCCACATAAGCTACTTAAGTGTCTCCCGCACGCTTGCCAGGATGCCAGCTCCCTGAGCAAAATGGAGCATGCTGGTGTCAAAGAGCAAAACCAGTCCCCACAACACTTAAGCGAAACAATGCACTTGTTCTAGAGAGCCTCAGCGCATTTTATCCTGTTAACATCTTAAGAATCTTTCTCTGCTCCATCAGCCTTTTTTTTTTTTTTTTTCTCTGTTCTCTATGAAAATTATTCAGCCCTGGACTGGCCTTTGAAGTTAATAAGATTCCATACTGAAATTGTGCTTGAGGGCACAAAAGAGAATAAGACTATGACTTCTAATTGTGCCGGGGGGGGGGGGGGGGAGGAAGTATTCTCAATAAGCACATACTGGTTGTTGACTCATGAGAACTACTCTGACGGAAATTGCCGGCAGTCAGTGGAGGGTGTCTTAGGGAGACAGCGACCATCAAAGCCACTTGGGGAAAGATACAACATGCTTGCTGAATGTATGTATTCTCAAGCAGTGCATTGTGGAAGAAATGTTAGTTTATTGGTATTGATAAATATATGGCTTGTGACGTTTTCCTTCGTTAGTAGAGAACAGATGGGTACTGAAACAGTCTTCAGTCAAATTCCGGAAGAGGACTAACACCCCTCCAAATTCTTGAACATTGTATATGCTCTGTCACGTGTCATCACTGTCCCTGATAAACATGACTAAGAATAAAGATACCGTTCTAAAAAGCAGCACACAGGCATAGGGACAACTGGCAAAAAGCCAAAGGGGCTTCGGCAATTACTTACTATGGACTGATAAGTATTCTGTGCTTTGCAAAAGTCTTTTTTTGAGTCTTAGTTCAAAAATTACAGAATAGATATTAATTATAGTAAGCAATTCCTTTGGTGCCCTTTGGCTTTCAATTTGTCTCCTATAAGCAGAAGTCTAAGGCTATTTAAGTTGTGTAGACTATTTCCCTTCAACAGGGTCATGCCAAAGTTGGTTCTGCTCAGTAAAACACACCCTACCTGGTTGTTGAGTTTGACATTAAGCAATCGATATGACACAGGTTCGTGATTTCATACTTTGGTTAAATTTACCATAATGGTCTCTGTAAGTTCTAAAAAGCTCAAGGTGGTGGAGGTGAAGCCAAGAATGAGGGCAAATCCAGAGAACCACAGTCTCAAAGCCTACTATCTGTTCACATGAACTCTACCCCATACCCCATGCACACATAGGAAAGAAAAATCCCCCACATGTACTTGAAGCCCACGACAGGTTGCCTAGCTGGTCCATCCTCAGGGAAATTAAGTGTCATTCTCTAGAGTTCACACAGAGAGAATCCAGACGGGCTTGAAAAGTCTACTGGACTTGAAAGTGTCCGCTTTCCTGGGATAAATGTGTTTTTTTGGGTCAAGCTCAGCAGAATAAGACTGCAGTGCTGAAGCAAAATGACAGGCCACAGTGACTTCAAAAGACGGCTCTTTGAACAGCCTGGAGTGGAAATGGCCAAGCCCTTCATTCAGCCTTGCGTATCTCTTGCAGGGAAGCGAGGGGCCCCCTGGGAAACCTGGACCTCCTGGACCCCCTGTGAGTTGTTTGAGGCTTACATTTTAATTCCGTATACTTGTGACTCATAGGTCAATTACTTAGATGCTTGCAATGACGTCTTCTGTTTTATAAGTGCTCCTGTGAGCACATGGGGGTATGTGTGTGTGTGTGTGTGTGTGTGTGTGTGTATCTGTGTGTGTGTGTCTGTGTGTGTGTAAGTGGCAGGCAATACAGCATCAGGTAGACCTAACTTGTCCCTGTTTCAGCTCAGCTACAATCTGCAGTGTTTAGATTTGTCTGCATATGATAAACTTCCCTTCCACGAGTCGGGATGCCTGAACGCATGCTGGCGTGACTCTCCACTTCCGACTAAGGGCGGAGAATCATTTGACTGCCACACACCTTCACAGAAAATAAAAGCCTTTAAAAAGGCCTTCTTTCCAGCCGTGCAGCCTGGTTTTTCAAAGGTGTTATTGTGCTCACCCTATAAGTGATGTCTAAGATATGAGGAAATTCTGCTTCCGTGGCACACGGTGAGAAAAATGAACAAGAGCCCTGAATGTCTGCCCTGGTGATCTACATCGACCTGCACTCTTTCAGAGAGGCTGTGGAGAAAAGAAGGGCCTCTCTCTGTGGCAAGTCTGCCCTCGTGTGGGCCCATGTTCAAATCGCAGCAGAGCTGAGGTCTACATACATTATTTTTCAAGTTGCCTCTTAGGGGTTTAAAAAGCCAAAGTTAGCAGAGAAAAGACAGGTTTCTGAAGACTGGAGGGCATGCTACAAGTCTGTGTTGTTGTTGTTTTTTTTTTCTTTTTTATTTTTATTGTTTATTTTTATTAGTTACATTTTATTAACTCTGTATCCCAGCTGTATCCTGCTCCCTTATTCCCTCCCAATTCCACCCTCTCTCCCTCAGCTTCTTCCTGCCCCTTTCCAAGTCCACGGATTGGGGAGGTCCTCCTCCCCTTTCGTCTGGCCCTGTTTTATCAGGTATCTTCAGGGCTGGCTGCAACTGCTTGGGTCTCTGTCTTCTTAAGCGTGTTCTTCATCTGATTCTTCCTTCCTTCACAAAGAAGACAGGAAACTCAGAGTTCAGATTCTAAGACATCACCTCTCCTTAGTGGGGAGGGGGGGAACATGTCATGAGACCATGAAAGATGCCTGTGTTTTTATATAAGGCTCAAGAAAGCTGCCTCTTGTCTCTGGATTCTTCAAAACTATTTTTTTTTAAAAAAAAGATTATAAAAAAATAAAATAAAATAAAAATTTTTTAAAAAAAAGAAAGATTATACATCTTCCCTGGGAAGCCTTCTTAAAGGTCTCTTCCATCTCTTCCAGGCTAAGTATACTAAAATATAGCCCATGTTCAGTTATTGCTAAATGAATGAAGAAACAATGAAAGAATAAACAGACAGAGCACTTTCTTCTAATACTGCTGTTTTGAAAATGCGTGTGAACTGTGCTGTCTGGGCATGGCTGCTCCCACAATTAGCCCCAAGCAGTAAAGAAATGATGGCTTTACTCAGTTTACAAAAAATAAAAATGAAAATACACACTTGTCCATTTATTCTAAGAGTCTGCTATCCTTTCTAAGTGTTTTCAAATTGAATGTTTCATGAGCATATTTCCCAAATACTAATATGGATGGAAATTTTCAAATTGCACAATGAGTTCTCTTTTTATGCTCCATATTTATATATCAGGGTTTTGGGGGGGTTGGTTTTTTGTTTTTTTGAGCAAGTTCTTGGTCCCCAGCTATTAAAGATGGCTTTTTTTAGAACCATCCACACAGTGTGTTGTGAATGAAGTTGTCCTCCAGTTCACCTTAATTTTCTGTTTGGTTTGAAAAGACTATGGGAAAACATCACTTTGCAGTACCCAAATTGTTCCCTATTCACATCACCCCTACTGCGAGGCTGCCTGCAGGTCCGCAGGCTGAAAACACGGTAAATTGGGCATTCAGAAACTGAATTTTAATGAGCAAATAACATTTTTTCATCTGAATGCGTCAGTGCCTCATCTGCCAGACTTGTACACTACTCAAACCCCAAATGGAAGCATCCATGTGCCCCGGGCATGTCTGAGCTCCTTCTTCCCTGATTTCCCAGGCTGTTTTGAAATGTTGCAACATTCCAGTATTTTGTTTATGGTATTAAAGTCACTTTAAATACAATGGGAAAAATAAGTAAAAGTTAACATAGGATAACATTTGGTAAAATGACTGAAGTTCAAAATGCTAATTTTGTGTCTCATTTTTCCCCTCAAGGGAGTCCCACTCAATGAAGGAAATGGCATGAGCAGTTTATATAAAATCCAGGTATCTACACGGCTAATTCCCTACCATCATTTTTCAGTTACCGGCTTTTATGGATTTTTATCACCTGTTTTCTCTTCTTTTGAAGGGAGGAGTGAATGTTCCCAGTTACCCAGGACCCCCGGGGCCCCCAGTAAGTATAGACGGTCATCTGTAAATGACTTTAGCCGGACCACAATAATGATCAGGGTAGGGGACCTCTCTCAAGCTCACTGAAAACTGAAAGTCACAACTGTAGCCAAATTTTACAAAGAGTAAATAAATGAACCCGGTTTAAGTAAAAGAGAAAATGCACAAAGCCTCAATCGTGGAAAATATTTAGCATGGCAGTATCACTTTTTTTTTCATTGTCAACCTTAGTTCTAAGCTGTTATCCAGCCATGTTCATAGAAACAGCACCAGTTGAAAGAAACAGTTGTTTCTTTCAAGTGATTTTATTTTAATGGTGTGGGTAGGGGTACGTGCATGGGATATACATATAATGCCTGGAGGGACCAGGAAAGAATGCTGGAGTCCCTGGAGCTAGAGTTACAGGTGGCCATAAATCCCCGTCACCAGTGCCGGAGCCTGAACTTGGTCCTTGGAAGAGCACGATGTGCTGGTAACCACTGAGACACCTCTCCAGACCCCAAATTACGTTTCTTAATTTTATTCTTCAAATCTAAACTTCAGTGAAAAAGAAAACACGTACCATCCCTACACTCATTAGTGAGCATTTAAAGAAAAATGTTTCGGGTTCTATAACTGCGCTTTAATCATAATTAAAAATGTTTCTGTGCTTTTCTTCCAGGGCCCCAAAGGTGATCCTGGCCCACTGGTACGTACATTCTGACCTCTGTAGTCTGTGTTAACTAGAAAGGACAGCAGGCAAAGAAGGCCCGCCCTCTTAAGTGTGTATCAGCTAAGGTGTCAGAGACAAGCAAACAAATAAAGAAATGCTAGCAAATGTGTTCCTTATTTTCAGGATGCATTAGTCTTGATTCTGTCCCTGCCCTTGAGGTTCGACACTTTCCATCAGCGTGTTTTAAAAATCATCCTCTGATGTAGGAAGGCACATATAATGCTCCTGATAAATGGAACACTTCCCTCTAATGGCCTTCTTTGGATGACTGATTCAATTTTAAGTAGCCTGTGGAAGAGAAATACTTAAGGGAGAGAAATTCCTTAACACGTCTGACATCTCACCAAGAAAAAAAGGGGAAATGACTGTTTATTTACTTTGCATGTCTTGGGCAATTATTCTGCGGAGAGCGCAGCCTGTCCTAAACCTGCTTATTGAGCGGAATATATCAGGAGGTTAACACTCAGCGAGGAAGGAGATCAGGTCCTCCAGCCGCCCGGAGGGTGATAATTGTTCTCAGCATCTTTCTCAGCCACAGAGTGTCACTACAAAAGTTCTGCCAAATTCAATTAGATTCCCTCTAACCTTTGGCATATTTTTTCCGGCCACGTCCTTTCTGAGCATTCGTTCCACCCTTCATGTTCCATTTGTACATCCTTTTAACCTTCGAGGAAAGAATTGAGACCTGAATGTGCCTAACACTGAAATAAGCTTTCAAACCACTTTCTTTCACTAGGTGAAAAAAAAAAAAAGAAAAGAAAAGAAAAGAAAAGAAAAGAAAAGAAAAAAAAAGTCTTTTTATTGCAGTAGAAGTTGGCAAAAAACTGTCTGAGTAAATGTTAAGCCAGAAAAGAGACAAAATGTGAAAAGTAACATTTCAAAAGAGATTTATCAAAGAATAAGTTATTATCTTTGTTAATGGGCAACATGTACTAAATGTCTACTTGATTTACCCTAAAATGATTATTCCAAGTGCTTAGTATTATATTCTGAAACCCAAATGTGTTACATAGAAGTTTCTTTCCTTGCTGGAGAGTTGGCTCAGAGGTTAAGAGCAGTGCTTGCTCTTCCTAAAGGTCCTGAGTTCAATTCCCTGCAAACACATGGTGGCTCACAATTATCTAGAACGATATCTGGTGCCCTCTTCTGGCCTTCAGGTGTACATGCAGGCAGATCATTGTTTACATAGTAAAATAAATAAATCTTAAAAAAAAAAAGTTTAAACAGCCAGCGTTGTTATGTTTAAAACATCTAATGTCCTAAGAAAATATTTTAAGCTAATAGTAATTAATTATCAGATAGCTCTCTACTTTACTTGTTTATTTTTCTAAAGATGTATTTTTCTGTACTTTGCAGTACCAACAAGAGGCCAGAAGAGGGCATTGTGTCCCCTGAAACTGGAGTTACTAAGTGGTTGTGAGCTTACCTTATAGGTACTGGGAACAGAACCCCAGTCTTCTGCAAGAGCAACCAGTGCTCTTAACTGCAAAGCCTCTCTCTGGACCCACTCTTTCTTAATCAAAATGTTTATTTGTTCAAATCATCAGGGTCTTTAAACATAGGTTCTCTAGATCTGTTAAAGACCTGGGACCATGCAATATAAATATATAAAGGATTTTTCATTTTGTTTGTTTGTCTGTTTTTCATGCTTGTCTACCCCCTTTCAGTACCTGTCAACTTGAACAATGGCTTAGAATTATGAGGGTTATCTTCCTAAGCATTTACGATCCACGTTCAGGATGCTATATTTTGCTTTGAGACTTCCAACTTCATTCACTCTTAAAGAGTTCAGTCTTATTATATCATAAGCTAGCCGCCCCAGGTGTCTCATGAATTGGCAAACCTTATTAAAATCTGCTCTACATTCTAATTCTTACTGCGGTTAGAGTTATTAATATACTAAAGGGATTCATCCTGATTAGATCCTTAATCAGAATAAAAAACAATTAATCTGAAAATGGGCTCGTGCCTCGAAAATAGCTTAATTCCCAAATGATTTCTGTGCACCTAATTCTTGAAAATAGATAACACCATGCTCTGGCCAAGCTCCAAGCGAGGCACGTGGGCCATAACGACCCCGATTTTAAACCATTACTTGTAAACCTTTGGTCATTGTCCTATTTTACAGGGAGAGCCTGGTGCAATGGGCTTGCCAGGACTAGAAGGATTTCCTGGAATAAAGGTAAGCACAGAGGTTAAAAATGTATTCACTCAAGACTAAAAAACCATATATTTACCCGATGTCATGCCAGTAACTGCTTTATGTTCATGAATGTATACAGAGGAATTTTAATCCAGCAACATGCTACTCTGGCAAGGAATCACACCCAAAGACATAGGACTGTGTAATCCAGCTGGAATACAGATATGCCCTTAGTGCAGGCCTTTGATTGCTCTGGCTGGAATACAGACATGACACACCTTTATTCCCTCCGGATGGAATTTAGTATGTGCTTTAATAGCAAACAATAAACTCTAATCGAGGGACAGACAGAGTGACAAATCAGAGAAAGATTTGACAGAATGAGTCAGAAATAGGATACATCCAACTCTCGTGAGAGAAAGGCTACGTAAGAGCATCACACACAGAGAGAGAGAAACGGTACAGTCCAAAAGGAGGAGAGTGTGGTATAGGAATGCAGTGGAGGTCATGGAGACAGCACAGCAGAGTTCTAGAGTCCAGCACAGCTCAATGGAGTTCAGCTGTGTGCAGCTGAGTTTGTACAATTCAGTTCATGGAGTTCAGAGGCAGCTTTTTGAAGCAGAGTGATTCAGTGAGAAGCCAAGAGTGAAGACAGTTTGAATCCGTCAGCTTGGAGAGGAATTTTGAGCCGGAAAAGCTGAGTTGAACCACCCATCCAGAGTTCAGAAATAACTAGAAAGTAAGTCTCAGAGGCTGAAAACATACCAGGCCTAGGTTAGTAGACAGAGGCTGGAAGATGAAGCCTTCAAGGTCTGGGCTTGAAGAAACTTTGTTTGTACAGAGGCTAGAAGCTTCCTGGCCTAGGAATAGTTAGATAGAAATGTTCTGGGCTCAGACCAAGCCATATATTCTTATCTCATCCTTTCTTATAAGGAAATAAAAACATTTATAAATGTATAAGGGAACAAAGCAAATGAAACTTTTATACTTAAGGGACTTTTTTTTAGGGAGGGCTACAGGAACTAATAAAAGAAATGTTGTCAGGAAGTACTACAGAAAGAAATTCAAGTAGAATGGCTTGGGGCTGGAGAGATGGCTCAGTGATTACGAGCACTGGGTCTTCTTCCTGAATCTCCAGGTTCAATTCCCAGTACCTACATGGCACCTCACACCCATCTATAACTTCAGTCCCATGGATCTGACATCCTCACCTCTCAGTACCTACATGGCCACTCACAACTGTCTGTAACTTCTGTTCCACAAATCTGATATCCTCACATAGATATTCATACACGAAAAACCTTGATGTACATTAAAGAAATAATTTTCTGAAAAAAAGTAGAATGGATTAAAGGGTATCACACATGCTTAGTAGATATTGGGGGGCCCTCTCACATCCATCATATGATATCCAAGAAAGCAAAAGCTGAGCAGTGACTTAAAGGAGGTGAGTTGGCTACCTCCTCAAAAAGAAGAATAATTCATGGAGCAGGAACAACAGATATAAAGATCCAGAGACAGGCCACCCCTGCAGGGGTAACAGGAATGTGAGCGTGTGGATGCAGAAGTCTTGGAGAAGAGTTCTGAGAAGTGGGGACAAGGTAGAAAGGCAGCCCCAGCATACCAAACAGTGCTGCTCAGAGTGACCACTGGAGGAACAGCACTGTCTGTGCCCTTAGCTACGAGGGATGGAAGAGATAGACATAAGCTCCAGCATTACCTAACGTCTAGTCTGCTTTTCGTTGCTGTGATAAAATATTCTCAGCAAAAGCAACCTGGGGGGACAAAAGGGCTTGTTTGGCTTACGCTTCCTTACAATAATCCATCATCAAGTGAAGCCAGGGAAGGGGCTCAAGCAGAAAGCTGGAGGCAGACACTGAAGAAGCCATGGAGGAGAACTGCTTACTGACTTGCTCTCCTTAACTTGCTCAGCTGGCATTTTTATATAACCCAGGACCACCTGCCCAGTGGTGGCATCACTCACGGTGGGCTGGGCCCTCCCACATTCATCATTAACTAAGAAAATGTTCAGCAGACATGTCTGTTCGGCTGGTCTGATGGAAGCAATTCCACAGCTAAGATACCGTCTTCCCAGGTGACTCTGGTTTGTTCTAAGATGTCATAGACTAACCAGAGCACCTAGTGATTTTGAGGAAAACCGTCTTGCAGTTGTGGCATTGGTAGATTTGTCTTGGCTCATGATGTATTAGAAAATAAGTGAACTCATGTTTCAAAGCAGGAAGTTGAATAAGCACCAACAAAGAGGCTTATTTGCCATTGTAAAGACTTCATCTTTGGCTCTGAGTGAAACCCAGAGCCACTGATAACAGCGCCAACACAACCAAAATGGTTGGAGGGAAACAAAGCCAGCTAGAAGATGGTGTTTGTCAGTTTTGTAATAAATGCCCATAAAGCGAAAGGTGTTACTTCACCTCATAGCTTTGGAGTTTTTCCCCCTGATCAGCTGGCCCCATTTCTTTTTGGGGTCTGGTGAAGGATTACAATATGCCAGGTCACATAGTAACCAGAAAGCAAGGAGAGAGAAACAATAAAGGGCTCGGGCCTCAATATCCCATTCAAGCTCAGACACCATGCAAGGAAGTAAAAGATAAGGAAAAGTTTGAACCATAAATGAATCAAGGGTCTTGGGATTCTGGTGATCAAACGCCGGAATGTGTAAGTATGAGACGCTGGAAGGCAAGTGAATATTTACCTTACCTCAGCTGTAACTATGAAAGCATCAGGCAAGATGATTAGGAGAATGACTCAAGGCAATGAGGACCCTCAAAACCGGAGACTTTCTGAACATTAATATTTATCGGATATGTAAATATTTCCACTGGATGAAAGTTATGATATATTCAAGATTTTTAAAATTTTTTTTAAATTTTTATACATTTCTCCTTTTCTTCATTTTTTTCCTAAATTTTAGTTGACACATAATAATTTAGAGGTAAACTACGGAGTTCCTCTATGTGTGTTCAGTGTATAACGCTCAAATCAGGGTTGTTGCCATGCCATGACTTCCAAGATCGGTTACGTCTTTGTGACAAGAATATTGAAAAGCCTCTCCTCTAACTCCTGTGAGACACGCAGCACGGTATCACCACAGCCATCCCACTGTGCAACACAGTACCAAAGCTTACTCCATGTAATTGTAACTTGTCGTCTGACCAATTCCTCCATACTCCTTCCTGACCTCTACACCCTCTCACCTCTGCCAACCCTCTTGTATTATTTATGTCTACAGAACCAACTTTTCTGCGTGAGTTATATCATGCATTATTTATTTTTCTTTTAACAGGGGCTTAGTATTCTGAAGATATTACTTCTATATATTTATTAGAGTTTATATCTTAATTGGTCTTTGTTTTCTTGTTTTAACTTTAACAGTACTGCAAAAACTTTACTATAGTCAAATCTAAACCATTCTTTATTTCTTCTTTGGAATTTTTAAATAGGAAATGTTTACTTTCATTTCCCAGCCAAGATCAGATACTCACTAGTAGATTCTCCTAACTCCTTCATAAGGTTCATGCTATTTTATTTTTACATATTTCTCTGTAGAATTTGTATGAAATACAATATAAAGAATTATTTGATCATTAGCCTTACTTATGCACGTCTCTGTCTTTCCTAGAATTCCTACTATATCGGCTGTTCTATTTCTGAGAATTATATTCTATTGCATTGACATACTGTTTAATTGCATGCCAGTATTTCATTGTGTCAACTGTAGCTTTAGTATATACTTAAATACTGATATTGTTACTATCATTTATTCAATTGACATTTCTATTTCATCCTCTCATCTATAATCTCAAGTGGACATTAACATTTTTCATCAAACAGCTGTTGTGTAACAATCACATTAAGTTTATTACTAACACCGTTGTCATAGCCTCCATATCTCCTTATTTCATCACGTTTTATGTCCCTACAGCAAAATTATGAGGCATTTTAAAATATGGGATCTGCCCAACAAAATTGCCATTTATTACCCCATATGTAATGGCCTGCACAAGCATTCTGTTTTTCAGGGCAATTAAATGGATCTTGTAATTGCTCAGCAGAGGAGAACTACAGATCTTAAGTTCTCCATATTTTTATTCTAACCCTGTATCCAATGGGATGAGGTAAAGAAGAGATTTAAAAAAAATAACATTCAATGCGCTTAATCTTTCAGGTCATAGTAATGATTTCTTATTATGTGTAGAATTTTAAATATTAACTAGCTTTAGCTGTAAGAATGTGTGGTTTCTTCTTAAAATAAGGTGAAGGCATATAATGAATAATATTTTTCATTAGGGTTATGAATTACTTTGTCCTTTAGAGGAAAAAAATCTAATGGGTTGAGTTGTGCATTCATTGTTTCCTGCTCTTCTAACTTTCTTTGTACAAATTACCATCAATATATTCAAACAAGCCTTTGCAAATCCAATTTCTTTTAATTATACAGAGAAGTACTGTGTTTGCCTCATTTCTACCCCTTCTTCTCCCCACAACTCCTTTGCTACCACACACCCTCTCAAATTCATGATTGCTCTCTCTTTCTCTCTCTCTCTCTATCTCTCTCTCTCACACACACACACGTAAATAAAGACAACCTATTAAGACCATTTAGGTGTGTGTGTGTGTGTGTGTGTGTGTGTGTGTGTGTGTGTGTGTGTCTAGGGCTGGCTGTAACTCTTGATCTTGTAACAAGAGAGGACCTTGTGAGATTTCCTCCATATACAATGTCATGTCAAATTACTATTTTAATAATGATTTTAAAAGTAAAGAGTCTATAGACATCATCATAAGTAGCCGTTTTTATTTTCATCTCAACAGGGGGATCGAGGCCCGGCAGGGCCCCCAGGAATAGCCGGCATAGCGGTGAGTTTGGCTTCTCTCATCGTAGCTTCCTGGGTACCCATTTCTACGTCCATACCTGCTCTATAGCTAGTGATTAGGGAGGTTTGGAGTTTGCAGTGACTCTGCTGGCGTCGCTGGTGGCCCGGAGCAGCTTGTTGCTCTCTTGACCCTAGTGCATCTGTTCTTCTTTTTTTTTTTTTTTTTTTTTTTTTTTTTACTTTTTCCTCCTTTTTGTCTCTTGTTCCTCCTTCCCCACTTTTTTAGGAAATCCGGTTCCTCATGGCTGCACATTAGTGTGTGTGCATAGCTCTGAAAACACTTCTAGCCCTGTTCCTGTCATATTTTAACAATTCTCCATCTTCCCAAGGCCAGCTTTTCTCATCCTGGGCCATGAACATCGGGCTCCCACATCCTGCTGTAGTCTGCCTGGGTACTCGCTTTACCCAGGGTTATTAGCAGAGCTTTATTGCTGCTAAGGTTTCCTCGTAAACCAGCCCTCAATCCTCTCAGTCATTTTTGTTGCTCTCTGGTGTCAAATGCTTTTATCTCATCAAGGTCTTCGCAAATGAATAGAAAGTGCTCCCAGAAAGGTTGAAATCATTTCTCTGAGCCCTCGAGATAATTCTGATCTTTATTCATGATGCCCTCATTAAAATTTTGTGGTCACGGTTTATGAATAAGAGGCCCATTTATCCTCCTGCCAGGTGACCCTGCAGGGAAAGTCCAGTATCATAGTACAAGAAAGTCAGTGGAAACCATATTCTTGTATAGTAGGAGCTCTGTGAAGATAGGAAAGGGCCCTGTCTCAACCCCACCCCACCGATGCCACACTGACACCACTCAGTACCACCTATACCACCTGAAACCTCCAACTAGCATCCATTTACCATCATACTGAAAAGACCCACATTCCCTCTACTTTATATATTTAATTAGCTTAAATAATATAATAAAATGCTACCCACCGTGTATACGCTTTACAGAGAATGGCAAATTGTAAAGGCAAAAGACGAAAAATACCTTCTCTAGCAGGCACTCTTGTAAAATGAAGATTCTTTATGAAAGTGGACTTCATATTCAATCCCATGCCCCCAACACACACCTGACTCTCCTCCTCACTGGTATTTGGGGCTCTCTTTTCTTGAACTGTACTCAGAATGCCATTTCAGCCTGTTGCTTCACACTCACATTTTTATATTCACAAAGAAACTCATTTTCCCCATTGCATCCATCTACATCATCAAAATACTTTCTGCCGTTAGCATAAATTAAGTCCATCTTTAAAGAATTGTTAGTGGATATGAGTAAAGTAATTAAAATGTGTGTAATAGTTTCATAAGATAGTTTAAATCGGGAACTCCAGCAGTATTTTTGGAGGTTGTAGATTGGTTGAAATATCAGACATATATTCGGATACCTAACATCTGCTAAGCTTACTTATATCAGATTTAACAACTTTCAGGAGCACTTGGAAAGTCCGGAATTAAGAAAGGGTTAAAACTGGGCCTAGTTGACATGTGAAATTGTGTGATTTTAAAATATGTCTTTATTTTTTTTAACTGGTCCTCAGAGAGTAAAACAGTGAAGAGGGCCGGCAAGTAGCAATGAGGGCTACAAGGCACTGTAAATGTGCCATTGTGTCACACGCCTTCAAATGAGTACGTGTTCAATCTCACCATACAAAGATAGAGATATAGAGATATATTCCGGTTCTGTCTAAAACTATCGAGACGATTGCTGGAGTTGAAGCAAAGATAAAATCAGCTGGGCATGTCATGACTACTTGGAGGAGGTCACAAGACGCAATCCCGCCCTTCCTAGGACAGTCGGTCCCTCTCCAGTGTAGCCAGGGCTATCGGGGCTTTCTCTAGAATGTCTTTCTTTCTCCCTTCTCTGAGTGGGGATCGCCCACCAGAATGTTAAAGCCGGCTGAAAGGGGGCCCTACCTTTTCTAAAGTCTCAGCTGCTCGCTCACATCCCCACATCTTTCCCAGCTGCAGTGAGGCCCACGCGGCAGAAGCATTCTCAGCTCAGTCTGACCTTTTGCAATTTAGTTTCCGGTCTCCGCTGGACCACTGTGTTAGGAGCCTTCTTCATCACTGTGGCTGAAGCCATTTAAGGCTCAAAGTCCATGTGCAACAGCCCGTGAGGGCCGCGAAGGCCTGGCAGCTGGGGTGGGCTGGAAGGACTTGCAGTGTTGCTTGTTGGTAGATAAAACAGTAGAGCGCTTGAGCAACAACCGGAAGTGGATACGACCTTCAAGGCCGGCCTCTGAGCAACCTGCTACACATTCGTAAAGTTTTACAGTCTCCCTAAACGACCACCAGTTGAGAACCAAGTGTTCAAATACACTGTAGGGCACATTTCACAATCAACGTATTAATAAATACCACATTCCTATCTCCGGGGTTTCCTCTGGCTCTTAGATCTTTCCACATGGCACATTGAAGAGTTTAAAAAAAAAAAAAAGCAATGCATTTCTCAACCTTTTGCCCAAATACAGCTTTTCAAATAAAATGTGCCTTTTTTTTCGGTTTATCATACTACCAAACATAGAAGCTCTCCTGTGAAACTCAAAACCTGACATAAATTTCTCTCTCACTCTCTTTGCCTTTTGTTCTACTTTGCTTTCTATTGCTACGATTAAAAACCACTACCCAAAGACTTGGGAAGGAGATTGTTTGGCTTATGTGTCCTTGATCATAGTCGGTCCCTCTGGGAAATCAGGACAGGAGTCTGGAGAGAGGAGCTGAAGCGGAGACCTTGGAGGGCTGCTAACCAGCTCCCATCTTAGGTCCTGCCCAGCCTGCCTTCTTATCCAGGACCACCTCCCAGGCACCGCACCACCTAGAGTGGGCTGGGCCCTCCCACATCAATCCTTAATCAAGAAAAGGTTCCACGGACTTGCCCCATGGGCCAGTCTGAGGGAGGAATCTTCCCAATCGAGGTTCTGTCTTCCTCAATGACTCTAGTGTGTCAACGTGACAAAATTTCACCCGTCCACCCTCCCCCAACTCCCCACCCCCACCACATGCCCATCCCCTAGAATAAAGAAGAGTGCCAGGAAAAAAAGACATAAGGCTTTCCAATAGGGAGGACACATTGGCTGAACAGCTCCAAAAACATCCCCTGTCTTACCCTCAGGACTCTCTAGTGTGTATCTTACAGCCCTGGAGTCTTATGTCCTAGTCCGAATACCATAGCAACCCCTTAAACTCTGAGAAGAGCCTGGCATCCATAGCGCTGAACATTTTTATTTGATTTTCCTACAGGGAAAACCTGGTGCCCCAGGTCCTCCGGGAGCTCCAGGGGAGCCGGTAAGCTACCAGCACTTTAACGGCAGATATACTGCTGTAGAATATAGGCGCTGTTTCAAAGGAATTTTTACCAATTTTTCCCCTTGGGACACATTTGTAGGGTGAAAGAGGACCGGCTGGAGATATTGGTTTTTCTGGACCAGAGGGACCCCCAGGAAAGCCAGTAAGTACTTTTCACCAGCTAGAAACTGCTATCCTAAAGAATGTTCTAAACACTGTCTCTTCACCTTCTTCCTCAGAAGGTCAAGGTTTGAGCCAGCAGCTTCAGAAGGAAATACGAACAGGTTCTAGAAATTGAATTTGGGGGGTACCAGAGGGGTAATTCCTTCCAGAGTTTTCTAGCTCTCTATGTGGTGTCTTTGTATCTATAACAATGGTGAGGAGAGGTGAGATTTTTTTCCTAAGGGCTAGTAGACTCATTATTTCTTAGGTATATTAACTTCAGTAGAGTAAAAATCAAATGTTCTGTTGCACCCCAAAACACGAAGAAGCTGACAACTCGCCAACACAGCACCTGTATAAGCTAAAGCAGAGAATCTTTTCTCAGACTCCTCCCTCATATCTGGGCCTTGTCCTGATGCTGTCATTAATGAGGACTGCTGCAGATGTGTCATGACTAGGGCCCTAAAGGAGCTTGTGGCTACCGATACAGGGTATTGATATGACATTGTGACCATCATCCCCACCCAGCCTTTATACCTATAGGCCCTACTATGAGCTGAGGATGAGCTGGGGCCTGGACCCAGGGATGTGAAGTACGGGGTGGGGGTGAGGGTTAACGAATTTTTTTATTTACTTATTTATTTTGTGTGTATGGGTGAGTATGAGTGACTGCACGTATGTATGTGCACCCTATGGGTGCCTGGTGCATGTGGAGGCCAGAAGGGGGCTTCAGAGCCTCTGGAACTGGTCCTTCCCTTTCATGTACAGCACAGCAAGTGATGGAGACCCTTTATAAAAAGGAAAGCTGATGGGCATAGTATTTCTGTGACAGCTCAGAGCTGATGCATTCTGTGGCCACCGTCTCCTCAGAGAAGGCAAAGCAAGAGAGGAAGAGCATATGCTGGTCACAGTCAGGCAGTCTGGCTTTGACCTAGGGCTCTGAGTGTTCTATCAGTCAGTCAGGAAACATGAGGTAAAGAAAAGCCCACGGTGTATTTCTTCTTTGCTAAGCTTTCCAATGTAGTAGGCTCTGGACAGATACATAGAAAAAAAAGATTCCCAAGACTATCCACTATGATTCTTGGTAGCAAGTTGTTTGTATAAGAGAGAGAGAGAGAGAGAGAGAGAGAGAGAGAGAAAGGCCTGCAGTGCTGGCTATAAGAAGTATTAGGTGAAGACTATTACATTATAGTCTTAACATTGTAACATTATAGTCTTAATACATTATAATCTTCCTATCACCTCGCCCTAACAAATTTCTCCTCCCTAATGCTTGTAAGCCATTTTGCTAAAGGCTTCTGTTCCAAGGATATTATACAATAGGCAACATTTTTTTTTCAGTAAACAAACTTCTTTTTGAGCACTCGCTCTGTGTTAGTCAGAGGTTGATGCTGAAAACTGCTGCAGGAGGGAGAATCACTCATTTTTTGAGGTTAGGTTACCACCCTGCACCTACGAATACAGGCACAGGGCTGCTTGGATTTAGTTAGTTCTCAAAAGACGAGATCATAAAGTTGGGAGGGTCATGTGAAGAGAGTTTCAGGGAGAGCTGGTGGGGAAAATGAGGCATGGATACGATCATGTTTTGTTGTATGTGTGTCTGATTTTTTTTTAAAAGAGAAGTATTTATGTACATTTTAAAGGTTCAAAGCATGATCTCCAGTTTTGCATTTGATTTATGTGTTATTCAAGGGGCACAATTATTTCTCATTCTCTCCTTAATCAGTTTAATCTTCATTGCCAGTGTTCTTGGGGCTAATAAACTCTTTGAACTGTACATTTCAGGTAACATATTCTTAGCTAAAGTACTCTCAGTAATTCCCAGGGTACTCCAGAGAAGTCCTGAGCCTACGGTTGGGTTACCAACTGTGACAGATGTCAGTGTGATTTACAGCAGTGAGAACAGGTGGCTGTCTGCAACTGTGTCCTTGTGGAGTCTTTTCCAGCACAATAAAAGTCTCTCAGGGTTTCAGCGAGCATGTCCGTGCAATGCCTGCTGGCTAGGAAATCACATCCCTCACCTTGATCTCTCTCTTCAAATCACTTCTCAAAGCCACATCTGCGGCTGGGCTCTAGGTATTGGATTTGACCCTAGGCCCTTTTCTTCCTTCTATCTCTGGTAGGAAATTCTGTCAGTTTTATAAATCTCCAAGCAGGGCTGGCTTTGTGGCCACCTCCAGAATACCTTTTAAAGGTCCCAGAATTTTCAACTTTGTAATGAAAAAAAAAAAAAAAGGCCACTGCTTAGTAGTCTCAAAAACTACAATTACAGATTCTCATTTCTTATTTTTTTTTCACACTGAAAAACAATGATTTTTCTCCTGACGACAGTTCATTTCATAGTAGGAGTACACTCTGGCCACGTTACGGAACCCCTCCTAGAAACAAGCGACAGCATTTACTGAGAAGAAACTTATTAGATGAACGTTGTGTTGCTAATACTCCTGGAAAGATGTGAGTGCGTGCTCTGCCTCACACAGATAGGCAATCAATGACAGACCAAAGTGAGGATAGCAGCAAAGTGCAACCTGGTAAATAAGAGAGTTTAGTTGGCATTATTTACAGGAGTGTACGTCAGCAGCTACTGACAGGAGTGGCAATGAGGCCACATCACTGAAAGCCGACTCCAACATGGATGATGCTCACAGTGCTAGAAGCCTGAAGCTCACTGCACAACTTGCAGGCAGCTCAACAGGAAGAATCCTCTTTTTTCTGGACAATTCTCTTGTTTATTTCAGGCAGCTCAGCTGTTCTGAGGATGTCTCTTACTACCAATATAACCTTGGGGAAGAAGGAGTGTAGTGAATACAACCAGTTTCAGGAAATTCCTAAGGATTTTGAGTTGTTTATCCTGAGTTTTAACCAGCTTCCCTACAGGATGGAGTGTTTCACCTCCCTTTAAAATATCCTGTGGCTTAAAAAAACTGTCCTCCAAGATGGAAGGCTTTCTCTCTCAAAGAAGTCACTGTACAATGACTATATATACACTGTATATATATATATATATATATATATATATATACACACATATGTGTGTGTACATACATACATACATAAATCTCCATATCTCAGCCAATGCTTTGGGGAAGCTTCATTCTTCCTAGGAGGAAGTAGAAAAAGCCATCTTGGCTTATTTGAGTGGATACCACACTTTCTGTGTCATTTTGCTTACTCCTTAGTTGTAAGTTCGGTCTTACATTCTTCTTCCTGCTCATTTTCACATTCTTCTCTGTGTACTTGAAGATGCTGATGCTACTCTGATGAAGCAAATCCCCAGGCCTGGTGAATAGAACCAGGAAACGGTAGTCAGAGTTTGAACTCAGGGTCACATGTCCTGATTTTATATTCTATTTTGCCATGCTGATTCACCAAGATATGGGAAGAAATACGTAACAGCATTTCTATTTTTGTATTATGGCTGTTGCAGATGTGGGATATAAGAAATATTATTTTTGTCTTTTTAGGGGATAAATGGAAAAGATGGATTACCAGGTGCTCAGGTATGAGAAAATAACATTTTAACTAGTATGAATTCTTAAATTTTCTGTAAGTGTATCTCAAGTGCTCTACCATTTAGGACAGTTAGACTAATGATCTTGGCAAGCAGTAGTTTTTAGTGTTAATGTCTGTTTTCCAGGGCATCATGGGTAAACCTGGAGACAGAGGACCCAAAGGAGAACGCGTATGTATATCCCTGCTGTGGTCGCTGTTCATGTCTGTCTGATACACTGATCTATTGCTTTCTATCTCTATAGCTAAAGCATGTAGACAGCTTTGATTCTCCCAACGTGAAGTGGCTAGGGTGTATAAGAAACACAGTCTCTTCAAGGCACAGAATGCCACACTTAAGCACGCTGGGCGGCAGGCGTGCCTGTTAGTTGTACACACCTGAGTCTACTTTTCTATTCAATTTGGAAAGTCCTCTACCACCCTCCTGAGACACACATGCCAACGACCACCACCACCCGAATCCTTTTCGCCAGTTAAGGGATTTCTCACGCCCAGTGCTACTGATATTTAGAGGCGGCTATGTTTTGTGATGTCTGGCTGTCTTGTTCACTACAGACTATTAATAGCTTTGCTGGTCTCTGTCCCCTTGATGGAGGAGCAGCATTGTCCCCCCCCCCCCCCAGCTGTCACCACCCAAAACATCTTTAGACGTTTAAGTACCTCTAGGGAGCAAAGCTGCCCTGGCTGAAAACCACTGACCCAAGGGAGCACTGAGTGCAGTACAGAAGCCATGAGGGAGGAGAGATGTAGAAAAGACCTGAATGTGAAGGTACAAATGCAGGTACGGGCTGCGGGTGCTGTGGTTGAAACTTACTAACAGTTTCATGAACATGGAATGAAGTATGAAAAACAAGATGACGTAAATTTAAGAAGAACATGTCTTCTAGGCATCCTCAGACAGGGTCAAACACTTGATATTTTGGAAATATTTCATTCATTCACTCTTACCTATAATCAATAAGAAATATACACTCTTTTGAAATTTGATTGACAGTATTTTGTAAACATTTTTTTTTTTCTACTGACAGCACTCAGTGACTGTGTACGGCTTCCCTTTTTCCTAAGCAGTTATTTTCTCTCCAGTTTCTTTAAAACATCTTTTTCTTTTGAAGAAAAAAAAAGTGCGTGCGTGCGCACGCGTGCGCGCGTGCTCACACATGCGGGCGCCATAGCATGCTTTGGAGGTCAGAGGACAACCTATGTGAGTACGTTCTCTCCCTCCACCATGTGGCCTGTGTAGATTAAAAGCAAGACATGAAGTATAGTGACAGGTGCCATGTGCAGTCTCAGGCCTGAAATGACACTGGGTGATGGGTTCACATAATTTTAAGGCTTCACGTGATCATAAAATACAGATCGTAGATCCAAATGTGTTAATACTCTTTAATCTCAGAAATTTCTCCAGACATGAGCTGAGATGTCTGTATACCAGTAAGACAGTAGCATGGATATGATGGCCTTCTGTTCTGTTGTTGTTGTTGTTGTTGTTGTTTTTCTACATGGCTGCTGTATCTCCTTTTGTACCTCATGATCACATTAGTGCCTATGATTGTTCACTTATTGTCATTATATTTTTTTTAATCAAGACAAATACAGGTGGGGTTTTTACAGACCATTACAGATAAGGGCATAGTATGATAAATTCGGGGCAGCCTCCAGCACCAGGCGGTCACACTCACCTCACACCTCACTTACTGGAGTCAGATAGTTGAACACAGAAAATGTGTAACAAATACCTGCCCTGGGGGTCACCCTTCTTCCACTGGGCACACGTGGTGTAGACACCTGAACAAAAGCAGCATTGCAAAACCTGAGCTCATATTCAAGTGCATCTAGTGTCCTGTGACTGCTAATTCTCACATCTTATTCAACAACGTCTTAAGGTTCACATATGCTCTTCAACAAGTCATCTCAAAGACAGCTGCCCTTCCCCCCCCCCCCCCAGTCACTTAGAGGCTTCCTTAAAGGTCTTCTGTCTCGATTTCCTGAGTGACAGGTGTTTTTCATCACCAATTACTTACGTAAACCCATATAAAACAGGACTATAGAAGAAACTCCAAAGGCCCTAATAAGGGCCAGATGAAAATGCAAATTGGAAGGTAACCCTACGATATAGAACAGGTTTTGAGTTTTTCTAGGTGAAAAATCTCAGAGCTGTGCTCCTGTTGGCAATTTCCTTTTATAACTACAAAAGAGACCCTGACCTGAAGTGACAGTGAGTGCTGACTTGCAAAGGTGACATCTTTCTAGACTGAATGAAGACAACTATCGTTGCCACTGGGATCTACATGCCGAGTGATTCCAAAGGGTCAGACGTCATTTTAAGCGTTTTCCTTGGGTGCATTCATCTCTCAACATTGCCCCAGCTAAGAGATACCACTAACATTAATATTCCCACATGCTAATGGTACAAGCTTGGGTACAGAGCGGAAGTATCTGATCCAAGGGTCCGTGAATGAATGGCACAGTAGACCTAGGACTTTTGCTCATAACAACTAATGCATTACTAGAAAGGGTGATCCCTTATTTCTTCCCCCAAACAGGGTGATCAAGGAATCCCAGGAGACAGAGGTCCACAGGGTGAACGTGGAAAACCAGGTCTTACCGGCATGAAGGGGGCTATAGGTCCTGCGGGGCCACCAGGAAGCAAGGGCTCCATAGGCTCGCCTGGCCACCAAGGCCCTCCCGGCTCTCCAGGCATCCCTGGCACCCCGGTAAGTAGAGCCCCTGTCTTATATTGGCCATGTATCATATATACACATATATGATATCCTTTTTAAAAATATAAAATAAACCGGTCTGCACCATTATTTAAAGTTAAGCGACAGGTGCTCTGTTGAACGTCCGTTACATCATAGATCTTCACAGCCGAACTGGAAGAATGGGGCCCTTTCCCTCATCTGTTTGTAAGTGTGAGAGTTGCCTTCATCAAGATTAAAGAATGAAGAGGGCCAAACCCAGGTCTAGCTGACTCCAAAACCATTGTTTGGTTTGGATTTGTGTATGGGTTTGGGGTTGTCTACTGTAATGGCAGAGGAGTGGTACGTAAGACAGGACCTTGTGGGATAGCCCAGACTGAGCTACAACTCAGGATTCTTTGGCCTCAGTTTCCCCAGTGCTGGGGATATAGGCATGTACCACACACATGCCACAAACCCTGCTTCTCCAAAAGTGTCTGTGGTTGCTCCTCGCACAAACACACACATCTGCTTCACACTGGGACTCTGTTCAGCTGGCCACACGAGCAAATCTGCCCTGATGTAGAAGTTCCTTAGGCCAAGAGTGTGATCACCGAAAGCAGCCCTTATCTCCCTAATATTTGAGGGAGAATAATGGGAGTCCATTTGGCTGAGGAGTATAGTGTGAAAACTTCTGTGACAGGAAGAAAAGTGCATCCTAGGATGAAGGAGGAGAGTTAAAGACATACTCTCCTCAGACCAGTGAAAAGCGAGGCTTTCCCTCAACCTTCCTACTTCGGCATTTTTACCTCATTGCTAAACTGTGCCTGCAGAAAACCTGCAACTTGAGGTTTCTACTATGAGACTGCTCATTCAATAACATGTTTTATTAAAAGAAATTATACAATATACATTATCATATTTCCTCTCCCCAACTCCCACTTCCTGCCTACCCAACTCACTCAATTTTATGGGCTTTTTCTCTCTCAAAAACAAAGTAAAATAAAAAATCAAAAGCCAAAAATAATCACGAAACAAACAAACCACAAAACAATAAAACAAACAGGATAATAATAATTAAAAAACACAAAACAATAAGAAAAAAAAATGCCCAAACAAAATAAAAAATCCACAAAAATACCTTTGAGGGTTTTTTGGTTTTTGTTTTTTTTTTTTTTGTTGTTGTTGTTGTTGTTTGTTTGTTTTTTAATCTTGGACAACTCCTCTTGAGCATGGGACCTACCCTGAAGTGTGGTTGTGCAGTGATACCCATTAGAGAAAATTAATTTGTCCCTTTGCCAGCAGGTATCAAATGCAGAGAACTTCCTGCTTAGGGCTGAGACCCCTGTCCACTGCCCTTCCAGGACTTTTATCCAAGTTCATTTCTCCCATGCACACTGAAAACAAGGTGACACTTCTGACCAATAGAAACCAGCACCTTATGAGCACACTGTACTGTCTTTCTCTTGTTGCATTTTAAGTGAATGGATTGTTGAGACTGGACAAGCAGAGGATATGATCGTCACATATACAGGTTTAACATGCAAACAGAATGTAGGACTCTCTGGAGAAGGATGATGGAGAACTCACAAAGACAGGGACTTTTACAGATTAAGGACCAGCTGCCTAATTTATGCCATAATCAAACTTCACATCTCATGGAGATTTCCCACAGATCTTTCACGTCCTTCATCTGGTCCCATTCCACTTGGCTTTTGGCTCTGTTATGTGTTTCTCAAAGTGTATGATTGTCAGTGGAGGGCATCTAATGTGTGCTATGGTGTCTCCACTGTCATACATGGAGCCTCAGAACATAAATACAAATACAAAGAAGAGTAACGAGACACTTTGAAATGCTGGCCCATCTTAAAAGTGTTATTTAGCTCCCTTGGGAAAGTGTCAAAGTATTTCATTTAAGCACAGCTTCTATAAAGGGTAAGGTTTTTGCCAAGGGATTAAGCATTCAGCTGAAATGGCTTACCTACTTGTGGCTACCAGGTATCTCAGAAATTTTCTATTTAAAAATCATTTAACATATTTATGTTAATATGTAAGTTGCAGTAGTGTGAGGCAGATAAAACCTGAGGGGGTAAAAACATGTTGTAGGATAATCCTGCAAGCTAGTTTCTGTTTTGAATTTTCTTCCTTGGAAGGCTCATGGTGTCAGTTGCTGTAGACTTTGCCAGTGCCCAGGAGTGGGCACACATTCGACTGTGGTTGGTTATTAGCACCATCACATTGTTTGGGCCACTTAACCGTCTGAAATGAAGGGACAGAAACTATTATCTCCTAATTGTCTTTAGCCACGTGGTCTCCATTCATAGGAGAAATGTTAGCATCACTGATTATGATCCCAGCCCACAGCTTGTAGAGCAACTATGAACTTCAGCTTACCCTAGCATTGGTTCAAACAGTCTTTATTGCCCAAAACAGTGCACTGCCAGAAGCATCTTGCTTGACAAATGTGTACCAACAAAAGTATCCCAAACCCAGCATTTTTGTTCCTTATCCATTTGTGCTCTGCCTTAATTTGATAGACATTCCTTTTCCTCCTTTAGGCTGATGTTGTTTCATTTGAAGAAATAAAAAAGTACATCAATCAAGAGGTCCTACGGATTTTTGAAGGTTAGATTTGCTTTATAATACTGCCGACTTTTTTCCACCAGTTCCCACTTCCCATCCCACTGTAGGGAATCTCCTCAGTGACATTCTTGAATTGTGAAAGCAATCTTCAAAGACCTCTTTCACAGAGAGGCAGCTCCTTTTGACAGATATGTTTTAACTTTTCTCTCTAAACTTCCTCTCCTCACTATTTGTCTATAGAACAATACAGGTAAAGTACCTTCTATTCATATATCTGTCTTTCAAATATTGCAGTACCCATCACACTCTGAGTAGCCTGAGGATGGCCCTGAACTCCAGATGTCCCCACCTTTACCATGCAAGTGCTGGAATTGCAGGAATATACCACTATACCTTGGTTATCAATGCCTTTCTGGGACTGGAACCTAGGGCTCCATGGATGCTAGTGAGAACTTGACCAACTGAGCCACACCCCACACCCTTTTTCTAAGCAGTCAAGGCTTGCTGATAATTCATTTTGAATCATCAGTTAACAGCATGACTCTTCCCTCTGAAAAGTTTTTAAAAGCTAAGAGTTTCTCATTTTGTGTTAAACGGGTGAATTATATTGGTTATTGTTAAACTTCAAGTGGCTTCGGTGGGAGAACACTTGCCTCACGTGTCTAAGTCCCTGGGTCTGACTTCTAGCACCAAAAAATAAAATCAAGTAAATAAACCAAACCAAAGTAAAATAAAAGTCAAGTGTTATGTTCTGACTTTGGGCCAACCTGAACATATCACTTGGACTATTTGTGGAAGGTAAGATGGCTGACACTTACAACTTTGTGTCGTCTCTAAATGTAGAAGCATGCTATTGTTCTAGTTGTTATTGGAAATGTTGGATTTAAAAGTCAAGACCTGGACTAGCAGGATGGCTTAGTGGGTAAAGGAGCTTGCTGCCAAGCCTGACAGCCTGTGGGTCTCTGGTGGAAGAAGAGAACTGACTCCCACACGGTGTTCTCTGACCTCTGCACATACTTGCCATGACTATATATACACACTATAAGAATAATAATAAATAATTCAGTAGTTGTAGAAAAGTGTGGCTGCTTAAGACTTAAGCTGAATCAAGGCTCAGGCATTTCTAAATGTCATCAGATTCCTTCTGCTCATATGTGAGTTGTTGAGGATAATTTAAATAATTACCATTAGGCATACAACAGATTTTATATGAAAGAGGTTTATTAGATGGAGATGAAGAGAGAGAGAGAAGGGAGAGCAGGACATGATGGGGGGAAAGACAGAGGGGGGCGCCCCTTTGGAGAAAGGGGAGAGCAAGAGGGGGCAAGAGACAAGAGAGAGAACACATGGCAGATTGTTCCCTTTTAAGGAGCAAGGTAACCACACCTTCCAGGTGTGGCCACCTGGCAGGCAACAAGATGACATCTTAAGTTGCTAGGCAACCCAGGAGCAGGTTTCATTCCAAATTACTAACGTAAGTCATCCATGAATCTATCATTTTACTATATATTTACTGAATCAGTGTATTTGATCTGCATCTCTTCATAAGGATGCCACATGACTTTGTCCAGTGATTCACTAAAGCCACCATCATTGCGCTCAACTGTAAGATTCACAAATTGGGAATTACCTGTTTTTTAGCAGAGAAACCTGCCCTGGGTCTCATGGCTCCTACCTCTTTTGCTAATAAGCACCATAAGCCAAAGGCAGGTTACTGAATTTGTAAGGAATAAGAACACAAAATGCCCTGATTCAACTCTGAGTCTTTCAGCTGCAGATGGAGCAATGATTATCTTAAATAATAATTTCTATTAGAGACTGACATCTCACTGTTTGGATGCATATTGTCTTGTTTCCAAATGGAGACAGAGAAGAGTCACACGAATATTTTAATGAGTTGATGAACTCCTGTTGTTCCTTAACAGTTTTTCCTCTATTTGTCCTTACCTTGCCCTAAATGAGAATTGTTAAAACAATTTCTTACTTATTTTTGAACTGCCAGTATTTTTTTTTGTAGCTTTAACATTACACTCAGTTTTGCAAATTTCCTTTTGTTTTGGTGTGATGACCCTCAAATCAAGCACCGTGGAATAGATGCTAATTTATCCCACTGAAACATCTATTGCCCTTAGCAAGCATTTGTCAATATTCAGCACTCAGGAGGGAAAAAAAGACTTCTCATACTCCTCCAGAAAGCACAGGATATGGACAGCTGCAAAGTCTTCAGGTCTCAACACAAAATGAAAATGTTCCAGAAATGTTTTAAATGTTAACGAAAAGATCGGTCAAAGCATGAAGCTGTGTGTGAGGCCACTCTGATGATGGAGGTCTAAGTGACTATTTACATGGCATGTCCATGAAGCCAGTACTGGACACAGGCCCTCCGGGTCCTGGCACAGCATGTATACCTTTAGTTGACTGTAACCACACAAAGGAAAACACCACAAGATATATACATACACACACACACACACACACACACACACACACACACACATATATTGCACTGCAGCCTAAAGCTCTCTTCTCAGTTTTAATTTCTATAGGTGCTGCTCTCATTGATAACCCTTTATCTCAGAAATAAGATCCTGAATTGCAGTTACTTATAGATTCCTGTTAGCACCGTATTTAATACCTCAGTCGTTGGGCTGACTTCTGGAGGTCAACTGGTAGTCACAGAAACGGAGCTGGAGAGACGACCAGAGGTTAAAGGTATGGAGTGCTCTTGCAAAGAACCCAAGTTTGGTCTCCAGCCTCTACATCCAGCATCCAGCAGATCACAAACTCCTTTAATTCCAGCTCCAGAGATGGGGTTCTCTCTTCCTGCCTCTAAGGGAACCTGCTCTCACACGTGGCACTCCACATATACACACACAATTGCAAAATGAGAAGAAACCTTTTTTTCTTAAAAAAATAGGATGTCAGAAATTATTACTAAAAAAAACAGAGATACATCAGGCTCTGATTTGGTAGGTCCAGTGCATGCTGTAAAAGTGTGACCCATGACATCCTGTTCTGTGTTCTCAGCCCAGGAAACACCACCCAGTTAACTACCCTCTGAAGGTGGCTCCTGGCTGCCCACACCCAACCACTTCGGGCTATTCCCATGAACAGCTGTGGGGCTCCTCAAGAGAATCAGGATTGGTTTTGGCAACTTCCTTCTAAGTAGCACACCCTCTAAGCCTGTGGCCTTCCCCTTTGGGTGTCAGCCCCACCACTGAGTTTCCCCTCCACCCCCACCAGGGAGCTGACAGATATGGAGTCTTCCCTTTGTCTCCTCCGGGCTTCACCCCCATCTCTCCTGCTGCCTCTCATCGAGGGTCTTCAAGGGAGTGTGTTTACCCTGTTAGCCTCAAGTTTCTTTTTTCCATTTGTTCATTTATTTAATCACTTTACAGCCTGATCCCATCCCCCTCCCTCCCTCCTCTCCTCCCAATCCCACTCTCCCCTCTCCCTCTCCTCCTCAGAGAAGAGGAGGCCCCCAAGAGGTACCAACCTACCCTGGCACCTCAAGTGACAGCAGGACTTAGCACATTCTCTCCCACTGAGGCCAGACAAGGCAGCTCAGCTAGGGGGAAAAGATCCAAAGACAGGCAATAGCCTCTACTTAAGATACTCTTCTAAAGAGACCCAGTGCTTAAAACTTCTAAACTCCAATTCCAAGTACTATGTCCCGTCTTGTGGTAGCTCTCCTGACAGCAGCCTCGTAAACCAGTCTTTTCCCACACATAATGCACCTGAAACCTACAGTGTAGTTATTTAGCACTTAAGCTAATTTGCCCTCAAATCATTTTCATTCAGTCTGTTTGATTTTTTTTTCCACTCAGAAGTCACCTTTTCCATGGCTTCTGAACACCATTTTTCAAGAATTAAAAAAAAAAAAAAAAAAAAACCACCAAAACTCCATTTTCACAAATCATAGTGTTATAAGGTCACTCACCTTTTCCACGGGGCTTTCTCTCTAAATGGAGAAATTAATCGTCACGTCTTAAAGCAGTTTCATTCAGCGCAGTAGCACAGCTCAGTTGAGTGCTGGGGTTGTCACACCCATCCACAGCCTGTTTGCCTGGCAGTTTCACCATGGCAAAGACTCCTGCAATCTCTCAACACACTTCTGCATGTCCACAGCCTCAGGACGGGTCCTCCCTTTTCGGCAGGAGCCCAGGAGGGTGGTCCTCAGGAGACCCTGCTTGTATGCTAGAGCCACTGTCCCAGGTATCCAGATGGCCCCTCCTGAGAAACCCTACACCAAGACCCACATTTTGAGTTCTCCTCCAGGGACTTATCAATCCCCTTAGACTGGCACAGGCGTCTCACCTAGGCCTATCCTCCAAGCCACTACCCCATCCTTCAGCACGCTAAATACACCTTCCCAAATGAAGGGAGGCTATTCTCCATGCTCTCAAAGCTGGGTTTCAGCCAGATCACGATCCACAAGCATGCATTCACTTTAAAGTTTAATTTCTGCTTTGATTAGCCAATATGTCAAGACTTTTTTTTTTTTTTTTTTTTTTTTGCTAGCAAGGTGACCACACAGGGTAGAGACGGATGCTGTCTACAAGACTTAGCTTAGCATCTTTTGTCCTTATGAGGGCATAGCAGTTGCCAATGATACGATCCACATAAGTCAGGGGCTTACCATATCAGAGAAGCATAGATTCTGCTATGATCTCACCCTATGATACTTGAGCATTTGCACCTATATGGAAGAAAACTTACGAAGTAGTGTACACAAACTATCAGGCTCTTTCCATTCTTTAAACCCTCAAAGCCAGGCCTTCCAGTTAAGGGAGAACAGGAAGGTTGGGGTTCTTCAGCCTTTGGATTTTTAGTGTTCAGAAACCTGTGTTTTCTCCATTTTCACATATATTTAATATACATGTATATGAATGAGTATAATATATTATTCCATTCTCTTATTTAAAGGCAGTATCTCTTTCCTGTCTAGAACTAAAATATTTATAAATGTGAATGTTTATAAATATTTATTTAATATTATAAAACATTTATAGGTGTATATATTTGTGCATATATACATCATCCAGTAGATAGACATCATGGGAGATACAGTAACTATTTTCTACAACATGGTGCATTTTTCCCATTTGCCACTTTTGTTTGTCTGGAACTCAAACAGAATCAGGCACACAGCATACAGGATTCCCCTGCTCTCCAGTGACCTGTGGTTGTCTGTTCACACAGAAGAATGGGTTCTCAAACACTTAATTGACACTTGTGAGTGAATGCAGAACTTGCCAACCATGCTTTCCTCATAGGTCAGCTAGCCAGGCATTCTAAGTGAAGGTCTTTCAATATCAGTGCCTTTAATTCTCTGTGTGGAGGCATTTTAATTTTCTGCCTTGTCTGTCAGCTCAGCACTAAGTATGTTAAAGGTTCATTTTTTTTTCCCACTTATTAAAGTTAGAGTCTTACTGAAGTCTGGGGTTGTCAATGCAGAGATGGTCTATCTCTCCTTTATTTATTCATTTTGCAGTTTAATTTATTTAATTTAAAGAGAATTGCCTCACTTTCTCCTCCAGACCCTCCCCTTCTTAGAAATGGAAGCTTTGTTGCTGGGGCTGGGAAGACTAGCTGCCTAGCTATTTAGAGAAAGATTTCTAAGCCTGCTTAACACATTAGCTTTCGATCTACTCACTTTATTTCAACTTCTTTCCTTTACCTCTACTTCCAGAGGTTAACTTATATTCCCCATTCTGAGTCCCTAGAATTTACATCTTAAATTTGGTTGGGTTTCTGTTCTCTGTGTGAAGTCTCAGTTTTCTAGATTTTACTAAGACAAATATCCCTCAGCTATCTGATCCTCAGCTTCCAAAATTCTGTGACTCCTTTCTCCTTTTATAGTCTCCTCATTGTTGAGTTTTATGACTTTACAAGTGTCTTGGTTGTTTTTAAAATATCCATGAAAGAGTAAAAGCAGATGCCTATATTAAATGCATTGTCTTTACCCATAAGATTTCAAAGCAACATGCCTACAAAGACTGTGAATGAATTTAACATTATGAACTACAACATAAATGAGTCCACAATGTTATTAAAAATTAAAATGAAACTTGGAAATAACTTATAGATCACAAGAAATTACTATTTCATTACCCCACAGGGAGAAAAACTACATGCAATTTTAGTTTTCGTGTTTAAAAGACATGTGGGAAAGCCATAGAAAATGACACAAAAAGTGATTTCCAAAACAGATTAGTTATCTTATAAATGAAATTTTTAACCTTAAAGTTAAGAGATAACAATATTATGAAGTAATGAGTACTTCCCTTGAGAAATAATCATATAACTATTGCTTCCATAATGGCGTGTCAAAATAAAATAAGATGAAGTTATCCTGAGAAAGTGGGCAATTAAACCTGTTGATGGGTGTTAGGAGAAAAGATTAATTTTTCTTTGAAAAAATTAAGCTACAAATTCTGTTTGTGAAACAGAAGTCAGAGGAGGACTGGGAGGCACCTGAATGTCCCTTACCCCATTAATTAATATTAATGTCTGCATTGTCGTCGTGAGACCATTCTCTGCGGAACCAGGTAGTCAGTCACATCTATCAGAGCACTGTCTCTTATTTTGCCCAGACAGGTGGAATATGAATGGTTTATGTACACCTCTTCTACTAAAGTCTTTAATTTTCTGCCTCATTAGAAAGCAGAGCCAAAAAAAACCGTTTAGATGACTAAGGAGCCCTGAAAACAGAGGGAAGGCAATTAAGAATACAGGCCCTCACAATTCATTTAGATGCTCGGAAACTATTATTTTCAATTATAGAGCATTAGGGTTCAGAAGACGTAATTAGCTTATGCTAAATGACTGTTGCTTGGTGTAGCTTAAAGCCAGTTCATTTACTGCTAGAAGTAATTGTTTAAAATAATTGTGTTTTGCTAAAATTATTAAAAATCTCCCAAAGCAAAGTACTTAAAAATTTACTTCATATGTTAAGGGAAAAAAAGTCAGAATGAATATTTCTCTTTATGCATTTAAGATAGCAAACATGCTTCAAAACATTTATTTATTAGTGCGTGTGTGTGTGTGTGTGTGTGTGTGTTTGTGTGTGTGTTCATGTGCACACCTATGTGTGTTGCCACATGAGGCCATGTGTGGAGGGCAGAGGAAATTTGTAGGAATCAGTTCTGTTTTTCTACCACATGAGTCCCAGAGATTAAACACACACAGTCCTGGTGAGTGCCAAGCACCATCACCAGCTGAGCCATTTCAGCTCTGAGCGAGTCTTACGAATGAAATCATTTGCATTACTAAGATAATTTGTTTTCTGAAGAAATTGTGTGGTGGGGAGAAACATTAACCGCCATGTTTCTTCTTTCATGGCAAGACTGTATCTCTTCTAGTTTTCTGGCTTAAAGCTAATCATCCTTATATTAGATTTTTGCAGTGTCAATATTTAAAACATAAGCAAAGCAAGTTTAAGGGACCCAGAGGCAGATTTTATTTGTAAGTGAATTCGTGGTGTTGTCCAGATGAATTCCAGATTAAAATACTGAGTATTCTCTTGAGATAAAATTTATCAGAGCAATGCTCTATGTGAAATTAATAACAACAAAATCAATAATGACAAGAAATGTCTTGCATCAGCTGACACATTTCTAACCTCAGACTTTTCCAGACCAGCTGAAGATGCTCTGCCTTTTAATATATGTCCCTACAAAAACATGATAAGGCTTCTTACTTAAGTGATAAGTTTAAATGATTAAATTCCATGACTCCAGAACTAGAATAGTCGGTGTCAAAATCTACAATCCCAAATGCAAAATCCTGTTACAAAAAATATTTAGCCAGATGTGGTGGAGTCACAAACTAGAAGGCCAGGAGCTCAAGGCCAGCCCAGACTGCATGAGACCTTGAATTAAAAAAACAAAAGTAATTAAAAATAAAATCAAGACTGCATGGTTAAGTTAGTTAATAATATGCCTTGTTGATAAGTTAATTTTAAATTGAAAATTCATATTCATATTTTCATACTTAACAGTCTTTGAACCTCTTTGTTCTGTGGTTCTTTTAAGTGTCATTAACAAACAAATTTTCTCATTCTCGTTTTTGTGTGGAGGGGTGTTGCAGGTGTGGGTGCAGGGTAGAGATTGGCTCTCACAGAGGCACACTCCATCTTATTCCCTTGTGGCATGGTCTCTCCCTGAACCTAGACTTTGCTTTTCCTGCTAGGTGGATCACTAGGAGGCCCAGTGATCTTCCTGTCTCTGACCTCCTCAGCGCTGGGATTACAGATCCACACCAGCAATCTTAGCTTTTACATGAGTGCCGAGGATTTGAACTTGAGTCCATGTGCTTGTGCAGCAATCACCCTTACCCATTGGGTCATCTCCCCAGCCCCAGCATGAAAACTTTCATCATTGCAGTCCATTAAATGAATAAATGGCAATGCCTATGATTTGCCCATCAGAAAGCATCCTGTGTTAGGAAGTACTTAATTCATAAAGAAGTGTATCACTTGGTGCTTCACAAAAACATGGACTATGTTTACCTGCTCTTCTGAACAGCATGGATAATGTGTCCATTTCCTGTAACTTGTCTTCTCCATTCCAGTGTTTTCTTGGGCTCACAGCGATATGCAGAGACATTTTGTCACTGTACTGGACTTCAGAGAGGAGTTCCTCATCTGCAGTAATGCTGCATGCATTTTCCATTTACAAAATTAGACATCCTCCTCACAACCTGATTGAATAAATGGCGTGCCAACTGCAAATACAGAAGGTGCATAATAATGAGGGCCTATAGGATTCCTTGCTTTAAAAGTAAAAATTACTTGTGACATTACTTGCCTACTGTAGAGCTTCAATTGTGAGATGAAGCCAATGACAGTTTTTCAGTAACTGAATGTCACCTACAGCCTACATCATCTGAAACAAAATACAATTCCTACACATGTTAGCGGATCAGAAGACTATATTAGTCCACGTGTTCTGTGGGTCAGCAACTTAACAGGTTGCTTAGGCAACCGTTCTCCATCTGGAGTAAGGTCACAGCTAGGACCGCAGCCAGCTGCAGCCATTTTAATACTTGACCGCGGAAGGGCCGGCACCTCCAAGTTCCCGAACATAGCTGTCACAGGACAGCATCAGTTGAGTGTCCCCACTACTTATGCCTTGCCAGTGGACTTCCTCCAGGGTCAGCAACTGAGCAGCAACTAGAAAGCTCCTTTATGACTGATTCCTTCTGGCTACACACTGTCCGTTCTGCCTTTTGATGCTCTTTTCATAAGGAAAGTAGTGATCACTCAAATCACAGGGACTGGGTTCTCACTGTGGAAGGAGGTGTTAAGGAATCTAGAAAGCACCTTGCTTTCACTCTTGAAGCGGTGAACCAACGGTTTTCTCCATGAGTCGTAACTGGAAGTCAACTTGCTTTTCTTGCTATTCTGCTGCTGGGTTCCAGGAACGCTGGTAGTTCCCAGACCCTCTGCATAACCCAGCTCTTCTGCTTCTGTTCTTAAACAGCTTCACACAGTTGATTCTATGTATTTTATCCAAAATACAGCAGTCAAACCAGTTGGTATATAACACATGGTTCAAGTAGACACTGAATTTTTTTTCAACCTCATGTAAAAATGTTTGGAAATACTTTGACATAAAGACACTTCCATTATGGGATGTATTTTTTTTTTCTTTCATAAACGAAGAGCGGATGGCTGTGTTTCTATCCCAGCTTAAGCTGCCAGCAGCAATGCTGTCTGCTCAGGCTCATGGGAGGCCTGGCCCGCCAGGGAAGGATGGGTTGCCTGGACCCCCAGGAGACCCAGGGCCCCAAGGTAAGACTGCAAATGTAACATGTGCTTGCCAGTGTTTTAATCCTCAATATTTATAACATGCTCATTGCAATTAAAACATGTATGTGTTGTGTGTATAAAATGTTGTGGACTATCTTTTTTATATTTTATTTCCTATTGATACATGTTAATTATTACTATTTCAAATTTAAAACTGATACGCCTGCTACTCTAAGTTCATTATTATGATACCCAATGTAACGACAGCTGCGGTGCTGTCTGCTTCTGTTATCATTGCCATATAAGGATCCTAGAGTTGTTTCTGTCTCCATTTTACTGCTGGCAAAACTCCTCATCTGAGAGTCTTAAAGAAACTGAAGGAAAAAAAAAAGTCTTAGGAGATTCTGCCACAAATAGTCATTTGGGGCTGACACCTTATTGTTTAGAAAGATGCTGTGGAGTTTTATAGAAGGGAACTTTAAAAGTAAAGACATAATCTCTTAATTTGTCTTTATTTCGGAGAATTATGTCTTATATACAGTGAAAAATAATCATATCTACTCCTCATTTTCCCATCCAAGTATCCCTATGCCCCCACAAAGTAGACCCTCCCAAATTTCTCTCTTTTTAAAAAACAAATAAGTCACTAATTCAGGTAGTGTTACCAATGCAGGCACAGGTGTAGACACAGCCATGGAAGACGCACGAGTGGCCACACAGTGCATTCAGAACAAGCCCTTCTACCCTAGCAACTACCGCTGCCAAGAGTTCCCACGAAAGGGGTAGGGCCTGGCAATCCTCTGTGCCATCTGTGCCGGAATTTTTGGATAGCTTATTCTTGAGCATGTCTTGGGCAGGTAACTACAATAACTTTTGAACTTTAATAGATACTTTGTATGACTTCCACAGTCTTTTTAAAAAAGTGTTCCACTGATAACAACTTGAAAAGACAATTGCTCTTAAATTTTGCTTGATTCAGTTATTCTGGCACAGCTATTCTGTAAACATAGGATTAGCAATCTGCAAACTAACTAGATAAGTCTGTGTTTAGATGGTTGGTGAATTCTGAAAGAGAAACATCAAATTCAGCAAGTATGAGCCATGAAAAATAAGGTTTGAGAACCTGCAGCCATAGGCACCTCTGCTACAACCAAAGTTGTTTCTAAGCATCCAGGGAAGTTTACCTTGCTGAGATTGAATTAAATTCTACTCCAGAATCCATTTTAAATTACCATCTGTGCATGGGCTCCACTTGAGGAGAGACGATACGTCTCCTGCTCCCACATTCACAATTACTAAACACATGATTGGGGACAAAAAAAAAATAAAAAAGCAGACACTAGTAAATCCACCCCCAGAATTAGCCACAAGGCCCATGTCAAGAAGAAATGGGTTTCCAGATTCTGGCTGAAGCCTATAAGCTCACACAGCACTGGTGCTTTGCTGGCCCGTGGAGGAGACGGTGGTCTCGGTAGCTTACTCTCATAGACACTTCAAGTTGAGTCCTTGGCAGTTGTCTCTGGGCTTTTGGAGGCAGTCAGTATGAAGATGGGGGAGCCGTGGAGACCACTTCCAAGGCAAGAGGCTACTGAAGACTTAGCAAGGAAGAAGGTTGCTAGTGAGAGCAGTTAGCCTACCATCATTGGAGACCCATGAAACAAGTCAATTAGTCCAAGGCAAGGTAGTAGAGAAAGATCTAGTAAGCTGAGCCAAGTAATCAGAAGACGAGGAACATTTTGCCTCAATGGGCCATGCTGTCAGGAGGCTAGGGGTGGGGATTGCATAAACTGCTGACTGAAGACTGATGGGAACTTCTGCACAGGTGTGGATTTGTGGTCAGGGGTTGAATGTCCAGTCCCAGTGCTTTACTCCTCTACAGTGATCATTATTTCCCCAGGTTGTTCTTGTCGCTGATGAGTCTTTCCCAGGTACAGTTCCTGTTTCAAAGTAGACAGGCTAGAGGGAGCAACTACCTCAAGGCCCTCTTGCTGACCTTCAAACTCACAGTAAAAGAAAACATACATACTGCTCCTTATTACTGTGAAAGACACAACTCCCGTGAAGCTAAATGGGGAGTCAGCATAAGATCTGGCCCCTATGCTCAGCTTCAAGATCACTGTAGTTTTCTTAAAGTCCCATCTTCCACTTCTCTTAGGTCAGGAAGTTTGACATAGCTGAAGGAAAGGGAAGCGTGTGGAATCAGAGGCAGCCTGTTGTATATACACACCTGATTGAAGATGCTTATTAGCTCTTATTTGTCAGCTTTCTTCTGAAGCGGGAGTGTATGAGAACTGGAAAGACCTCTAACGCCATCTGAAGATGTGGTGCTCAAAACACAGGAAGAGTAAATCCTGTTGATACCAGGAGAAAACTTTAGATGGATCCTTCAAACCTTGGTAGTCCAAGAGAACACACAAAATGGAAAATTGCAGCGATCTAGTAAAACAGAGTTCAGATCGCAGTCACCTTTCCCACACAAGCTCCTATCTCCAGCACCACCCCACGTGCTGGAAAGGCCCACCTGGAAGATTCTCAGTCAGAGGCAATTTTAAGTGTTAGTGAGGTCCTAGAAGACAAGGTTCATATTTGCTCCTGAGCCAAGTGATCAAAAGATGACCTTCCACTGTCCAAGGGATTTCTGGGGGTTTAGCCTGCTGCTCTGTACATCACAGAATACTAATGCTAATGGAGATGTGAGGTGTGACGCGTCAGTTTAAAGGTATTCCCCACATGATTTCCAGTTTTCTTTAAGACAAGCTCTACTAAAATGGAGAAAACCCGGGACCCACCAGAGTTTCTGACGACAAACACACTTACAAGTGGTTGCCTCGGCCTTTGAGGCTTCAACAGAGCGTATTTCTTGACCATAAGCTGTTGATTGACACTTCAGCTCTTTGTAATGTTAAATTTTCCAGAAATTCAGCAGAAAAAAAAAGATTTGCAAAAAATTAAAAAAAAAAGTGAGATTCATTTTTAAAGAATTTTGTCTATAGTCGTACTGTACTGACAACCGAAAAAGCCACATAGAAATCTCATGAAAGAAGAGAAGGAAAAGGGAGAAGGAAAAGGGAGCAGAGGGGGAGGGGACTAAGAGAAAGAGGTGAGAGAGAAGGAGGAGCAGCCAGATGAGAAGGCAGCCGCTGGTGTTTGATTTTTGCTTCTTCTCTGGCTAGGCATTAGAAATTGAAGGTTTTCTCCGGTACTAAGTAAATATGAGGTTCTCAGGGGATGAAGCCATATATATGATTCCAGTGCTCCTCTCTCTTCAATTTAAAAAGAAGGAAGAAAGCAGCCATGTCAATCTTCAAAGCTGTTGGCTGGGTTAGCCCTCTTCATTGTGGCCCAGGACAATAGAGTTTTATCAAAAGGATGAAGCGCAAATCACAGCACAGACAGGGACAGGGAATGTGTCTGCCGAGCTACGTCTCAGAGAACACTGGCCACTTGGGAATTCTGTCTGAAGATAGCTCATGCTCTTAGGAATTGTCTAAAAGATGCATGGGTTTTTAACAATGCCCGTCAGGAAAGAAATCCATTTTTGCTTAAATCAAGTTGCAATTTGAAAAATGCACCACGAAAGGGGTCCTTTTATCACATTTGTTATCTTCACATGTTTAAAGAAGGATTAAAAAAAAAATCAGACCTTATAAAGTGTCCTCTGCTTATTCTGTAAAGCAGGAGACTGTAGAAGCAGGGGGATTGATATGGGGCCATTAGAAATATGCCCAAGGGAGGCCATTTTCCTATGAAGACTTACTAATGAAAACTAGTGGATGTTCTTCCAATAACCCAATCTTCTTAAAGGACAGTGAATGCTTATTAGGGAGGATTCTGAGGGAGCCACTTTGTTTCCATCCTTGTAGACTCCCAAGAGTCAAAAGCATTTCTATAGAATATTTATTTTAGCTCTTCAGAGGAGCTGTGATAGTTGCCTTCCCACTGTGCTGAGAGAAACCCTTCCTCAGTGTTCTGTCACTCCTGGAAGGGGTCTGCAGCATAGGGCCAGATTGCCACATTTCAAGAGGAATGAACCTGAAAAACATAACCCAGCTGAGTTCTACTATATAAGTGATCACAACCTTTCCTAATGAACATCAGCTTCTTGGGTGAGGTTTGGTGGAAGAATTTTTACAAAACGCAGTTGGCGTTTTTAAAGAAGAATTGATGAAAACCTTGAGAAATGGATGCCACACTTAAAGGCCTCACTCATTTCAGAAAGCACTCATATGCAGAGTTAATAGAAGGAAGAGCAGTAAGAAAGTAAAGAGGAGGAGGAGGAGGATCTAGTCTACTCACACACCATTAATTTTAATAGGACAGACTGGCAGTCATTGCTCTTCTTTCTGAGCTTTTAGAGTGTAGATATCATTAGCTTCTAAATCAAGGAAAACCTTTTTTCTCTCTGTTTTCAATCCAGTGGTCCTTAGGATAGTTGATAATTCACAGATAGCTCTGACCCTGTGAAGATGAGGAGGAGGAAGGTCAGCAGGGGGGCCTTTGGGAAGAGAAGGTCATGGCTGTGAGTCAAAATGGCCGAAGGCCTCAGCACCCCATCAGTGGAGCAGATGAAGGGGAATTGAGCACATTATATGTGTGTGTGAGGGGGGTTGGAGTATGCCTATATGAACGCAATGCCCCCAGAAGCTAGAACTATTTTCTGAGTTCACGCTGTTCATGCTGCTTCTTCGTCCACCACACATTCATTGCCCACTTCACATCTGTCAGACAGTAAAGATAAATACCAGGTTGGGTACAATAGAGAATGTCGGACCTTGCAAGGACAGAGCTGATGCATGTGCTTCCAACAAACCATGCTTGTGATGGTGGGCTGTTGGCGCTACAGATCTTCCTTTAGTGTGTTTACGTTTATGGTAGGTATGTGAGCCCACTTCAGCAGAAATTCCAGCGTCTAGGTGCAGAAAATGGGAAGAAAGACATAGAAAGAATTTTGTCTTGTTGAGACAAGATTAAATAAAATAGTTAATAAATAATCAAATAAAATAGTTAATAAATAATTAATTAAATAAAATAGTTAATAAATAACAAATTAAATGAAATAAAAGGAACAAACAACTCATAATTTCAACATCACCAAATATCAAGCCAGTTAAGATAACAACATAAAATGCTTTACTATGACAATTTACAAATGTAGAGAACCATAACTTTTATCTATGTTAGGATATAAGAGATTTGAGAAATTCCCAAAGTACTTAAGATGTATTTTTAAAGATTTATTGTTATTATTTTTTTTTGAAGAAAAATTCTCCCTATCGAAGGCTTGGGTTTGTTATAACTTTATATATTAGCTGCATAGTTATCAGCTTTTCTGTGATTTATTGTACCCAACCTACATTTATGTTTAATGCACAGTAAATGTGAAATAAATATTAATGCATGATGCATGACAAAACAGCCCAAAGAGCAGGACTCAGAAAACAGTACTTTCATGTGCATGCTAGTGTTGAACACTCTTTTTATTTACCTCTTTTATTTATCTCCTTTTGTTTACCTCTCACCCAGGCTACCGAGGACAGAAAGGGGAAAGAGGTGAACCTGGAATTGGGCTGCCAGGGAATCCAGGTCTCCCTGGATCTTCAGGTAATGGGTTTGCTACCTCTCTGGGCATGCAGGCCTATCAAAATAGGCGCTTTCTTCCCTGTGGACCTGTTCATCTGAGTGCCCCGTGCGGGCTGCACTCTCATAGTGTGTTTTATTTCATCAGCAGTGGGTTTGCCAGGCTTGCCCGGTGCCCCGGGGCCTCAGGGACCTCCGGGACCCAGCGGAAGATGTAATCCAGAAGACTGTCTCTATCCTGGGTCTCCTGCCCACCAGCAGGCAGCTGGGAAATGAAAACTGCAGAGGAAGACGTTGTTTCTGGAGAGACCTTCATGCCGTCGGAGCTGTCCATGCAGGCCTCACAACCCCTTGTTCTCAAGGCTTACGGGTTTTGGACTGTTTTACTTCCTTTCTTTTTTCTGACGTAGGGCAGACGTCCAAAGCAACCGTCTGAGTCTTCTTCTGACAGTGACTGGAATTCATTATTTTGAGATGTTTCCCAGCCTCGCTCTGTATGTTTTGCTTTACTCTGGCCCTGAGTTGTACTCGGTGGTATCCTGTGGAAAAAACAGAAGAGAGCACATCACTGGTTCTTCAGAAGAAATCACACGAGATGGATTTGGTACACAGACAACATACGCTTTGTAAACTCGTCAACATGACTAGCCTTTGATTTCCAAATTTTCCTTTTTCTAATTTACCTTGATATTTTCTTTGCGTTTAAATTTATTGCCATTGCTTAGAATTTTCTTTCTGCTCATTTGAGTTTGAAATAGTGCATTATTGACTGATTTTTATAAGAAGTCTTATACCGTCCTACATTCATTCTATTTATACAGAAAAATATGCAATAAGCGATCTGCTTTTAACTTATTAAAAAAAAAAACAAACTGTGGGGGCCTCTTTATCAGGGAGCCCCAAAATTCATCCTAGCCAACTACTGAAATGATTTCGTGACTTCCTAGGAATGAGCTCAGTTTGAAGCACTCATACGCTTGGCATGAGCATACGCTACATGAAAAAGGAAGAACCGATTTGACCCTATGCTCCCTTGAGTGAGTCTCTGACGGTGAACAGAAAGTGGCTTTCCCGAAGAGGTGCTTGGTGGTGAAGGCACCAGGCTCTCTTTGGTACTTGGCAAGCTTTCGTAGCCTGGCATTATCTTTTTCTGGCTTTGTGATTCCCCAGGCCTGCCATCGGAGCTAAGCACAAGATTTGCAATGACAGGAAAAGAAGAGTCCTCACTTGGAAAGTGAAGGCAGGGTGTCAGCAAATGCCTTTTGAGTACCTCAAGTCCTCGTGCTTCCAAGGAGATTACTGTTTTCTCGGAAACTACAGAAAGGTCCAGCTCAGCAGAGGAAAGCCAGAGACTCTGGGGTTGGGGGTTAGCTCAGCGGCGGAGTGCTTGCCTAGCAATCCTGAAGGTCCCAGGTTCACTCCTCAGCCCTGGGGGAGAGAAACAGATGCTCTGAAAGGGAGCAAAACCTCAGCGGTCTTAGCTAAATTACCCGATGGTGTCTTTCCACTCTGCTTGTTCATTGCTTGGAGAAACAACTGAATTCCTAGGATACTGAGCACAAGGGCGTGGCTGAGACCTCGCTTCTGGGTCCCCTAAAAGCTGAGCACGTGCCACCAGCGCGCTGCAGTCACAGAAACTAGGAGTCCACACCTCAAGGAGCGGCACACATCCCACAGGACAAAGGGATGCTTTATTGTCCGTTAATTGAAAAGACAATGAGTTTAGAAACGCAACCGAAAGTGGGAAAAGCTGCGAATGGAGTTTTCCCGGGGAAGCGTGCCTGACAAAAGGCAGAGTTGGTTTCCAGTGCACCCATGATTTGAACCGGTTTCCATCACAAACAGATGAGCTGCTGGCCAGGTACTGTCAACATGGCTGTGCATAAAAATAACTTCTTAGGTATTTCGTATTAAGTTCTGCTGTATATTTCGATACAAGTGTATTTATTTTTTCCAAGTCCTACTTTATTTATTGTCAGTGTCTTGAACTTTAAATTGCTTATTCCTTTGTTTTCTTTCATATGCAATACCTGCCATGGTGCTGTGTTTTAAACTTACACAATTAGAATAGGCAAATGCTTGCATATGTATCGTCATAGTCAAACGGTAATCTAACCCCCCCAAAGTGTACATAAGGTAAAAAGTTGGTGCTATATGTATATTTTGAGCTTTTAATTTGTTGAATTTTCTGAAAACTTACAATGTACCTGACACATATGAATTTACTTGAATTTGCTGTATAGCTAAGACTTTTATATGTTTTCAAAGATTATTTTTCATAATTAATTGAACAGCTCTTTATCCTTTTGGCTTATTCAAAAATATTTATTTTATAATTTTAGTATTTTCATGAACATTTGGCTGGTGGCAATCACTTATTTGGAGTTTTTTTTTTTTCTTTTTTTTTCTTTTTGGTTGATCAACTCATCTGTATAAAAAGATGCAGTTAATTTTCTTGTTTTATAAATTATATTCACTTATATTCACTTCAGTTCCACGGAACAGAATCCTTTCTTACAAATTGTATAGTTATTACTCTTTCTTTTTCTAATTTCTGTGAATGTATGACTGGCTTATTCCTGTTTCAAGGACTTATATATTTGTTCACATGACTTGAGGAGTGTTGAGGATATGATAAGTTACATGATGCATACTGAAAGTTGCCTGTCACTGTAATTCAAGCTCATTTTTCTTCACTGAATCTGACATAACTAGAAAGATGAGACTGATCACATGCTACAAACCCTCAATCCACTATTATTTATTCTTCAACTTCTTTTTCCTCTGCCTCAGCTCTGCTCATAGCAAGGGGCTCCAAGGCATTCTTGGTTTTGCTAACACAACAAAGAGTTTGGCAGGTGTTCAACCCTTTAATAAAAGTAAACAAGGATAATTTGGTCCCCAAAGTAGGATAAAAAATGTCCCTCCAAATAACCATTTGTTTCATTAAAGAAAAACCTGTTTACTTCAGCTGTTGTTTATAGCAAGGGAGAAGAATTATTAATTTTCTCTCAATTGTACTTCAGATACATTTTAAATACAAAATAATTACAGGCCACAATGAGAATATTAAAACTATTTTGTTTTTCTTCCATAAACGAGGATGTTCAAACAGTCTCAATTTTATGCCAGCTCGGTTAGCAGTTCTAGGTAGAAATCTTCCTATGTAGAGAAGATCTATACTCAGTTAATTTTTTCTGGCTTTTAAAGTCTAATGAAAAGAAGAATGGCTTGTGCACATGCCCATTGTTCCTTCCAAATGGAAACATTGACTGTTACTTCTAACACAATGGCAATACAGTCAATCTTGAGTTTTTCAACTTCGTACCTTGATTTAATGACTTTAACCTCCTTATGTGCTTTTTGCTTGTGTTTCAAGATATAGTTGGAAATTAAAATTTTGCCTACTTATAGAGCTTAAGGAATTATTTCATGATATACTGCCTATACAAATTATCATTTGATATTCAGCCTACAGAGTAATTTCTATGACTATGTCTTAGGCATTAAATTTGGTTTAGCTCTTCTGTTTCTGCAGCCCCTCCCACTTCTGAGAAACTTATTATATACCTCCTTTTGTCCACAAGGTGGTGTTTGAGGCAGTTTGTTCAGAAGTGAACAAGTTCCCAGAAGTCTAAAACCTAGAAAAGGCTGGTGGACAGCTGAGTCAGACATTGGCCTTTGCACTTTTTTTGTTTTGTTTTGTTTTGTAAATAATCTTTGTAAATTATATTTCATTTAATTAAGTTGTGCTTTTCCAAAATTTCAGCCTCTCTGTGAGGCAGGCATAATAACTTTGTTCATTGTTTCCCATTTATTTATTCATTATGCATATAGCCACATGTTACATGCAAATTTGCTGTAAGGTTGTCTTGTGTTACTCTTGTATTTTAGTGACTAATGTGCAAACACCTGGACATCCATCCTCCCCTACAAGACAGGACATATACTCGAAGACACTCTTTTGCCAATTAAAAAACATTTACCTTAGCACAAAAAGTAGACGATTTATATGTTACACGATGCCTAATTTTGCAATTAACTTTGTGCAATGTCTATCTCTAGAAACATGGCCCTACTTACACAAATAAGTAGGAACACTGTTTTTCAAAATTCCATCCTTATTTTTTTAATGCCGTCTTCTTTCTGGTGCTGGTAATAAATACTTTCTGAGACTGGGAATTAGGCCCAGTGATGTTGAGGTTATTTGAATGAGAAAAGCTGAGCAGATTTAACCTCTCCCCTTTCTCTTAAATTATTTTCCACACATATCTATACACACCTACTGTGTGAAGATACAAAGTGTTTTCTCTTCTGGCTTCAGAACAGAGAATACACTCCCCCCCCCCCATTTTTTTTTCCTCTTCTCTCAGAGGTTAACCAAAACCCTATGTGGAGATTACCAGCAGAGTTTAATTAAAAAGTAGCATTTGTTGTATTAAATTTGTTCAATGAGGGGAATTGCGGGGAACAGGAAAAGAAGTTATTTCTGTTTTTATTTACCAATGTAGCTAGAGCTATCATATTAGCATTTCACTAAACAGGATCATGTAGGGGACTTCATTTTGTTTGAAGTGTCTGCAGCGCCAAGAGAACACTAATCCAGACAAGTAGACCCAGCAATAAAATAATTATCCGAAAGACAAGACAAAGCTAGGAGCATCTACGTGAAAAAAAAAAAAAAATGTCAAATTCGTTTCCAGTAGTTATCTCTGGTGTGACTCATGCAGTCAGCTACCAGCTTGATGGACTTGTCGAGAGTGAACGCTAATGATGTAGGCATCACTAAACTTAGGACTAACTGCTTAAAATTTAACACAAGCCTGGGTGCTGGCTTGACCATAACAAGCCTGCAAGCATAAAGATTCACTTTTGCAACTTTTTATTTTGCTGTGGTACTTAAAGTACACTTGGGAGGATAAATACTTTTGCTGAATTTAAATTCAGATTGTGTTGTGGAATATTTTATAACTATTTATTTTTAAAATAATGTTTGGGATGTACTTTCATCCACTTTGCTCGATATCTTAACTCATCAGCTACACGAGGTTTAATTTTTATCACGTTATATGGAACGCCACCCACTTTATCACAAACCCCAGTGAACAGACACATGCAGGCCTGGGTTCCTCTGGCTTTATCACGCAGCCTGAACGTGTTGCCTCTCTCAGCCATAAAGAAATTGACTCTAAACCAGGGAACTCTAAGGTGCGATTCTTAACACTGTGTCTACACTTTAGCCCTTCTTGGCAGCTGAAGCCGCAGGAAAGTTCTATTATGGTAGGTCTTAGCCACACTGAGCTTCACAATCACCCAAGCACCAAGAGCAAACCAGGGAGCCTGAGACTGATCTATTGCAGGTGCTCACAGTTTGAGTGCGTAACCTGCCTGTCTGGTAGCTCATGAAAAGCCCAGTAGATTGATTTCAGGTGATAATTATAAACAGAAACAGAAGTCAGAGTCAGCCCAAAATGATGGTCTCTTCTAACAGAAATTAAAATCAATTTCGGCTCTTTGCCAGAGAGAATTCTGAGAAAGCTAAGAAGCATCACCAGGAAATTTCCTCACATAATAAGATGTTGGTATAGCAATAAGTATTTAAATATGTGGTGTGCTTTCTAACAGAAGTTAGTTACGTCAAAATGTGCCCGTGGCTTTCTATGTCCATATGGACTCGCTAAGGACTTAAACAGTTCCTAACTATTCTTTCCTTCTTACTCCCTTACAATAAATTAAGTAGGTGCTTTCTAAGGGATATTGTTGTCTTCTCTTATGCAACTGTGAACTTGGAGACCAAATGAAAAGCACATCAAAACAGACTGTAATAAGAAGACACAAATCCCAAAAAGTTTCTTGGAGTCAATTTCTTCAGTTATTAATGAAAGGCAGTACACAAAAGCATGGAAAACAGAAAGTTAGTATGAATTGCCGTTTGTCGAGACTACAAATATTTACCAGTGGCCTCTTTCCAATAACCAGATCTAGCAAGCATGCTGCAGTTCTTTAGATAATATTCTAAAAACCATTTGAACACATGTGTTACATATACAGTATTGTGGTTGGAAGTTTGTGTTTAATATTTACTGAGCCATATGCACTGACAGTTCAGCATCACAAGTTCACTAAAAACAACCTGGAAAGTATTTTACTACATAAACTGATAACCTACAAGTGTTAAGCACAAGTATTATCTTACAGTTTTAAGATTGTTTGTGGCCACTTTTCACCTGTACCAAAATAAAGAACTTACTAATGTGTCTTTCTTGGTGCTGTTTCCATACCCCCTTCCCCAGGGTCATCAACATGTTTAAAGGTAATTCTCTTGACATTTGAAATCATTTGCATCATGAGGGATTTTCCACCTCTATTGGTTGGTTAACTTTAAACCTGGAGATTCTGTACCTCAGAAACACTATGCTATCTCCAAAATTAAGCAATACAGTCACAGGGGAGCTTCCGAAACAGGCAGGGGTTTATAGTAAGCACACTTTGGGTCTAATAATGTTTTTAAATTGCAATATTGATTTAACCAGCATGAAATCTAAAGCATTTCAAGTCGGCCGCCTAACGATGTGACTACTCCTTGCTACTCTTCTGTTAGACAGAAGACAATCGCCCAAAATCAGCATCACTGAATCTGTATGCTCAGACTGGGAGATGATTTCCAGACTCCTTAACCAACCTGTTGGCCATCTGGGTTGAGCATCAAATCATACTCCCAACTGAAGCAGAGTAGAAACAAACCGGAAATCGTTTGCTCTTGATTAACATGTCAGTTTGTGAGCAGCTTCGATCGCCTACACATTCCCCTCTTGGCAAGTCCTCTGGTGGATATATGTGCACCTTTGGAGGTTCTGTCAAAGCAGAGGTGGAGATCTCGCCTTTGCTAGGGGTATGCACCGGGTCTGCTTGCGTTCAGCAGCTGTCTTTCATGGAGACGCTTCCCTGGGCACTTTTCTTCACAAGTTCTTCATTGAGAATTAGTGCATTTGTAAACTGTTTTCTTTGACTGAACTGTACCGTGGGTTGTTCCTCCCATTGGGAATGTGCAGGGTTTGCATAAGCTTCCGTAAGTGGCTGTTCCTGGCCCGGCTTACTGCTCTCGGGGAGCTTGTCATAGAGTTTTGATATGCATCAGGTTTGTGTAACAGTTGGATGAACTATTTGAATTTTTTTTTATTTCTTATGGAGACGATATTATAGAACTGAGGAACATGCTTAATTACTTAATTTTTCTTTTCCTGTACTTGATAATGTCACTCCAATTAAAATAAAAACACTTTGATGGAAACAGTGTTTCTTTGCATGTTGCATTATGTGTCGTAACTGTTTTCTAAAGAGTATACAATATTTTTGTGTAATGTACCAGGGAACTCTAACACATGCCTCCGCCTCTAAAAACTATCTTGCAAACAGGAAGAAGGACATCCTTTTAGTCTCTAGAAGTGGCGCTGATCTATGTAGTCAAGTTGGAATCTCTCTCTTTAAGAATGATCCATGATAGAAACACAAAACTAAGCAATACAGTCACAGGGAAGCTAAAAGCCATGTAAAGAAATCCCATCCAGATTTCATATTTGATTTAACCATATAAAATTATATAAAATTATAAAACTATATAAAATTTAACTATGTAAAAATTCACACGGGGAACATTTGATATAAAAATACCATTGGAACTTAACTCTTCTTTGACCTTAGTTTCATAAACTAACTGAGGACCTGTTGGCCTCTGTGTGGGACAAGTCCCAAAGATGCACTGTGACACAGGAAGTACATTAGGTCTGGTAGATAATTCAAGCACAGGTTGATGGAACGGCAAACCAGCGTCTTTATGCAAACACCGACGAAGCACTCGGGAAACACCTCATTGTTCAGAAGATAGTCTTTTTACAAGGGGAGGTGGGCTCTAGTACACGAATATTGGGAGGTTAGCCTCATTTTCCTCAATGGACAGCTCATTCAACCATCTGAACCATCTGAGTCACGCTGGACTCAACAGATATTTACAGAACATTGCATCCAGTGGTAGCACAAAGACCTGCTCAGTATTTTGGGAGAAGGGGCGTATATTCATTGTGCTTTGTTTGGTTTGGGTTCTGGGTTTTTTTGGGGGGGTCCTGGGGGGTTGAAGGATAATTTTTTTTCAGTTTCTTCACTTTACATCCCAAGGGCCGCCCTCCCTCCTCTTCTCCCAGTTCCCCACCCTTTCCTTCTTCCCCCTTCTCTTCTCTCCTTCCCCCAGAAAAGGGGACCCCCTTCCCCCTTACCAGTCCTCCCCAGCACATCAGTTCACATCAGGATTGAGCATATCCTCATCCCCTGAGGCCATGCAAGGCAAGGCCGCCGGGGGAAGTGATCCAGAAGCAGGCAAGAGTCCATGTTAGAAATAGCCCCGGCCCCATGGGGCTGAGTTAGTGGTCTCTTTTGGTCTTCTTGTGAAGTTTCTGTCCCCTCCAGGTCCTTTCATCTTTCCCCCCAACACTTCTATAAGACACCCCCTAGGATCTCTGCCCCAGGCTTGGCTGCAAGTCCCAGCATCTGTCCTGATCCAGTGCTCAAAGGAGCCTCTCAGATGACAGTCAAGTTAGGCTCTTGTTGGTTTTATATAGACAGTCTTTGTCACATTATGGTGAAACATTCATCCCTTACCATTTCCTCCCTTCAGTCCTTCTCTTCATTTCTGTGCCTGCTTGTTTACTGTCTCCCTCTTGCTTTCATGACATATATGTACTATACATGAATGTGAATATACATGAATATATATTAGTGATTTTATGTACCTATAAAGAGTTCTAGAACCCATGAGAGAAAGAACGTGATGCTTTTATTTCCGCATTTCATTTACTTTAGTTAATATGATGATTTCCTGTTCTATCCATTTTTCAGGAAAGGGCGTCACTGAGTTCTTCTTATGGATCAATAAAAGTCCATTGTGTGTGTGTCTGTGTGTTACACTTCACATTTTCTTTATCTCTTGTCAGACACCTACAGAGATTCCATACTTTGGCTATTGTGAACATCGCTGCTAACAAACAGGGACAGGTGGGTGTTCCCACAGTGTTCGGAACTAGAACCCTTTGGTATACACCCAGGGGTACGACAGCCATGTCATATCAATGTTGTGTGTTTATGTTTTAGCCAGCAAGTATGTAAAGAAAAGAGAAGTCCTAAAAACTGGTGGTGGGATTGTGACAAAGTCATTATGAAAATCATTGTAGAGATTCAAAAAGCAAATTTTTAAACCCTATAAATGCACATACCATAAAATCTGCATGTCTGTGTATACACCTAAAGAAGATTAAGTCAATTAACAGGATCAAACCCTTGTCTATCATTAATAAAATTCCACATCTATTGCAGCAGTATACAATAGCCAAACTATGGGATCACAACAAACGTCCTTCAGTAGATGAATCAATGAAGAAATGTATCTTTGTATGTTCTACCAAATGGTGTTTTATTGACAGGAGTATGGATGGGAGAAGAAAGCATCATGTGACATGGAAAGACAGATACCACATGTTCTTGCTGTTTTCTGGAAATCAGAATAGAACCGTGGTCACTAGAGAGTATGCACAACAGGAGAAAGACCAGGAAGAAGTTTAATACAGGGCACAAAACCCAGACTGCAGGGATCACCTACAGTTCATCTTTAACATATTGGGGTAACTACCGGTTAAAGCCATCTATGGTGAATCTCAAAGTGACTAAGCTACACAATCCCTAACACATAGAATAGTAATTGAAGAAGTGGAAATTAGTGTTGCCCTGATTTAATCATTATAAACACGTGTATTTAATTGCCATAATGCAACCCTAAACTGCCTAAATTTTCACAAGAATTCAGTGCCTTTGGTAAGTTGCTTTGTAAAACTTACAAAACGTGATGGGAAGTAAGGTATTTTTGCATCAGTGAGGCTCTAAGGAGGAGCTAACAACCTCTGAAAGGTAAGTGTGGTCCCTAACCTAGAGACCAAGCTGGACTTGACTTACAGTACTCTGAGAACTCTGAAATAGCATTCAGTGTGTTCTCCTAGGGAACATGAGTTTGCAATTTTCATTAGAAATTCAAAGAAACCCATTAAGTCTCAATGCACACACAAACACACACACACACACACACACACACACCACACACATATGTTCTGTCACAGGGTAACCCTGTGGACCAGTAAGAACTTTTCAGTATTTCTCCAGATGGAATAAACTAGTAAAATAAATACAGTTTGGGAAGTCAGTTTTAATGCATCTAAAAGAGTTCAATCAACATGTAACCACATTTAACATGACTATATATTTGAAAACATACAAAAGATTATGAAACCATGTTTATTTGTTCTTTGGTACAGCCAGACATGTTACCCCAAACTTTTAAAATAAATAATGTCAGCAATAAAACGTATGCATCTCGGGGTATTAAAAATCACTCTTTGCTTTCATATAGAAGACTTTAAAGTATGAATGGGTTTGGGCTACAGTACGTGCTACTCACAGATTCAGACTAAAGATGGAAACCACCGCATACTGTACAGAGATCGCTTCTGTGACACAACCCTGATGGAGATTTTAAGCACCGGTTTTATCGAATGTAGTGGGTGTTTTTTTTTTTCCTTACTATCCTAGCGATATTTGATATAACTGAATTAATAATCTGAGAACAATATGTAAATTGAGATGAAGATGAGGACAGCAATTGAGGTAAACTAAACAGTTTTGTTGTTGTTATCGGCACAGTGGCCCACAATACATCACATATTTATCCTAGCACGGCAAAGTTCAAGATCCTGGGAAGAGGATTGTAAGTTTGGCTCAAAAGAAATTGGATTTGATTTTTGTCCGATGACTGTCCTGTCTTCCTTCCATGGACAAGGAAGAGGACTCACTGAATAGCACCATGGTTCTAAATCTGATTGTCAAGTAGGACTTGTGTAATCATGTCAGAGGTGAAACCTTTTGGTCTTTGTCCCAGTGGTGGATATTGCTTCTCCTCCACGCTCCTCTACCGGGCATGGTTTGTGTAGAGGGCCTATAATGCTAAGGCTTTCACTTGTCAGGACCTTTGCTGAATGCTCTTTGACCAGACTGCAGGGTGCAAGAGGCTGGCTCACAGAAACCAGGAGCGCCCGGAGGACCCGGGGGTCCCGGCACGCCAGGAATTCCTGCCACTCCCGGGGGACCTTGCTCTCCATCTCGGCCGTTTTTCCCGTAGCTGGCAGGTCCTGGATCACCTGAAACAGGCAAAACCCCACACATGTGAACAAGCTATTGATTAGCAGAAGACCCTCAGAGCCGAGCAGTGCGCCACAAGACGCTTGGCAGACGCCTTTGCAGAGGGCCCGTGAAGATGAGACGGGGAAGCCCCATTAGCGGGTGTCGGTTTCACAGAAAGCGATTTCCGTGTCCGTCTCCCACATTTCCATCTCGGCGGCCTGCAGCCATATATGTCTACTGAATACTGAAATGTGGCTGGCCCAAACTGTGGTAAACTGTAGGTATAAGATTAGGCTGGAATTTGAAGGTTTAGCATAAAAGGAGTGTAAAACGTTTTAGTAATGAACGTTCAACATATTACCTAATGTGACAATATTTTGATCCTAGTGAGTCAAGTAAACTGCACAGGCATCCCTCAGTTTACAGTGTGGTCATGCCGAGAATGTAATTCAAGTAAAAAAAAAAAAAAAAAGCAAGCCCCCAACCTGCCAAACATCGGAATTTAGCAACCCAACAAGCCACAGAGAAAGCAGGCCTTTCCACTTGTGGGTGCACAGCCAATTCTGCGCTTCCTGGCGTCAGAGGAGAAAAAAAAAAATCATATCCTGTATCACTAACTCCATAAAAAGGTCAAAACTCAGAAATTTTTAAGAGAAGCTTCTACCAACTCTGTCGTCACAAAGTGGAAAAATCCGAGGCTGGCTGCAGCAGGTGAGTGACGAGCCGTATTACTAAAGTTGATCTCACCTGACTCTGCACCTTTCCCTACTGAAGAGTCAAGGTCACACACGTGGCTCTGTGGCTCACATCGTCTTTCTCATGAGCAGTGCAGCCTCGCGGCCTCCCCCATTTCCAATCCACATCCAAGCAAAGATAAGCTTAGCTAAGAAGGTGAAAACACGCGCCTCCACGACAAACGGTTTTCAATTGTTCATAAACAGCCATTTATGAACAATTCAAATCAGAAAAAGAAAGGAAGCCTCTTAACCTTCATCACCTACAGAATGGGATATTTGGGTTTGTTAGCATCAAGTTCTGTCCATTAAATGGTGGACCGTCTCAATTATTAAATATTATTTGTTAACGTCTCTTAGGAGACACACCACACTCCCAACAAAATTCCATAATCTTACCCGAACATGAGTTTCAACACGGGCATTTCTACTTTGTCATATTTGCGCAATAGGGCAGCTATCCTGAGGCATAGCGCCCCATAACAAAAAAGGGGTTTCTATGGAATGCGTCCCCCTTCGCATCAATAGTGTGTTACCACGAGAGGGATGCTAAGAAAGCAGCAAGCATGCACCTGCATTCGCCATGACAATCTTCTTACAGAGAATCTCTCTCTGCCTCGTGCAGAAGCCAAAAGCAAATCTTCAGATCCAGTTACACACTTTTGTAGGTAGAGGTACCCCCCTATTTTCCCAAGGTTTTCATCTTTTTCCTGTTTAAGTGGTCTAATTACATACATCTCTTGTAATGACCTGCTCCTATTAAGTGGTATTATCACTACACATCTCACATATTTTGATACGTCGGAGACCCTACTTTACGTACGTCTCATTCTTCCGTGTGTCTTATATCAGGCTCTCTACAAAGCAGTGTGAAGAGGGCAAACCATTAGCAAGGTTTAAGGGAGAATCATTATCTTTGAATGTATGCGTCTCAAGGATATAGTTGAGCAGAAATGTGTTATTTCCAACAAATTATCTCATAGGCTTTTATCCAACTAGAAGTTGAGATGAAGCAAGCGATTATCCATTTCCTTTAATGGGAGAAAGGCTTTATCCACAGCATCTATCTATAAGGCTGTCACAACTGCTCCCACAGCAGAGACCTCTCCATCCCCTGACATTAGAGACAGTTAAAGGGTGAGTGGATTATTTTTTCTTTTTTAGTTGTAAAAAAAGAAAAAATAGGCCACATCTAACTACATATGAAAGGAGGTTTTCATGCCCTTTTTCAATAGGGATTTCACACTGAGATATGTCAAATCTGTCTTTAAAAAAATCAAACCAAGACCAGAAGAAAATGACCATGCTCACAGAAGAAACTAAAGTCCAAAGACCATAGGGGCTGGGCAGCTAGGGTAGATAGCCAAATCTTATTTTAAAAAGAAAATGGCTGTGTTAGGACTTTGGGAAGGCAAAGCCATGGCTGAGTGGCCATCATAGACCCCTCACACTCCAAAGCAAGAACTGTAACCCTGTACAGAGAAGGGTTCTTGGCAACAAAGGTCACCAGCGAACAGGCCTGGACTGGAAAATATCCCACTGCCTTTGCTAAAAGAAAACATAATATGAGAGTAACAGAAAGGACCATCGCGGTCCTATCTGGGGAGCCCCCCAAATAGACACAGAGAGTGAGTGGGTGGTAGCTGGAGGATGGGTGACCCCAGCCCTGCTCCTGATGGCAACTACCGCAGGGAACGCCAACCAGTGCTTCAAATAAGACCTGCCCATTTTCCGATGTGACCAGCCCCTTCAATTTTTCTTTCACATTAGTAAAATATTACCCTCCCAGGTAATATTTAAAATATTAAACTCCCTTTAACCTTAAGTTAAAGGGAGTTGATTCTTTAAAACACAAACATTAGAAAGAAACAACCACAAAAGGAGACAGGTGTGGAAGGCCCATGCCTTTAATCCCAGCACTTGGGAGGCAGAGCAGGTGGATCTCTATGAGTCTGATTCCAGTAAGTTCAAAATAGAGATGTCAAGGCCAGTCAAAAATACAGAGAAAAACCCTGCTTCAAACAACACTGAAACCAGAGAGATTCCTAAATCCTCACACAGAGTCTCCCAGATGAAATGCTGGGGTGTGAACATCTGTTGACCAAGCTGGACTCAAACTCCCGCCTCTGCCTCCTATATGCCAGGATTACAGGCAGGAGCTACCCAGTCCGGCTCCGATCCAACACATTTTAAGGAGATGTGGGCGTTTTATCTTGCTTTGGTTTGACTTGCTGAGTGTGTTCAAGTTTCTTCTTGGCCTTCGATAGAGATGGTGAGGCTGACCTTTCTGTCTCTGACTCTCCTCAGCAGAGGCACAGCGAGCTCCATCAACCTTCAGCCAGGGCCCCAGCAATGTACGCGCTTTGTAGCTACGGCTGGTGCCCATCGCTAACGTCATCGCCAGCACTGTTCATGGTGCCCTTCTCACACACGCCACACGCCTTGCTCACTGCTGACCTCATTTTCCTCACGTGAAAACGGCCTTCAGAAGGCTCCCCACCCAGTCACAGAGCTAGAAAACACTGTAGTCGGTAATAAGGGCCCTTAACCGCTACTTTAGCTGAGCTAACCTTCCACAGCTGATAACCGACTGACTCTCCTGAGGTGATTTGCATAAGGCGGTGTGGTGGTGGTGGTGGTGCTGAATTTGCTGGGTCTAAATTGACTGGGAAGTGACAAGACACGCAAAAACAGAAATTTAAGACTGATTTTTCTTTTAGGTCTCTATCATGGGACACTAAATATGTTTGAAGTGTGTTTTGCCCTGTGTTCATGCCTGGGGTCACAAGTGCTTATCAGTTCTTTGTGAGCCCTATACCCCCACAGCTATGTTCTCCAGGATGCTCTAAATTTTCTGAGAGGGAACCTCACTGTGGGGTGACATTAGGTTACAGTTGGAGTTGATTCATTTTAACTGTTCTATACATAGCGGGTTCAGCAACCACGTTAGTGTCCATCGGCAGCTCTGTGTGTGCTAAAAGAGAGAGAGAGAGAGAGAGAGAGAAAAGACCTAGGTCTGAAGAACCTTCACTACGCCCTGCCCACCCTGTGGGTCTGTTGACTCCACAAACTACCTAATGACGACACGGCTTTCTGAAATGTCAACAACCATACTGCAGGAAAGTTTTCATGATGTTAGGAAGAATCGACTAAAAACATCTGTATCATTCTCTGCGCGGACACTAGAGGGCAGGCATGGTACACTTATGTAGGCAGAGCCTGTCCCCTAACACTTTCCAGAATGAAACAACAGCACGCACACACAAAGGAAGGAAAAAAAAGCATGCAAATAACTGTCAGCGTTAAATAAGCCATCTGATGATGACTGCAACGGCTATTTCATCTTTGAGGATGTGCCCTCAAGATTCTTTTCATATATATATGAATATATATATATATATATATATATATATATATATATATATATATATATGCCGAGCTTATCTCTGTGGTATTTTACATGATTCTTCGTTTAATTTCTTCCTTCCTCTCCCTAGCGAGTCTGAGTGCAGAGAGCAGCCAGGATTTATTATTAAATATTTTTCCTGGAAATGCCCTGAGTGCTGAGTTACTAGTCACAGATGGGCAGTTCAGTGGCAGCAGGCATGCTGGGGTGTTCCTTAATGAGATGACCTAAGTGGGCATTCGCACTAGCTAGCTCTGGTTTAAAAAAAAAATGGAGAGGGAAGGGAGGGAATTAAAGGCTCAGCGGTTGTTTATAAGATCTGCATAGCTCCAGGAGAGAGGCAGAAAAATAAGAGGTTGGAGATGTGCCCACATCAAGCAACTATGGTGACAGAGACAAACTAGCCACACTGGACAACCTGTCATTTTTGTCTATTTCATGAACCTAGACTCAGGAAGCGTAAATACTTCCCTCTACCATTTACAACCTGTGATACCTTTGTTAGGGTGTGTGACCTCGGCCAGTCTACCTATGCTCAAATATAAAGAAAGGATTAAGTACATACAGCACAGTCAGCCGAATCTCAAGGTGGGGCTTAGCCAGGCCCTGCTCTGCGGCCTTTACATGTTTCAGCATGTGGGTATACCCTCCTAGAATAGCCCATGAGGGTTTGTAGTTCTGACTCCTGTTCCACAAGAAGGAACTGAGAGCAGTATTCACTGGAAGCAAAGAAGAGAAGGGTCCACAAGTCCTGGGAGCCTGCACCCAGGGCCACAGCTCCCCAATCTATGGCTCAGAGAACATGGAGAAAGAGAGAGTAGAAAGATTATAAAGCGGAAAGACCAGGAAATCTGCTGTGAAACAGTGTCTCCTGGAAATGGCTACATAAACAAGACAGGAATGATGACAATATCAATGAGCATTGTAATGTTGAATGGAGAAATTTCTCAGGGTCCTATCCCTAGACAAAGAACCACAGGCATCTAGGAGTGCTGGGATTGCCCTGTCCCCAGGATGAGCCCCTTATAGGTTGTCCAAGGCAGACCAACCAGTCCTTAAACAATCTATGCACCCCCAACAAGGCCTCAGAGATTCTATTACCACGTGCACACACATACATGTATATGTGAGTGTGTATAATAATTACACACAGAAACGAGAGGCTATCAGTGAGAGTCAGGGTGGAAATGGGAGGAATTAGATTCAGGGCACCTGGGGAGGGAAGGAAGGCGGGAAGTGATGTAATTCTAATTCAATTAAAAATCTAGCTTAAGCTGGGCACAGTGGCACACCTGTAATCCTAGCACTCTAGGAGGCAGATGCAGGTGGATCTTTGTGATTTTAAGGCCAGCCTGGTCTACAAAGTGAGACGTGTGTGTGTGTGTGTGTGTGTGTGGTGTGATATATACATACTATAATATACTATATAGTATACTATATAGTATATAGTATACTATAGTATGATATATGCTATATAGTATACTATAGTATAATATATATAGTATACTATACATATAGTATATATAGTATACTTTATATATATACTAAATATAGTATATACAGTTTTCATATATAGTTTAAAATAAAATTTAAAGAGTAAAGCTTAAAAGAAAGGGGAGGGGATTAGCCATATTTATTTCAATTAAAATTTAAAAACAATGAAAAGTTAAGTTTTAAAGGAGGGTGGTATTTCTTTGGGGTAAGATGTATATTTACCTAGAAGATTCCAAACAGATTCCTGTGCAGAATTCTGTTGAGGTTTCCTCCAGATCTTGAAGTTTTACTATCATTATGCTTGTATCACAAAACCACGGTCTAAGTTCCACTGGGAAATTTGTTTTTTAAATGTCATCCTCTTGGTGGACAATTAAAGGGTGAAATGACCATAGTGGCCAGTTCTCTACAATAATGGCACAGCTTCAAGCAGAGTGTCATGAAATAAAGACCAGCATCGTGGGAGTAGGGCTAATTGAGAGCAAGGTTGCCTGTGAGGGCCCATCAAGAGCGGCAGGAGAGAGAGCTGCAAGGGTTAGCTTCTGCTTTGCCCTTGGCTCCCCTCATCAATGTCAAAAGCAAAAGTGAACTAATAGATGACATTTTTTTCGAAACTGTTCTGGTCACAAACTGTCCAAAGCACTACACAATTGCTTCTTTTTAATTCTAGAATTACGCCATCAGAATGATGTCCTGGGTACTTTGTAAATAAGTAAACTGAGGCACAGAGAGAAACTGATTAGCCTAATGTCATAAGGCTGAGAAGTGGCTGTGGCCTGATTTGAACCCAGGGTTTCTGGATTATGGGTCCTGTGCTTTAAGGGACCGATGGTCAGAGAGCTCTGTCAGGGACCTGTCTGATTCAATTAGCCATATGTATTCAAAGTGATGGGAAGAGAAGGTGAACCGAACATAGAGAACCATCCAGCCGCAGGGCCTCGCTCTCCCCGCGACTGTGATTTGGAAGCTTAGCCTACATTTTGAAAAATAATCTGAAGGTCAAAGTTCGCCAAATGATGTCATTATCCCATCAAGGTAACAAAGACCTCCTCCTCTCCCCTCCAAAAACAGCTGAGGTGCAGGTAGACAGAAATGGAGAAGGGCGAGAAAGATGGCAGCAAAGAGGAGTGGGTAGAAAGCCAGTAGCAGTGGTGAGGGAGGGCGTCAATCAAAAAGGAAGGAGGGGCTCTCTCTTCTCAACACCCGTCCAGTGAGCCCAGATTTTTATTGTGAGCTAAAATCTTCTCTTGATCATTGTAAGTCCAACTAGCTTTTCTTATTTCCAATCTCATATATATATATATCATATATATATATATATATTTATAAAAATCTCGACATGTCCATGGATCCCAATTTTAGAATTGGCAACGCTTAAACTGTCTCCAAATGTAGTCCCCCTTCTAAATTTTAATAAGAAAAGTCCTCAACAGCAATAAAATAGATAATTGGAGGGCAAAGATTTGGGGGGGGCTATAATTATATAATTATAGCCATAATTAAACAGGTAACCTCTGGCAGAATTGTAAAATGGTAATTTCTTCTCCTAAATTTTCCTAAACCAAATTTTCCAAATCCATACTTGAAGCAAGAAACACCTTCCTATGTTTTTCACTCTCTGCTGCTCTGTGTCGTTAACTATGCCCTGTTAGAGTGAACCAGAGTCTTCAACAACTCTCCCCCCACCCCCAAACCAGCCAAATCTTAGCCACTGGTGCGACCCACCCACTACTGAGCTGAGCCAGCCTGGAGCCCCACAGTAGGCTTCCAAGTCATTTCCCCAGTGCATGAGCACACTTCAGGCCTGACCCCAGCGAGAGGATCCCGCTCCTCACAGAAGCCGCTCAGTCCCTCAGCCCACACAGCTGTGGCCTGCGCCTGTGCAGAGCTCAGACAAATTCCCCCCCGTGTTTGCTCTGGGCAGGGTGGATTTGGAGAAGAGTTTCGGTATTTGAAAGCGGAGCTTTTAAAATGAAATTTCAGTTACTCCTTGTACCACGGGAGGAACCGAAAACTTGGATTCCTTTCACAGCTGCTCTGGAGTTCGTAAAGCGTCTGAGCTGGGGCTGCCGTTCGCTAGCACAACGCTTGCCCGGTTAGCAAGTGGAGCCTGACTGGGCCTCGGTACTGTTTTCCTTAAAGCATATCTTTAAGAAGTGAATAGTTCAAGCCGTGAAACCTAGCTACTCACAAGGAATACACTCTTGATTTACAAATCCTCTAATGCGCTATTAAAACCGGTGGTGAAAACTGTGTCCATGACAGGCCAAAGTGACTGAACAGCGCTGCCTTCCAAGTGCTTCTTGGCGCATGCTCCGCCCTTGTCCCACTTTCTCCCCTTCCTTCACTTACCTGGGAGACCTATGGAGCCAGGCAAACCCTTAGGACCTCTTCCTGGAGGGCCACGTTCTCCTTTCTCTCCCAAGTCACCTGCGTCACATTGAAGAAAATGTTATGCTTCCATGTATCTACAGTGTTCTGTATTTTAAACATTAGGGACAGCGCAAACTCACGAAGTGAAAGTCATGAAATTGCTGGAAGCCAGACTGTCATAGACGCGCAGCAAGGCCAAAATCTTACCAACGGATCCAAGCAAGAAAAAAAAAAAAATCAAAAGATTGATCTGTAGCCACTTGATGCGCATTTTCAGTGAAACTCTACAAAGGTAAGAGTCGATGGACCCTCCCTTGATGACTCAATCTATCTCAGCCCAGAAGCACAGCCCTTCACAGTGGCTCTGCCCCAGGAAGAGCAAGAAGAATGTCCTCTTAGCTTTGAGGAATTAAAACCCTTTCCATTTTTAGGTAATAAGAACATATAACGATGAGAATCACTTTAAAAACTACTACAAGCAATAAGTGAATTCATTAATCTAGCAGGATACAAAATTTATATACAGAAATCAATTGTTTTCACATACACGAGCAGCCACCAGTTATGAGCCGTGGCAAAGAAGTACTATTTATAGTAGCAATTAAAATGCTAAACAACTCTACATGGGCTTAACAGAAATATGCAAGTAAAACATGAAAGAAATTGAGCGTTTCTAGTGAATAAGACCTGAAAAAAGTCTTCTGGGATGGAATGACATCCCAAAAAATAGTTGTCATTTCTCCCTGGGATGAATATTCACTACAATCCCATTTTTAAGCACAGAGAATCCCCCCCTTTTTTTTTAGCCAGAGAAAATGATTCTGAAGTTTGTGTTTTAAAAACCACATAAGCTGGAAAAGCCTCAAACCTCATCCAAGGAAAGTAGCATAAAGTCATTAAACCTACCAGTTATTAAACCTATCATAAGGGTGTAGTACTTATCTATGAGGTAGAAAAGTCCACATGGGTGCAAATATGTGTGAGAAATTGGTTTATAACAGAGGTGGCATCTTTTCTTTTTATAGTTACTTTATCACATTTTATGTGTCTTTCCGTGTGTATGCATGTACACATCGGTGCAGGTTGCCAGCAGACACCAGAAGAAGGCATAGAGTTCCCCCTGGACCTGGATGCATGTGAGCATCCTGATGTGGGCGCTGGGAACTGAGATTTGGTCCTCTGCAAGAACAGCCAGTGCTCTTAACTTCTGAGCCATCTCTCTAGCCCTAAAGGTGGCAGGCGATCTTAAGCTGAATAATGGTTAGTGAGTCATCAAATGTTTAGAAAAGAAATGAGTAGCCCACTAGGAAAAGAACTTATAGCTAGACTGCTACTGCATGATAGGATAAATTACAAACAGATTAAATGTCTAAGGAACACAGGAAAACAATGGGGAGACAGCTCAGTGGTTAAGAGCATTTTGTGTCCCTGAAGAAGACTCAGGTTCTGTGCTCAGAACCGCAGCAGATGCCTTATCTGTACCTCCATTTCCAGGAGATCCAGCACCTTCATTGGCAGCTGCACTTACATGGAACGCATATACACAAGCAGGTACACACGCCCAAAAACAAAAATAAATCTTACAAGAATGCGCAAACTACACGATTAGGCGGTCGTGACAAGGGAGTCAAAAATGAGTGTTGCATAGACGAGAGAGGCCCTGCTTTCGTTCATAAATGAACACAAAATTGAAAAGTAACAAAGATGCCTCCGTGGTTCTATTAAACACACCAAGTCTACAGAAAAACACAAAACTGTAGATCGCTGAGGAAAGTGCAAATTGGAAGGGAAGCAGCAATAGTGATCAAATTACAAGCAAAAGTTCCATTTTGCCCAGGAATTCTACTTCCAGAAATTTACTCTCAAAACAATAAAATATTTTGGAATGGAGATGGAATCAGAACTAGGAACGAAGTCTGTGTTGACATTTTGAATTGAGATGATATATGTTCTTTGCTGTGCTCTCTGCCTTGCTGCAGTGACAGACAGAAGACCCTTACAAGGTAAAGAAACACTGAGTTTCTGCTACAGAACAGACTACCCCACAGCTGGGAAAATCACGGGGGGCTCTTTGGAATGGTCTCCTGGACAAATTGTTAAGTGAAAAACAAACAAGGCTCAAATTGCTTGCTAAAGAACACTGTGGCTCTGTTCCTAAGTGGGGAGAGAGAGCACATGTCTCCAGATTTGCATAGCATTGCTTGGAGGGATCTTTAGGAAGTCAGTGGGCTTTATCCTAAGAACGACAATGGAAACTAAGCCTATGGGAATGTTGTGAGAGAAATTCTTTACTAAGTGCCGTTCATACCTTTAATCTTAGGGGGCGATGTAAATGTAGTACTATCAAAAATAAACTTCTTTTACAAATTGAAGTATACTATTGCAATTGCCTCTCACTTCTGACTCAGAAGCCATTGAGAATATTCTGTAGTTGTAACCAAATGGTACAAATCCTTCACAGGACAGTTGATTGAACTCCGGGCAAAAGTAACTGCAGAACAATGTTGCAAAACATTCACACATAGAAATTGTGTGTGTGTGTGGGGGGGGGGGGTTTAGCATGGCTCTCTGGGTGTTATTTATTTCATCTATCATTCACAAGCTGTAACTGTTGGTCTGCCCTCCTCCAAGAGCAGATCAATACAGAAAAGGTGTGAGTCACAGTTATGACGTGTATTTTCTCACACCTCTGTTTCTACACTATGTCACATCTGTCTGACCCACATTAAAATGTCTAAAAACACACATTTAAAAATAAGGTTTATGGCCTGAAACACTAAAAAAAAGCAAGCATAAGGCAGAAAGCCAGTCTGTTGCCTCTCCCAGGCCCCACTGTGCATGCAGGGAGTGAATGCCTCATGGACATTGGTCCTGCATGTGTTCAGTCACACATATTATGGTGTCAGAGAGAACTACCCATGGGGACTAACCTGCCACTCTACTTTGGCATGTGCAGGGGTGAGGGGGCAGGCATAAGCTCTTACCCAAAAGTTCCATTGTTTTTCAGAGGAATGTCAAGAGGAAGACAAAGGCTAAGACATAGCCTGAAGTATCAAAAGTCTCAATAACAAGTGTAGCTTCTTATTTATCTGAGAAAAGCCCAAGATACCATATCAAATCATATCACAGAGTGAGCCTCATGTCTTCTCTTTTTATTAGGTAGTAGTGGAGAAAGAGAACATCTATGTTGAATTATGTCTCTTCTTTAATGACTCAAAATTTAAATTTCAACAGAACAGGGTATGTTTCCTTAAGGAAGTCTTGAGCTGCAAACTTCTGAATAGTGAAAAGCAATATGGTTTTGTTAGATATTACTTTCCCTGTTATGGTAGGATAAGGCCAAGTTCAGTTAATTAGAACTGTGTATTTCTAAATTAGTTATAATGTTAATTGATAAAGAAAATCCAATTTCTCTGCCTGCCTTCATCCAGGTTTCAAAAGTAATGAAAATTACTTTTGAAATTATGAAAATGCTGACTTATATAAATCAAATGAGGAAGGGATGAGGACCTGGAGGAGGATTGTACTGGGATACTGAAGAAGGAAAAACCAGGGAGAAACATATGCGATCCGGAGGGGACTTAATACATGAGACTCGTGCAAGAGGTCTCTCCTGGGTTTCCAACACAGAAATACACTTTTCTTAGAAAAGGTTCTTCTGCTAGTACTAAACACAGCCACTGTTCTGTGCAGTCAAAAGCTCCTCCAGAAAACACTCCACAATCCCAGCCTCTTGTTAAAACTGCCTGGGGTGGGGGAGGCATAGTAAGCTCCCCAAAGCCCAGACCTATTGATGCTGAAACTCTGGAAGTGGAACCCAAACCTGGATTGCTTGTAAAACTCTCAGGGTAAAACTCTCAGGGTGGTTCCTTGTGCAGACAAGGCTGAAAGAGGTAGCTAGACTCTCAGGCCAGCAGGTAATCGTGACCTTCAGGCTGCCTGGAGGGGAGTTTGCTTACTAGCAGAAAGTTAAGATCTGAATAACCACATACTGACTTTCCAAAGCAAACAGGGATGTGATTTCTGTAGACGCTCCAAGGAAACTGTGTTTGGCCACATGGAGATCTCCTGAGAATCTCTTGAACTCGAGTAGTCGGCCCCACCCTGAGTTTCTGATTTAGGGTGTCTGGGGTGAGGCAGAGAACTGTGCATTTTCTTAGAACCATCGTCTTCAGAGTGGTCCAGAAGACCCATAAAGGCATTTGCTGCAGAGTCCTGAACTACTAGCTAAACGGGACAAAGATGAATAAGTATGTGACAATTTCTGAGGAAAGCCCAGAGCTCCATAGGATGGGGGTTTCCCCTTCCCTCTCCCTTTCATCTCTCCATCCTTACAAGAGTCCCAATTAGAGCCTATTTTTGACACGCAACTCTGCACATGCCAAAAGAAAGTAATTAAATACATTGTTCCAACTGAGGGTGTACTTAGCCAACCTCATCAGCAACTCATTTATAGATTCAAAGAGGCAGCAGGCTTGCCCTCTGCCCATTCACTCCATAATATTTATCCCTAATTGGAGTACCACGATTTTTAAAATAAAGGGGAGGGGGTCTCTTGTTTTTTGTGTCACTTGTTTTTATGTCTTTTGTTTTTTATCCTTCTGAAGTTTCCCAGAGAGCTGTCAGGAACACATCACAATGAAGAAACTCCCCACTTTACTTAATTCTCCATAAATTATCCAGCTGAAGTACCTCAGCTGGCAATGCCATCTGGGCCACCAAGACTTTCTGTCAGCTCTGCAGAATGTCTTACACCCTCACCTGTGTTTTGTTTCTGCAAAATTTTTTCCTGTGTACACGCACTTGGTTTGCTTTAAATGAGAGAGGACAGACTCCCATATGAAAGAAGGAATTAACTTAGATTGTGCCTCAGGGCTCAAAATAAAGGTCAGTCAAAAAGGAACAGCCTTACCAGGCCACAGAGGAATGCAGCCAGTCCTGATGAGACCTGAGAGGCTAGTGTCAGATAGAAGGGGAGGAGGACCTTCCCTTTCATTGGACTTGGAGAGGGACATGAGAGGAGATGAGGGAGGGAGGGTGGGATTGGCAGGGAATAGGGGAGGGGCTACAGCTGGGATACAAAGTGAACAAACTGTAATTAATATAAAAAAATTAAAAAGGAAAAAAAAGTAAAGGTACGATGTTAACTTTTGAAAGAGGGGAGAGCATCGCTAATTCCTGATATAATGAGCAGTCGTCTGTCCTGTACCTGTGTGAATTTCATAGACACAAACATCTTCAGACTAGATGCTGTTTTAAGAAAAGCCCTACAGTGTCTTTAGAGTCTCGGTATTTTGCATGATTCTGTGCGCTTGAGTGCAGATCACACATCTGAAGAAAATAGGCAGCTTGTGTGTCTTGCATCTGGACAAAGTAGCTTACCTTTGGGTGGAGAGATGTTTCCACAGTTCTTGCAAAAGACTTCACTTTGGTTCTTATGACCCACATCAGGTAGCTCACAAACGTATGTACAACTTCAGCTCCGGCGGGGTCTGAGGCCCTCTTCTGGCCTCCATGGGGACCCCACATGCATACACACTTACACATAATCAAAAATAAGACTTTTTAAAAAATCTTACCTTTAGGTCCCCTTAAGCCAAGAGCCCCAGGGGGACCCTTCATGCCTGGAAGGCCACGGATTCCCATCTGACCAGGGAAACCATTCTCTCCAGGGGGTCCTGGAGGCCCTGGGGGACCAGGCCTCCCAGGAAGGCCAGAGGCTCCTACATCTGGTCTCTTGAGGCTAGCAGCCATTTCAGCAAAATGCTCTGAAACAGAACAAAGAATCACAAGTCCCAAACACAACAGTGGCTAAGATGAAGGGAACGATACCACCCAGTGGCCTTTATCTAAATGTGACACCAAGAAAGAAACAAAGTTGGGTGTTTGCCACAGGCTTCCTCTCTGGAAGCTTCATTGTGCCTCTTTCCTGAGCTTGCCCTGGATGGATCCCACCCTGCTGTTTTGAGACTAATTTGGGAGTAATTCTTAATACTTCAGGACCTTGAGATAAGCAGTGGTTGAACAACTTGAAACCACCTGAATCCTATCTGGTACCAGGTGAAACCCCAGGATTTGACGAAAATGTGTGTGTGTGTGTGTGTGTGTGTGTGTGTGTGTGTGTGTGTGTGTTTTATCATAGGTGGAAATGTTATCTTGGAAGCTTTTAAAAATTCAAAGCAGCTGGGTATAAGTGGCATACACACCTGTTTTCCCAGCACTCGGGGGAGGCAGAGGCAATTGGATCTCTGTGAGTTCAATGCCAGACTGGTCTACAAAGCAAGTCCAGGACAACCAAGGCTACACAGAGAAACCCTGTCTCAAAAACAAAAACAAAACAAAAAGCATCGCTTTAAATTAGGGCACATACACTCTTTGAGACCAAGGCTCAAAACCAAGTCTTTTTAATTCAAAGCAATGCTATAACCTGAAATGTCATGAGAATCTGTGGCTTCTAACAAATCCTCCCCCTCCGGTTTATCTTCATGCTTGGAACAGATAACAATCATTTAAAATAACCTACCTTGGGAATGGTCACGGTTTGTCTTAAAAATTAATAACTCTGTGGGCTTCTTACACCCATTCAGAATCAGCTGCTAAAGCCTTGGAAGGCAAGAAAATACACCCTATTAAAATGCTCTGAGGCAAATATTCTAGTGCAAGATTGTTTTGTAAAGCTTTTGGGTGTGAAAGCTTGAACTGGAAACAAATTTCTATCCAACGGTTTAAAAATTATTTAAATATGACTATTTTGAATTTCTTAATTTAGTAAACATAAAATTATAATTTTCCAGATTTGATAGCAATGCTTAAAACTCAAACAGAGGGGCCGTGAAGAGATTGGTATCGGCTTCCAAATGCAGAAGCATTCATTTCATTCTCATCTGGTTCTGGGAAATTCCACATGTCTACAAGATAAACTGGGCTAACTGTTGACATGGACTAACTGTTGACATGAAAGATAAGCATCGCTTCGAGACACAGCTATACCATAAGAGAGTTTTCAGTAAAAAGTGCCAACACCGCAATATCTCCTCAGTTTTGGGGAGGGGGGTTGTGTAATATTCATTTTCCATGTGGTTTTATAACTAGGCAAACTGTGAAATGAAGAATGATTCCCATAGCTGACGATAAATTTGGATAAAGATTAACAAACGAGGAAAACTTCATCGATGTTTGGAAAACTTCCAGTTGTTGCTTTTTTTTTTTTAACATGCATACTGCATGGGTATAAATAGTGTCCTTATGCGCTCATGGGCTTGTAGCCTGTCACTTAGTTCTCACATGATTTGGAGAGGTGGAAGGGCAACTCAGAAAGCACTCAGTAAATAAAAGCAACTTAAGAAGGGGGACACCAGAGAATTTGTGTTGCAAAGGAAAAAATAGTGTGCGTTTCTGTGCGTGGGGAGTTGTTTTTAATGTTACCCTCCCTGTTGGAAAAGGGCGGGTGAGGCATAGAAACGGAGCCTGGACAGGGAGTGAGGGAAGGCTGAGACCGAAAGGTGACATCTCACTGTAAGGCTGCAGGTGTCAACTCTTGGGCGACACAGAACGGCTATGAACATTACTCAACACCTCGCACCTTTAAAGCAAATGTTACTTGCCTTCTCACACCTACAAAAATAAAAGCTTCAGGGACAGGAGCCTGTAGCGGAAAGGCTGAGAGCCCTGTGATTTCTTTACCTTGCACGACTCTCATGCAAACCTGCTTGATGTGCTGATCTGTCGGTGTTCTGCCCTGGGACAAGAAAGGAGAAGAAAGTTTGCACGTGCAAGTATAAAGGAAGCATCGCTGAACCGTGTGGACAGACATCCCGAGGAACCCGGTGCCTCAGTGCATGGGAGGACTTGCTGCCAAAGTTGAGCTTGGTGGAGCTACCCAACAGGAAACCATGGCATGTGCCCACCACTCACCGGAGGGCCCTGGATACCAGGCAGCCCAGTGGCACCCTGTTCTCCCTGCACGCCTCGAGGGCCAGGTGGGCCTCTCGGTCCTTCCACTCCAGGGAGCCCTCTGACTCCTTCAGGCCCCCTCAGGCCAGGTTCGCCCGGGTTACCCACCTACAACAAACAGCATCAGTGCAAATATTTAGGTGGAATTTTAGGTTGTTCTCAGCCTTACTAATGCTGTGACACGTTAATACATTCATGTTTTGGTAACCTCCAGCCGTAAAATAATTTCTGTTCCTACTTCATAACTGCAATTTTGCTACTGTTATGAATCATAATGTAAATGTCTGATATGCGGGATATCTGGTATGTGACCCCCCCCCCAAAGGGGCTCGGACCCACACGTTGAGCAATTCTTACTTAGGGTTGGGTTAGCCCTCACATTTCACCTTGTTTGAGACGGGATCTTTTTACTGCTTCATCAGCTAAATTATCTGGCCTATGAGTTTCTGCAGAGTCCCCTGGTTCTGCCTCCCGAGGTTCCCATTGGCATGCTGGGATTACAGACTTTGGAAGATCTGAACTGAAATCCTATTGTTTGCATGACAAGTCTGTTCGCACACTGAGCTGTCTCTCCAGCCTGTTATTAGGTTTTGTCTTGTTGTGTTTTGTTTTTTTAATAAGGATTGGTAATATTCTCTGGCAATAAAAAGACTCCTCCAAGTAAAAGATTTTCTCCAAGATATGCTATTTGGGTATAAAAATGAACGGTCCAAGAATTACAAGCGATTCGGCTTTTATAAGATGTTTTTTGGTGAACCTGAGGACACTAGTAATAACCAAGAATTACAAAAATGCTAACACAGACTAAGCCAGTGCACTCAAAATACCACCTTTAAAGTGAAGCATTTTTTTTTTTAAAAAGGGGACAGCTTTACAGTTTTCAGTAATAAAGGGAATTAAGACCTAAATATTAAAGACGCTAACCAACAAACCACTTGCTTCCTCAGAACAAAAGCATACATACAAGGTAAATTAGCGGTTTTCTTTTCCTGAAAGTAGAGCACTAAAAGCAGTTTTAAGGTTGTCCTGTGTAATAACTGTTTTTAAAAGGAGTCTACATTGCTTCACTTTTTTGAGACTATAATTTGTCAGAATTTGTAGCCAAACAGCTACGAGGTACTACTGTTCAGAATAAGAATGAAAAGGTACAAGGACACAAGGTCCCGGAAAGTCTGGGAATGCTGGTCTTTCTGGAAGGCAGGGATGTTCATGAGGAGGCTTTATCCTGCCTCTTCTTTCTGTGCGATGTCGATCTGCGAAAACTAACCCTTTCAGATAGTCACATGTTTTCAGCCCAACAGAAGAAGTGAAACAACGATCCCCCCACACCCTGCCAAACAAGGCTGCACACACATTTTCTCAATCTTGCTTTAGCATGCGAAAAAGAAAATTATATTCTTCCAGGTCAGCCTGACAAGATTGCTTCTATAAGGAAATTACAACTTGGAAGACTTCCTGAAAAGCTGCCTCAACAAAGAAAGCTAAAGAAGATACTGTACAAGAGGTGGCAAACTTGTCAGGTGCCCAGAGTGAGGAACTCTAACAACTTCTCAAACAAGCCACAGCGGTGCCGAAATGAACTGAGAAATGCGCTCACTAACTGCCCACATTGAATTATGTTCTCTGCATGGTAATGGGTAAAACTACTATAGAATAAAAGGACAGGAACTCTGGGATGAAAAGATCAAGATGCCATGAGGACCCTGGATCTCTCAAAAAGAGTTCTTCAGCTGAGAAATTCTGTGCATTGGCGCAGACATCCTGCTGAGCAAATTCACCTGTCCTGCCCTAGAGGGGGCAACGAAAGTGCCTATATTAGTAAATAATTTTCTTACTCTGGGACAGAACAGTTCTTTTTTTTCCAGCATTAGTTGGTAGTATCACATAAGAAGGTGATTGAAGAAAAGAGAATTGATGAATTAACAGCTATTTCTAATATATCCAAATAAGGGTTTTGTTTGCTTGTTTGTTTGCTTGCTTGTTTGTTTGTTTTTGTTTTGCTTTGTTTTGTTGGTGTTTCAAGACAGGGTTTCTCTTGGATGTCCTGGACTCCCTTTGTAGACCAGGCTGACCTCGAATTTACAGAGATCCACCTGCCTCTACCTCTCCGAGTGCTGGGATTACAGGCATGTGCCACCGCGCCTGGCTATATCCAAATTAGAATTCAGTTTGTCACCACATTATGATCAACCTTTTCTTTTATAATTTGAAATCTTTTCCTTAAACACTGTCAAATTATTCTAGATAGTGACATAAGATTGCTCTCACCAAACACATCAGGATTAACTCTCTATAGCTGGTGAACCATTCAAACTTTAAACCATTCAAATATTCTTGGGGACAAACGTGGCTTGAAACGTGATGGTTAAAGGCAGAGAAGTTGACACAAGGAGATCACATCCACGTGCTGGTACGCCTACAGACAGCCTGCAGATGGGCACTGAAACCAAGTTTGGGTGTGTGCCCCTGGAGAAGATAAGGTGGAGGATGAGCCGGATGCATGAGTAGGAGGTACTAATTCTCAAGAAGGAGAAGGCCTGTTCAAGTGTGTTATACAGTATGCAACAGCACTAAACTGGATGGTGTTCCAGATATCCAGGAGACAAATGGGTAAGCCCAGAACTCGCCCGTACATATTTGCTCTGCTTTGCTGAGGGTCTGGTTTCATTCTGCCATGGTTCATTTTTAAAAGTTGTCATTTACAGATTCAGAGGGAATCTATATAATGGATTCTTTTGTCTAGTAAGGTTATGTTAGCTGCTGTGGAGATACTTTGTTGGATAAAGACAGAAATAGGGAATATTCCAGAAACAGAAAGAATTTGAGAATTCACTGGAAGCTAGCAGTGCTGCTCATTGAGATTTATCATTTCTCCCTAAATTCTAAGTTCCTAGTTGTGTTGGTGAGCATGATGCCTCTGGTTTCCTATGGATTAGATCTATAATTCTGAATTCACCGACTCTAAGGATATATATTTAGACACTATAAAGTAGCAAAATTGAAGAAGCTCATCGTTTCACGGTTCTGATGGGTTTTGTGTTATTTTCTTACACGCTCTGCTTTTCTCTCTGTTCCCTCAGCTAGAACACACCACACGGGAGATTAAGGAAGTTATTGAAATAATTCACAGGCACAAAACAGCCACTGAAATTCAGATATTGTCCTCACTGAGGAGCATGCGTCAGCTCTTTGAAATGGCCCATTTGGGGAGGATATCAGAGCCTTATTACATAACATTCATTGAACCACTTACAATATCAAAACTAAAATCCTTTCTTTAAGGTGGTTAGTGCAAAAGCTAGATCCATTTACACAGTTGAGAATTTGTCTTTTCCTACTGGATGAACCCATTATTTACACATTTATTTAGACATTTATTTTCTTGAAGTCCTTCAAGAATTTAATTTTTATACAATCATTTCATTATATTTTCTACAGTTTTATTGATTTTTTTAATTTTTTTTTGTGCTGTTATTGTTCATCATACTTACAGATCCCTTTGAGCCAGGTGGTCCCATATCTCCCTGAATCAGTAGAACAAAATTATATTAGTCCAAAGTATTCACATTACATAGTTTCCTGAGACATTTTCCCAGTGAAATTATACTGCTAAAGAAAACCATGTGCAGATGGAGCCCAGAACTGCAGCATACATGTTTTGATTCAAAAAAACACTTCAGCTACCCAACTCTGTGCTCTTGTATAAGCAACGCAACCATTGCTTTCTCAGTCATTGGTTAACTGATCCATTAACTAGCAGGCTGCAGTCAGGGCCCTGTGGGGTTCCTCCAGATCTACAGTGCTCAGCACCCAAAATAAAAGTGTGTAAATAAAATAAAATAGACAATAGACATTCAAAACCACCTATTGGGATTTCATTTTTGCACTTCTGTGTTTTTTTAACACATTCCCTAAAATCTATCAAACAAAATATGCATGATTTTAGGCTTAAAAACAAACAAATAAACTAGGAGATATTCCCATCATTAAATTTAGATAAGTTCAGTTCAAGTGTTCATATATCAGGTAGCATAGCTCCTCTCCAAGACAGAATGATTTAAATTTTAAAACATTCCCTTAGCCCATAAAATGAACAGCCACAACAGAAACTAAAATGCAATAATCACAGAAATTTTAAAAATAAATAAATGATAAATAAATAAAAACTCAGGAAACTTTGCTCAGTTCGGACATTTCATTTATATGTATTCTAAAGCCAGCAAGTGTGAATAGACATTAGCAGATTGTTTCTCCGCTTCTAAAGTGCTCTAAGGCTACTTCATAGGAAAGAACTTAGTGACCGCAAAAGGACCCGGACAGACATTTCTACCTTAGGTCTACATTCCTACCAGAGCCATCACAATGGTGCAGCACACCTAGCAGCAAGCTCTGCTCTCCCCCACTTCCTGGAGGCTCAGCAGTTCCCTCTAAACACGGAGGTCATTCCTTCAGATGTCTTCAGGGTAAAGAAAAGGTCCTCCCTCATATTTGTGAGCCAAAGATCCCTGACCATAAAAAGACTTCATTGTTGTTTTCCCTATTAGGCTATGCTCCTATGCATACTGTAGTACCATGTGAATAACTTGAATGTCTCAATGTAAGGCCACAGAAGAATTAACTGTCTCCATGGAAATTCTCCAGAAGTTGAAAGCTAGATCTACCAATCCGCTTTACTAGGCCTTGCCTTCAGTACTGGAAATCACTGGTTAAAAATAAAAAAAACCTGCTTGGTCTTGAAGATAATGAGAACAGTGTCAGAAAGAAAATACCATATTTTTTTTCTCAAAATTTTAAAAGTTTTATATTAACCAAAAATAATTTTTTTAAAAAAACTTACAAGATCACCCCTTGCTCCTGCTTCACCTTCTTCACCAGAGGCACCCTAAAATTTTAAGATAAAATGTCACATGTTTTTCAGGTCTCCATTCATGGTTCAACTTTAAGCAGTCAACACAGATAAGCATTTATAAGCACGTAAATCCCCAAAGGATTATGCAACAGCTCTCAATTCTATGACAGCGAAAACACTAGACTAGAGAAGCCAGGGGGCAGCCAGGTTTCAGCTACTAATTGAGTTTGATTCATTTAGTTAGATTAACAATGACGTCTAGCAATTTTCAAATTCGATAACCTTTGACAGTGGCATCCTACAATAGAAAGAGGAATCCAAACACAGGCGACTCTATTTGCACATTGTATTTGCTGAGGTCTTGATAGAAGAGAAAATAGTTAAGATGTATTGTTTTGCGGCTTTGAAAGTCTGTGTCACGCGAATAAAATTCGGCAAGCCAGAGAGACAGGGCTACAGACTTCAAAGGAAGGGCACTGCACAGTACAGGAAGCAGCCATTAGCCCCCGCATATGAAAACGGTTTGGCTGCACACCAAACTCCACAGTAGTTTTCACTCACTACAAAGCACACGAAGGAAAGCTGGGAGCTGCCATCATTTCACGACACCCACACACCAGCCAGCCCTCGCTTTGTGAAGTGGCTCAATACCATTCACCACAGGTGCACTTACCTGTTCACCCTTAGGACCTGGTTCACCAAACACACCCTGGAGTGAATAAGAGTTAACATTTTTCAGTGTTTTGAGTTGTGTGTATCATTTCAGATGAGCCAACGTCCTCAAATGAGGCGGTGCATAGTGTGATAGAAGAGAGACTCCGCATTCCCCACCACTTAGTAAGTCCCAGGAGACACCTGTTCTGATCAATGGTTGTTCCCCAAATCTCTGGTAATATGGAAACATCCGCTTTCACTAATGGGAATATAACTTTAGAACTAAATAAAAACTAAATAAAACTAATAAAAACCCTTTAGTCCTCTCGGCCTTTATTTCTCTTCCTCCTGGGAAGTTACTTTTCTTCTTTTATACTATGTTCATTTTTATTAATTACAGCTTATTCACTTTGTATCCCAGCTTTTATCCCCTCTCTCATTTGCTCCCAATCCCACCCTTCCTCCATCATCTCCTCCCATGCCCCTCCCCAAGTCCACTGATAGAGGAGGTTCTCCCCCTTTTCTTTTTAATGTCAACTCTCAGTAACTTAACACATCTTTCACTGTGTTTCTTCATGATAATCGCTAGAGAAAGTCTTCACTGGGCAAAGCAGGTTTGATTTCTCAACAAAGATCGAGTCATCATTCCAGATTAAAAAAACAAACAAACAAATCTGTTGGGTATCTCACCCTGTCGCCTTTCGATCCAGGAAGTCCAGGGGGCCCGGGCAGGCCCGGAAGGCCAGGGCTACCAGGAGATCCCTGAGAGACAAACAGAAAACCTTCAGAGTCACTTTGTCCTTGCTGCTCAAAGTTGACAAGCCAGAAAGGGCCCTGAGGTATCAACTCATGTCTAAAATTAATGTGTGGTTTTCCTCCCTTCTGCATCCCTGTAGAAGAGGGGCCAGTCGCCTCCCGCCTTCCACCCCACTCTGAATTCCCTCTGCACGCCTCAGCAACAGTGGGCACTCTCAGTCAAGGCCAGGAGCATGCTGTCGTTTCTCCTGCTGTGTAAACAGGAGCCACAGAAGAAGCCAAAGCCAGCATTCATCCACAGTTCTCCTCCATGCCAAGAGGAGGCAGATGCCAAATGGAACACTTCATGCCTCAGTGGGTTTTCAAATGCATTTTTACAAGCCACACTGATTAAACAATCTTGGGGGATGTAGCATAGATAAAATTTGAAATTCTATATTTACAATTTCACCTAGTCCCACAACAACAACAGAAAACATACATGGTTAATTGGATGACCTTCTGCAAATTTTCTTTTCTCCTTTCTCATTTAAAAATAAACAAAAAGCAAAACTGTATTTGCTTTGTAGGAAGCAAACACGTAGGGCTTGGGAACATGACTTACCAGTTTCCCCGGAATGCCTGGGGACCCTTCTGGTCCTACTGGCCCTCTACTGCCCTGTGAAAACATACAAATTGCTGTCAGCTGGCTGTTCAGGCCAGAGTCAAACGCTTAATGATTATAATAAAAAACAATAGCATTTCATCCAGGTGTTTGTCAAAATATAGGAACTGCCAAAATCTTTTCCCTTCAGGTCAGCTGAAGGCTCAGGCCATCCGATGCAGAGTCTAATCATCCTCCATGCTCACTGTTCATGGAACCATGCTGTTCACCGGATGCCAGGCCATTGGAAATATCCACGACCTGGACACGCAATGGCGATTAGTAATCTTCAGCATGAAAGTCACATCCTATTTTACATTATGGCTATTCATATGTACACATTTAATGTCCTCACTTAGGTATGTTCTTGGGGTATTCCATACCCACTCATTGGAAATGCTGCAGTGTCTGTGTAAGCTCTTGGGTCTATGGATGATTAAAGCAGCAGCTGGCAAATGCTTGCTTACCTCAGAAAAGCATGAAAAGGAAACACAGGACAGAGACGCATGCCTTTAAATCACTACTGCAACCTCAAGAAGGCACAGATGGTAGACATTTATAAACTTTCTGAGATAAAATTTCTTGTTTCTCACATTCTAGGTCTAAAAATGTCCCAAAGGATTGCAGACATTGAAAAGTATGACTCACTATGAAGATCCGCTAACAGCAATGCTAATTTTATTTTGTGGGCAATTTCAATTTTTTTTATTTGAAATCTAAGTCTTCACATTTCTATTCTACTTGAAGCCCTAAACTTTAAAGAAAAAAAAACTTTTGAGAAGAGGAGATGTGTAACTTTTACTTATTTCCTTGAGAATTCAACACGTTTGCATTTGATCTAAAGCCTGTTGTATAGCTACTGCTGTGCTCAACTGAGTGGAACTTGGTGAAACACTAGTAGATAAACAATCCTACTAGTAGATAAACATTCCCTTTAAGCTGTATCATAAAACTGCTCAAAATAATGAGTTAGTTTCCTTTTAAAATGATGCAACAGCTCCATTTTAATAATTAGTACTTCTAAATGTTCCTAGTGAGATTATATTATTCTGGCCTATATGTTATTCATTCATCTTTAGGTTGAACAGGTGTCAAGATCCATAAACCTTCTGAACGTTCACTTTCCCTAAAGGTTACCACATTAGTCTCTGGCTGTGGGATAAAATTTCACCATAGTCATTTCATTTGATTTATGAGTGATTGAAGCTCAATGCTCTTAACTACTTTTCAATAATTTTTTATATTAACAACCTGTCAGGGTAAGCATTTGGAAGAATACATTGGTCCTTAATCCCATGAGCAACTTGGTAAGCCCAAGGCAGTGCCCCATGAAGATATAAATTTAGGTGAAAAGTGGCCACTGTAACGGTTCTTTTTGTTTCTATCCATCTACAAAGATTATCATCGGCTCCCTCTTTCTGGACACCCACCACAGGAGAGGCTCATTGACTAAGATGAATTCTGGAGAAAAGAGAGATACTGTCTTCAGTGGCATAGACAGTGGTAAGTCCTCCATCACACAGAATGACCCGGGTTGAACTCACAGAGGCACTAAACAAAGACAAACCAAGAAGACAATGGAAGTGTGTGTGTGTGTGTGTGTGTGTGTGTGTGTGTGTATCAGGGTGTTGTGTGGCAGATTAAGGAGGAGGAAGATAGGGTGTGTGGAGTATTTGCAGTAATAACAGATTAAGTACATAGATGTCATTGTCAATGAGTAAGTTTAATGGGAAACTGGCTTCTGCTTCAACTACCTTGGCCTAGGACTTCCAAGATGGCTTCCTTTCAGTACACAAACACCACTGGCATTTTCAAATGCATTTTCAGCTGCACTGGGATGCAGATTCCCAATGACATTGGTCTAACATGATTTTAATTTTAAAAACTAGTGCTCACTGATGAGGAGAAATGAATATCAGAAGATAGCTTAGTTCCTAACTCAAGTATTCACTTAGTCCCGAGGACTAACTCCTAAATAAACAAGAAGTATGCTACTGTATCAACATTAAGGATGATTACTATAGCTCTTTTCTAAAAACCAAATAGATAAATTCAAATACTAGGACTGGGAAGCCCTTTGGTTTATACTTGGGAAGATTAACTATCTCACGAAGGAAAAGAAAAAAAAAATTTATTTTTTTTGGCCGAAATCTTATTTTCTCCTGTCGTTCATAGCTTCTTACCGTTTATTTCACAAGTTCTTCTAAACCACTGGCAAGCCTGTGGTAAGTAAGTGTTTGAGTCACAGCCTGCACTGGTGTATGGATGGATGTTCCCAGGGTAACTCAGTGTGTATATAGACACAGGAGAAGGACCCATGAAGTGTGGTTGTATGCTCCTCTGCTACTGCACAAACAGGGAGATTCTTTGTTCTTCTGCACTCCATCGTCACAAGCCCCCAGCAATTCTAAATTTATCTATTTCTGCAGAAGTCATCTCATTGGGAAAGTATGCCATGTTCATTTTTATAACAGTAGCCAAACAGTTGCTTATAACAAAAGTGCTAAGGGCATAGATTCTAATAGCCATTTTGTGGCTTCTGTACAGCACACACACACACACACACACACACACACATATAAATTCTGGATTTTTATGCCAGATGAAAAAGGATGAGTAGTCAAGACATAAATAGCCACTCAGAAAAATGTAGCTTAAACACATTCTAACAGTAGGCAAGGCACTGTCAAATGAAAGTGTTCTAAATAAATGATAAAGCCTCATGCTCCAACAGCGTGTAGGCACCACACTCTCGGGTGTGGGCAACGGAGGCTGGTACAGGAACGTTCCTCATAGTGGCTGATAGTTACACACCCCATGACAATAAGAGTGTCCATTTATAGCAAGAGAAACGAAAGGAACCAGAACAAAGACATAATTCTTCCAGTTAACCTGCAAGAGTGTATTAAAAGGCTCTTTGGTTCTCTCAGGGTCCCTGTGTTTCCACATGCATCGCTGAAAACTTCAGAACCATCTGCAAATGCATCCCTAAGAGCCATCTAAGGCCGTGGAAAAGAGGCAGAGCCTCTGCCTCAGCTATGGCTGCAGATAACTCCTCCGAGGCCATCAGAGCTGTGCCGTGTTGGTGTCTCCCGGCACTTCGCTCCACATTCCTTAGTTTTACTCAGCCCTCTTCACCTCTGATTCTATGCGTCCAGTATCCCAAAGACCCAGGCAGGGATTCGTTTTGCTTTGTGTCTATGTCTTTACCAACTTTGCTTAAACTTCTGATAAGAGCTTAAAGTTCAGAGTCTCATACATCCAAAATTTAAAAATGGCTGAATTCTCTTCTACCAAGAGAATTTGGCAAACAAGTCCCAGCATATGAATGCAGAGAGAGGCAGAGGCAGCAAATCATTCAAGTTGATGCCACTTCCCTTATAAAAGAACTATTAGACATTTATAAAAGTCACCAAAAAATCTGAAAATTTAGTTAGACTTAATGTTACCAGAATTATTTTCCAAGAGAATTGACTCTATTCCGTCACTCTAATTTGTCATGGCTCTCATATTTCACATGTTTCCAAAAATTACCACAAATGCTAACTAGCTGAAGAATAAATACTATCTTTGGTGCATGGTAGCTGCATTTTAGAAGTGAGAAATCACACACCATTATATTCAGCCTGTTCTGTATTCTAAGTCTCTCTCTCTGGCACCAACAAGAAAAGGGACTTAAACCAAAAGATCAATTCTGATTTCTCTAGGCTGTTTTTTTTTAATCAATTCATTTTCCTATGAAATTAGAAAATCATATAAGTTCTACCTCAGGGAATAACTTTCGGTTTGTTACAAGAATGTTTTAAAGGATTCAATTTTGTGATATGATACAGTCATATTTATCTTGTGTGGATTTAAATATTCCCTTATAGCTAAGCAGAGAAAAAAAATCTGTCTGAATGCTTAGCATCACACATATCAGCTTCACACATCATTGCCAAGGGCTGGGCAGGATGGGGTGCAGTTTAGAATATCCAACGACACACCATATGGTCCCCACATGGAGACTTCTCTGCTGGAGGCTGTTGTGCTGCGATGGAGTGAGGGTCCCAGGAAAATTACAATAAGAGCATATTATGTTCAGAAGGAGGTAAAAATCAGCAGGGTACTATTCTCAGCCAGAACCAAGGGCAGAGCAAACATAATCCACTCACACCAAAACTTGGCAAGTTCAGAGAAGCCTGGAGGGTGGTTGGCTAGGAGCCACTGAAATGTACAACCACATCAGAGGCCAGGCCATGTGCCTGCTTTGAATCTAGAGCCGCTCAGACCAATAACAAACCAAGCAGAGAAAGTATAACAGAGAAGGCCTATGCGTGTGTGGTAGTGATTCCCATGAAATCACTAGAGGGTCAAATTTTAAAAATCAAAACACAAAACTAATCCTTCTTGCTATCAAATCAGCAAAATTTCATTGCAAAGCCATGCATTTAGGATACATCAGACATGCATTCTCTTCCCTTCTGCTCAGTTCAATTTGAGATAAATTTACAGGGAAATCTGATCAGACTCACCATTCATAGATGGAAATGTGTGAATCTATCTAGAAAATGGAACTCACAGACATAAATGGAAGAGGAAATACACCCTCCAGGAGAATGATCTGGTGTTAAAACTTTGCTCCAGAGCTATACTTACAATATCATGACATTTCTTTCTGAAAAATTTGTGGCAGGTGAGAAGCCACTTATTACCAATGAAAGCAGTATGGCAGGACTTATTATACTCCAATTCAACTTATTCCAAAAAACATCCATTGAGTACTAATTTATGGCAGGACCCAAGTAAAGAGATATAGAAGACACAGAGATAGATCAGGCATCCCTTGGCCTCCTACAAGTCACAGCAGGGGACACAATGGGGTCAAAGGTTATGAAATTCAGAACAACTCCACATGGAATGATGGCTCTCAAAAATGGAGAAGAGGTCCTGATAAGTAAACACCAAGTCTGACATGTGGAAAAGCAGGTGGGCTAAGAAGTAGACAGAGCAGTTAGTGATCTTCACCGAAGGAAGCCTGATTTTAGCAGTGGATCTCGGCAGAAGTGAGAAGTAAATGCCTGAGGGGATTTCTCAGTGGTTAAAGCGCTTGTCCCAGGTGTGAAGAGCAGGATTCAGATCTTTAGCAAACTGTACGGCAGCCTGCCTGTCATGCCAGCACTAGAAAGACAAGGACAGAGGATCCCAGCCTGTCGGCAAGCTATCAGAGGCTCTCCCTATATAAGCCAGACATTTGGGTTACCCTCCCTTTTTGTGCCTCTGGCCTCCGGCTGCCATGCATGCTTCCCCTCTCCACCCTCCACCCTCTCCTGGGAATGGTTTAGGGTCATGACCACTCTGGACTCTCCCAGACGTGTCTGCCTCTGGCTATGTCTCCCACATATGTATAACAAACTTCCTCTTCCACCATAACTAGCAGCAGCCATGTCCTTTGTTTCTTTTTTATTTCTGGTTTTCATTCGGATGGAAACTGTACTTTGGGAAGAGCAGTATTGTGGGGCATGCAGACTGGAGGTACCACCATTTCTCAGGGACTTTGGAACTGTGCTTGGCACTTTTATTTGTCCAGTGATTATAAATACTCCCTGGGTATTCTAGGGTTTTGGTCATGGACATGAGACGCCACGCAACATACTAAGAGTCCTAGAAAACAGCAGATATCAAAATATCAGTGCTGTCCTTTTGGGACAGCTTGGTAGAAATCAGAAGGTAGTGCTGAGTCAAGACTGAGCAAAAGAAGCAAAAGTGAAAAAGAAAGTCAATATAAAGAAGCAGAAAGAAGGCAGAGCCAACGGGCCCTGAAAGAGACAGGAAATAGGATGGCAGAAGGGTGACGATTTGAGACTCAGCAACTGGGACAAAGGGAAGAATTTAGACTCACAGAAATATGAAAAACAAAACCTGAAATTCAGACCCCAAAGCCACCACCAGCTAACTTCCTCTAGTCCAACTAAGCACAGCTAAGAGAATCTACTGTTCCTGTGTCCTTCTGTGCTCTACCTGCACAGCTGGTGACAGTAAGCATTCCCTATGTGTGGCGTGAGTGTGTGTGTGTGTGTGTGTGTGTGTGTGTGTGTGTGTGTGTGTGTGTGCATGCGCGTGCGGTCACTGCATTTCCTGGTAAACACAGTCAATGTCCATTCAATGTCCATACACAGCTTTCTACTTCAAAAAAAAAAGTGGGTTTAATAGTAAACAGTCTCTAAACACTAATTCCCCAACACTTCTACATCTGCCTGGGTTATCATACAGCATTTTTACTGCTTAGGCAGTAAAACGTGATCTGGCTTTAATCTCAGTGCCTGGACAATAATCCACGGCAAATATTTTACTTAGAAACTCGCAGGCTTCAAGCCTAAAAGAAAAAAAAATTAATGAGTGATTAATTTCAATAAAGAGCAAGGCTAGAAGCAGGCCCTAATTTCTTCAGCTGCTGAGAAACCTTAGAGAACCACCTGACACAGGTCAGGCATAGATACCTGTAAGAAGCAGAAAACGCCACTCTACTGCCAAGTGACAGCTGGCAACTTTGACTTTCTCGAGCATAGAAATAAACTTCATTCCACACACTCAGGAAAGGCTTTAGAAGAACAATATTTGGAACTGCTTAGATGTCCTCAATTGGAGTGTTTGGTTATTTACTTGTTTTTTATTATTTAGAAAACTGAAACTAAGAACTCAAAATGAAAGCCAGAGAGATGTTTGTGAAGTCAGATTTAAGTGCCTGATGTGAATTTTTAAGATTGTTTTTTAAAATTTTGTGTGTATGGGGGTCTGTGTATTATGTAGCACTCAAGGAGGCAGAAAAGGATGATAGATCTGGGACAGAAGTTACAGGCAGCTGTGGGCTGTCACCTGGGTACGGGGAATCGAACCCAAGTCCTCTAGAGGAATAGCCAGAATTCTTAACCACTGAGCCACCTCTTTAGTGACAGTGTGAAATTTTTTTTGATCAGTTTCTCTCTAAAGATTAAGATGTATCTTCTAGTAGAAAAACACACATTTCTGTGTTGTCTGTAAAACAAGTGGGTAAGTTCATCCTTATAGATAAGTCCATCTAGTTACACTTAAGAAATAGAAAAGCATGTCAGAGTTTAAATGCAGTCACCCCTAAGTCTGTACATATGCAAGGGAATTAAAAGACATCCACAGCAAAGTGTGAACACAAATGCTCATAGCAGCAAACTCATCACCACCAGAAGTGGAGACAATCCAAAAGCCAACCTGAGGTACTGGTGAAAAAAATGTGATCTCCCTGTGCAATTAACCCATACAACTGTTATGTGGCAATAAATGGAAATGCAGTGCCAGCACAGGCTACAGAATAGATGAATGCTGAGGCATTATAATACCAAGTGGCAGAGGCATATTGTATAGATCTGTTCATATAAAACTTTCAGAATCAGCAAAGCCATAGGGATGGAAAGGGGACCTGAGCTACCTAGAGCTGAAACGATGTGTAAGCTAAGGTGCCTAAAAGTGAAAACAGGGTTTCTTTAGTGAGTGATGGGAATATCCTGAAATTGATTGTGGTGATGGCTATATAACTCTGATCATACCAAAAATTAATAAGTCGTGCATATTCAGTGGATAATCCACATAGCATGTAAATTGCATCTTAGTAAAGGGTTTTAAGCACACTAAAATATTTCCAACCTGAGATGAAAATAAAAAGCCCTTTATGCTTTTTTTTTAATACATCATTTTTTGAACCAGTTTTTGAAAGGACATGCTGTGTATATGTAAATAGCATCCCCATTTTGCTGTCTATCTGGACCACATAGCCATGCGCACGCTCAAATGTTAGCAAGCATTGACGCAGTCATAAGCAAGGAACTCTCAGCGAAGCCCTCAAAGGGGAGACATGGGAGAAGAGTACTCACAGGAAGGCCCCTGGGTCCTCGAGGCCCGACCTCTCCCTGAGGCCCTTGTTGGCCCTGTGGAAAGGAAAGCAGACAGAGAAACAGTTGACCAACCTCTCCTGGGAGCTATCGATCTTAATTGACAGAAAAGCTTAAACGCAGCCTTACTGGTTTTCCTGAACTTCCCAACTGACCAGGCTTCCCTGGAGCACCTGTGTTACCCTAAAAACGAAAGGCAACATTTAGAGTAATTCAGACAGGGAGCATGGTCATTAACCTGCCTCACCGACACAAGCATCGCTTCTAGTCAAATAGCATTAATTTCCTGGCTTCATGCTGAGAATCTGGGAGAATACAAAATCTCTGTCTTATGTCTGTGTGTGTATGCACATACAATCACATAGTCACACTTCTGCACATGTATATGTATGTGTATGCATGTATATGGATGACGCGTGTTCATGAGAATGCCCCTGTGTGTGTGTGGAGTACAGAGTATAGCTTTGTGTGTCATTTCTCAGGCACTATCGACCTGTTTCTGTGGAGACTGAGTCTCAGGTTGGCCTGGAACTCATCATGTAGGCTAAGCTGACTGTTCACCAAGTTGAAGGCATCCGTCCAGGACTGTGGACACATACTACTGGCCTTTTATGAGGGCTCTAGGGACCAAACTCAGGCAAGTGCTCCACATAAATGGACCACCTTCTAGCCTCAAGTTCTACTTTATCACGTAGTACCTATTTTATTCTAAAGAAAAGCTGTGTTTTATTACTTTAGTTGTTTCCATTCATTCACCAATTGTTTCAAATGACTTGTCCATCAATGCCCTATAGAATGTAACATGACATACATTCTATTGCTTGATAATATAGTTCATAGCTTAAAATAATTTATTTTAAGTACTCAGAAACCATGAAGATATCTCTGTCCTATACTAGCAAACAATGATATTTTCACGAAGAAAGTCTCATCAGCAGTTTTCTGCAGCTGGGAAGGAGACTAGCACGTGGCCACTTTAAAGCTTTTGCTTTCTGATTTCTCCCTGAAGTTGAACATAAAATAAAATCCAGGCTGGGCATATTAAAATTATAACAGAAATAAACTCATAAAGGCATAAGGCAAAATACTAGCTGAAAGTGCGATTTGTTTTTTACCTTTTCACCAGCAACACCTTTTGCACCAGGAATCCCAGGTACGCCCTAAAAGAATGCACAAATTCTGGGTTTAATTGCCTCATCTGAGGATTCATCAAACGCCAAACCCACCATCCAAGAAGAGACCACGGGGTTGTGGCAACCTCAAAGGCAGTGTGGGAAGATGCTGGTGCTGCTTCACCCCCATTTCGGTCAGTAACGGGCTACCCATGGCATGTAACACAGTGCGTTACTGTACCTGGCTTGTTAAGGCTGAACCCCAAAGAAAATCTGCAAGCTAAAGTTAATTTTTGGAATGCCCTTTCAAGCGAAAACTCAGCCCCATCCTCACAGCAACAATCTTTCGGGCAGGACAGATGCTATAGGAACATAACATTGCCACTTGTACAGAATAATAAAATCCTCACTTTGCTCATTTTGGTATTGGTAGTCCTTGTCTCCCCCTAGCAGCTTGCAAAGTACCAGATGCCATAACAGATTGGGAGCCAGTACTTGATACTACCAAGTATCCTTTGTTAACTGGGAAGATTTGCCTTCAAAGACTCAAGAACACAAACAATGTATTTCATATGAATTTTTCAGCCATACTAATGTAGGGAAATACCAATTTCAGTGTTTCAAACCATCTCATAACTCAAGACTGGTAACCTTTCTCATGCTTTCCCTGAGAATTCTTTCACTCTCCTGTCTCAACCCTGCTAATAAGAACTCCAAGGCTGGCTAAAAGTAAGACAAGACACAGAGCAGTGGCCACTGCTCTGGACTATTTAAGGAAGATAATAGAGAAGACGGACCCAAACCATAAAATTAAATAGTGCATTAGCAGAATTTGGTACTCTTTTTAGGGTTCTTGGGTAAATGACCAGCTAATTACGGCGGGGTGGGTGGGAGGTGGGATTAAAAATGTAAACATTAAAATAAAAAAAAAACTAAAATTAAAAGCAACAAATTTTTCTCAGAACTTAACAAATCACATAATGTACCTCTCCTTCCAAATCCATCTTTTTCAATCATGTACATAAAACACGAACATGTAAAAAAAAAAAAAAAAAACAAAGTTTAGCACGTACCGGTAAACCCTGCAATCCCACATCACCGGGAGGTCCAGGCTTCCCTGCTTCACCCTGAAAGCAAATTCTTAATCACACAATGATTCCTTTATGAACTGATGTGTTCTTCTAAGAAAGCAGAGTGCAGCCACCTTAGGTAAAACAGTTTTCCAGCAGCTAACCTTGGGCGCACTTTTAAATTACTTAGCTCAGGATCAGTAGTGGGTAGGACAGAGGGCACACATTCAAACATAAAATTTCCTTCAGCCTACTTTCATCAATGGGGCTATTTTACTGAGTTCCTAAGGCAAGCAAATAAGTAGACTGTTTTAATAAAAATTTTGCAGCTGACACTTCATTTCAAAAGTGAAAGAGAGAGAGAAGAAAATGGCAGCGCTGTCTAAGCAAATGTCCTGGTAATGTCATAATGGAAATGCCAAGCATAGCTAGCTGTCCAGGGCAGAGAGATCTCATTCACTCGAAAACTCAACCACACAGCTACCTTTGTTCCAGGCATCCCAGGTATTCCGTCTCGACCGTCTACACCTGGCAAGCCCTAAGGACACACAAAGAGCACACTGTGTCATAGAGGCAGTCACATTCTTCTCTAGGTCGTTTCCTGAAGCTCCACCGCCGGTCAGTAAACACCCTGGGAACTATATTTGCCAGCAACAGCTCGAGACATACCGTGTCTCCTTTTGGCCCAGGAGATCCAGGAAGTCCCCGGGAACCTTGAGGGCCCTGTAGGGCAGAGAAAGAAGAAGAAACAAGGCCTTGTCAATGATTGCGATGCATAGGCCATGCCAAATACACAGAACCGACAGATATCTCGGGAAAGCAGGGTGTTTTGCAGGGAAGAAGACTAATTTGTTACTCACTCTGTCTCCCTTAGGACCTGCTTCTCCTGGAGGCCCTCGCTGTCCTTGATCACCCTGTACAAGAGCAGAAGTTCTCAGTGTGAGCAAAAGTTACTTACCTGGGGGTGTTTTGAGGTTAGAAAACATCATCCTCATTGAATATTACTGAATAATTTTTTAATGTCTATGGATGTTTTGCCTATGTTTGTCTATGTGCCACTTGTGTGCCTCGTGTCTGAGGGGCCAGAGGCTGGTATCAGGCCACCTAGAACTGGTGTTAAAGATGGTTGTGAGCTGCCATGTGGATGCTGGGAATGAACCAGTGTTCTCACCCACTAAGCCATCTCTGCAGCTGCTATTAGCAACTATTGTTCTCTGTAACTTTGACCTATCACAAATGCTCACTTCAAACAGAGAATTCTCAGTAGAGGAATATAGAACAGCAGAAAAACACTTAATGAAGCGTTCAACATCCTTAGCCATCAGGGAAATGCAAATCAAAATGACCCTAAGATTTCACCTTACACCCATCAGAATGGCTAAGATCAAAAACTCAAGTGACAACACATGCTGGAGAGAATGTGGAGAACTGGGAACCCTCCACCACTGCTGGTGGGAACATAAACTTGTACAACCACTTCAGAAATTGATCTGGTGCTTTCTCAGACAATTAGAAATAGAGCTTTCCCAAGATCCAGCTATACCACTTCTAGGCATATACACAAAATATGCTCAAACATGTACACAACAAGGACATCTGTTCAACCATGTTTGTAGCAGCTCTATTCATATTAGCCAGAACCTGGAAACAAGCCAGATGTCCTTCAACAGAGGAATGAATACAGAAATTGTGGCACATTTATACAATGGAATACTACTCAGAAATTAAAAACAAGGAAATCAGCAAAATTTGCAGGCAAATGGTGGGACCTAGAAAAGATCATCCTGAGTGTGATATCTCAGAAGCAGAAATACACACACAGTATATACTCACTTATAAGTGGATACTAGACATATAATATAGGATAAACATACTAAAATCTGTATACCTAAAGAAGCTAAGCAAGAAGGAGGACCCTGGGTAAGATGATCAATCCTCACTCAGAAAGACATATGGGATAGACATTGGGAGAAGGAGAAAACAGGGAACAAGACAGGAACCTACCACAGAAGGCCTCTGAAAGACTCTACCCAGCAGTGTATCAAAACAGATGCTAAGACTCCTAACCAAACTTAGGGCAGAGTGTAAGTAATCTTATGAAAGAACAGGGAGATAGTAAGACCTGTAGAGGACAGGAGATCAACAGAACCAAAAAATCTGGGCATAGGGGTCTTTTCTGAGACTAATACTCCAACCAAGGACCATTCATGGATATAACATAGATGTAGCCCATGGCATCTTAGTATCCAAGTGGGTTCCCTAGTAAGGAGAACAGGGACTGTCTCTGACATGAACTCAGTGGCTGGCTCTTTGATCACCTCTCTCTGAGGGGGAGCAACCTTACCAGGCCACAGAGGAGGACAATGCAGCCACTCCTGATGAGATCTGATAAGCTAGGGTCAGATGGAAGGGGAGGAGGACCTTCCCATCAGTGAACTTGGAGAGGGGCATGGGAGGAGATGAGGGAGAGAGGGTGAGTTTGGGAGGGAATGAGGAAGGGGGCTACAGCTGGGAAACAAAGTGAATAAACTGTAATTAATATAAAAATTAAAAAAATTAACCACCCAACCAATGATCCATGCCATGTGTGGCATTAGGTAAGTCGATGTCTTTCTTAAAATGGAATTGTTTGCTCCCAGCATTAGCTGGCTCTCGGTTGCTCTTTCTCAGTTCAGACTGCTCAGCGTAGTGTGAGACGTCACCTATAACTCGTGTCTACTTGATCTGCTGAGTCTCATCTTCTCCAAACACACCTTTGCTGCAGGCAGCGACAGCCCTGTGACAACACCGATAACCATCACCACCAACAGCAGCCCCTGCACTTAGCTTCCTTTCTCACGGCTTCCCAGGACAATCTTCCTCTTGTGGAGTACCTCTATCACAAGTCAAGCATTAGGTCTTCTAGCCCATCACTGATAGGAGAGAAATCCTATTTTGGTTGTGTAATTTTTGTAGCACACGTGAGTCATAATATTTTTTTTAATCTGTGTGCCCTCAAAACAGTATGAGGCCATCTAAATAACAGCGCGTGCATACATGGTGGCCAAAACGTGGAACAATGAGATCAGAAACCATCAAGGAGGAAAAGCTAGAACTGCCCAGGAACTGAAAACATGGTCGCCTGGTCGCCGCTGTCAATCAAAGTACTCTAGCCACCAAAACATAAACATGGATAACCATGGGGCATATCCCCTAAGAAATCCAGGGAAATAGTTACTGTGTGTATAGACAGCAATATATTTATTTAAATCCAAGGGAAAGTCTTAGAAATGTTTGTTTTGGTTGAGTGTGGTAGTGTTCATCTGTAATCCCAGCATTTGGGAGGCTGAGACCAGAAGATCACTGCAAGCCTAAGGCTAGCCAGGGCTACAGATGATATATCAGAATAAAGGAGAGGGAACGAGGGGAGGAGGAGGGAAGGAGAGGGTAGCAGAGGAGATGGGAGGAGATATAAGGGGGAGGGGGAAGTACCGTTGCTTTAAAATAAAAGGATCAGTTGATGTTTGCATGTGTGCCTGTGAAAGAACTACTTACAGCTGCACCTGGGATGCCCTGAGGTCCAGGCTCTCCATCAAATCCCCGAGCACCCTGAAAACAAGATAACGAAATGAAACTTGCATTAGTCATTCATGTTTCTGGACATCATCATCTTTCTAAAGTACGGCAGCCAAAATAAAAGAAGATACTAGGTTTTCATGCGTGCTACATTCGTGATTGAGTGTTTGCGAATGAACACTGAGGAGTAAATCATTACACACTTCAGACATGAAAACACTAGTGTGTATTGCTCATCATGTTAACAGCACTTAGGACGACCTTTGATAACGCTCTGGATATTGTAAGTTAGCAATGGCTCTATTCTCAACTGCTGTGACTCATTCAGAGGACTTCACAGATCTGTTGAACAAGAGTTAGCAGTCAACTTCCAAAGGTCTCAGGATATCTATGAGAATTCATTAATGCTGCAGGGCTGAGAACCTCAAGCAGACTGTGAATTTAGGGATAGCTTCACTGGACTCTGCAGTGCCACAGATGTGAGAAGGATGTCTACGACCCTAGAAGCCACCACTCCACCCCTGATATAGAATACAAGTAAATCACATTACTACGTGATTCAGAAGAGTGAACTGTTAGACCATTAGAGGAATATAGACATTCCTACTCCTGGATTGATATTCACTTCATGCTGCGACCCTTTAATACAGTTCCTAGTGTTGTGGTGATACCCAGCCATAAAATTATTTTGTTGTTGCTTCATAACTGTAATTTTGTTACTGTTACAAATCATAATGTAAATATCTGATATCCAGGATTTATTTCCATTGTTACAAACTGACCCAAAGGGGTTGTGACCCACAGATTGAGAACCACTAGTCTAGAACTTTTTCAAGTCTAATAATCTGGAAATGATGATTCTAACTTCGTGACAGAACAGATACCATCTCCTTATTTCTTCATTAGAATCAAGAAAATTGTTTTGTTTTAAAAACAAAGCTACAGTGCGTTTTGTGACCACTACATATTCTCAACAAAATGCAAGTTCCAGTTTGAAATTACAAAGTGAGTAAGAAACCTCAAGGACGGCTCGAATGGATGGATGGTCTCCTAATAAAGTAGATGAAATGAGGAGGTGATAAAACCAAGCAGAAAGCAGTCACAGAGCATCAGGCAGGTGTCAGTCTAACAAAACCAGGTGGACCTTGTCTACAGTAAGAATGAAAAACTAGAAAAGCTTTGATAGAAAGTTCAGACACAGGGGGAGTCAAAGGGGGGCAGGGGGAAGCAAAGAAGCCACAGAGCCCTGAAATTCTTTGATCTCTAAAAACTAGAACAGAGCAGAGGCATTCTCCATTCACCAAAAAAGAAAGATTTGGAAGACCTGAAGAGGACCTTGAATTCATCATTCACCTGGCATTATGAGAGAACACCTCAGCCTTTACATTATAGAAATGGTTTGATGCTCTCTCTCTCTCTCTCTCTCTCTCTCTCTCTCTCTCTCCCTTATTGCAGTTCAGCACGAGCTCAATCCAAAGTGCTGTTACTAGGTAACCACTCCACGGCTGTGTTCACAAGAGAAGCTGTCTCTTTTTTTTTAAAGCAATTTGACAGAAATGAAGAGAAATGAAAATTTTTAAAAAATATCAAATAGAGAAATGTCTCAAATAAAGAACACATCAAGAATGGTAATTGGTCTCAAGGAGAGGTCACCTATTTTATGGGGTGAGTTAAATCCAGTGGAAATAATAGCCTGGGTGTTGGCTGCATTGAAAATAAAGGGACTTTATTACTTAATAAATGAGAGGTGCACACAGAATGTTACTTAAAGTGGTGAGGGTATAAAAATATATGGGATGTCAGATATTGGCTTTGTTTTTTAAAGAAATATCTTAGAGAAGATGAAAAAAAGAAAGCAGGTAGAGAAATATCTAGAAGAGATCAAATGGGAAAAGAGAGACTGAAGAAACATAGTGGACAAGTGAGGCCTGTCAGTCATAAGCATGTGCAGCTCTCAGGAGGGGGTTTAATATCGCATACTGAGTGTCAACAATGAAATCTTACTTAATTGGAACTAAAAATCACTGTGCTGTGAAACAATAGCAAAGATGGCTCTGAAGCGAGTAAGACCAGGGTCCAAAATGTTGATGGGCAAAAAGCTGTACACATTCCACGAACTGGCTTTCAAAATAAACTTTCTAAGAAATAGTGACTTTTTTGTCCAAAAGCACTAGACACACATACAGATACATACATCAAAAATAATATTGCTGAGGTTTCAGCGAACAGTTTCCATTGTTTCCTTAGAATAGTCTGTCCACCGAGCATCATCCTTCACCATCAACTACTCTTTTTTCCTCATGACCTTCTGCAGTCAGCCCTGTCGTGGGCCCTCCCAGACTCATATCATGATTAAGCTGCAGCTTCCGTGCCCTGCCTGACTTCAGAAGTGCCTTCCTTGAATGCATGACAGTTGCTTATCTACTTATCTGCATTCCAAAGAAGTAATGTGCTGAATGTAAGCCCTTCTTCAAACTGTCCTGGGAACTTGCAGAAGCCTTGCACAGGAATAAGCCAGGAAAACCTCACTTTTGAAAGTGGCCAAGGACAGGCTGCTGCCTGTGGCCATAACTGAATGACCCCTTTGTAAGGCAGAGCAACTAATATGGTCTCAGGATCCTGGGAGGTTTTTCCCTTCCCTTTCCCTTTCGCTTGTCTTCCCCTTGCTGGACCAGGAGCTCTGCCAGCGTTGTGTCAGTGTTATGAGTACTTGCTACAAATAACGACAAAGCTAGAATATTATACCCCTACTTACTCCAATTTACCTAAAATAGTGCTCCTCTGTTGCCAATGGACTCTGCACCATGACTCCCACCAAAAATATTTGGGGGGAAATGCCTCTAGTTAATAATTATACATATTTTTCTTGTCATTGTAAGTATTTACAAAATATGCTTTATGGAGTACACAAAAAAACACGTAAAACATAAACTAAAACATGATGGTACCGGGGTGAGATCACTTTTATACTATGACTTTATCACAGATATCTCACTTTTTCTCCTTTGTCTCCAACTATGCCCGTGATGCCTCTCAGACCTTGAGTTCCCTGGAAAAGTGAAAAGAGAGAGGGAGGTGTAAGCGATTTCAGTCGAAGCACAGACTTCTTAAAAAACTTTTGGCAAACATTGACCCAGAAGAAGCATGTCATCATAATGAAATGAGACACTGAGAAATGATGACAGCACATAGGAAACATTTCTGGCTTAAAAAGAAAAAGTCCAAATAAAATTCTAATGCTTAAAACCCTTTGGTAAAATTCTAAAGACTTGTACAACTCTATGCAAATTGAGATGGCACAATGATAGCTGGCCAAAAAATATTTAAAAAGGTAAATACAAGCAACTAAGACAATGTTTTTGACATTTTTTAATTCATGGGCAGAACCCACAATACGAATTCCACCCCCTTCAAACTCTGATAGGGATAACACTATCTTAACCCTTAAAAATAATAGCTGCCTGCTCATTGATCACCTCCCCCTGAAGGGGGAACAGCCTTACCAGGCCACAGTAGAGGACAATGCAGCCACTTTTGATGAGAACTGATAGACTAAGACCAGAAAGGAGAGGAGAACCTCCCCTATCAGTGGACTTGGGGAGGGGCATGCATGCAGAAAGGGGAGGGACGGTGGGATCAGGAGGGGAGGAAGGAGGGGCTTATGGGGGGGATACAAAATGAATAAAGTGTAATTAATTAATAAAAAATTAAAAAAAAATAATAGCTGCCTACAAATGTATACTGTCAAAGGAAGGCAGTTGCATCAGATCCACAAAAGTTTATGTGCTGGAAATACAGCCTGACTGTCCATCAACCACTTGTCACCAGTATATATTATGCTGTTCTTATGATAAGAGTGTTTTGAACTCCTATATGACATGAGTAAGAACTCATCACAAGCACAGGCATGAATAAGCCTAACCATGAGGGAACATGCTGGGTTTCAAGATCTCTTTCGGTACTGAAATGGAGCTGGTCTCACAGCAGAGGATTCTTCCATAAACGACCTGGCAAAGGGGGAACCTGGCTGTTCCGTGGAGCACAGCTGTGAGTGTATGTACCTTCCATTGGAAGGTAGCTAATTTTAGACTTGGGCCAAGTAAAGGTGCTTTCGGGTGGTTATAGTCTTCCTCTCCACACTTGGAAAAGATGGAACAGTTCCAGGACCAGCCTCCATATATCTAGTTCAGTCACAAAGTTCTCAGTATGTCAGTCAGAAGTGGTCTGAAATTCCCAAATGCAACATGAGCCAGCCTGGATTAACAATCTAGGTTTTCGAGGGAAATGTGACCTTATCAGGCTGAGCTATTCTAACATAAGTGGCACTGCAGAAATTGAAACGTATCATTCGCTTGGGTCCGCCGTTTGCTTTCAGGTTATGAAGCCCCAGAATCTACATATAATTCCACATAGAACTTTTCAGTTAAAAAAATAATACCAGAAGTCTTGAAGGTACAATGGGGACTATTTCTTGTTTTGAAAAAGTAGTGATTGCCTACTGCTGGCTGGCTGGGAGCACAGACAAGACATAGTGCCTATAATGTAATGCTATTAATCCGAGTGTCAAAAGAGATTCATTTAAAAGATTTACTTATCCTGGGTAAACACTAAAAATAAACTTACTGGAGGTCCTTGAGCTCCAACTTCTCCCAGTTCTCCTTGATCACCTTCTTCACCCTAAGGAGTGACAGAGAGAAATCACTGTAAATTTTACTATAGAAAATGAGGATAGGAACAGGCTAGGACTTGCTCAGTATACTTTAAGTGCCTCTGACATTGTTCTACTGTGTCCTGTTCAGTTATACAGGTACCCCATGTTACTTGCATGATATTCAGGAAATGCAGAAGTGCCCCAAAAGACACCCCAAACAGATTACTTAGAAGCTGCCCTTACAAAGTTTTCTAAAGAGAAGGAAGATGAGAAGGCAGAGATGAGACAAGGTTGTGTATTTAGATTGTAGGTACATGTTTCAGGGTTCATAACCACCTAATGAAAACTTCTCTGAAAAAATATTATGTTATAATTTACATTATGGATTTTCTTATCATAATTTCATACCATATACAATTTTGATGCATTCAAATCAATTCTTTCATAGGATATATATATATAATATATATATGGGTGATATATAAGGTCACTCATGGAAAGGCCATTTTACCATTAAAAATATGAGTATTCATTTATATTTCCTTTGAATCATTCCATAGCTTAATTTTTTATGAAAAATATTTATCAGTAACTTATTTTTTGGTTAAAATATCTTGGCTTTGGTGATCAGGCACTTATGTCAATGTCATGTGTTACGTGACAAATTCTCTCTAGGTAGGCTGGAAAATATGCCTCGGCCCAAAAGCTCTGTTTTCACTCTGCTCTTCTGCTGTGAGATGCCACATTACCAACATGAAAACCTGAGTTTGGGTCCCCAGGACCTACATACGAAAGCTGCTTGTGGCCTTGCACATGTCCCTACAGCCTACAGCTCCAGGGGTGGGCAGGGCAGGAGGGTCTTTGAAGCTTGCTGGCTGCTAGCTTCGTTCCAGGTTCACTGAGAAGCCTTGTGTCAAGAGGATAAGCAGAGACTGATGAAACAGGACACCCAAGTGCTCGTGTGGCCTCCACGTGTTTAAACAGGTGTGTGTGCCTATGTGCATGCACACCACAGACACATGCATACACGTGCAGACACACACACACATTTTACAACAGAGTTTGGGGGAGTTTCTTCACCGAACACCGTTTGTTTTATGTTAAACTGCATTAGAGTGCTTTATCATAGAAGTCAGTATACGCCTCTACTTAGGAAAACCTTTTTCCTTTCTATGAATAAAGTCATGTTATTTTCTTTACAGTAGGTTTGAAAACCGCTGAAGTTTGCCTAGGCAAAGTGGTTTGCCTATTGTTTTCTGCTGTCTTTGGGATCTTCTTTCATATTATATACTTGTCATTTGGACTTTTTGCTGCTTTAAAAACTCTGATATGCCTTAAAATTTGTTAGAGCGTTCTATAAAGAAACTTGCTTCCTAGGCTGAGGATACGGCCCCATGGCAGAGCACTTGTTGGGCACGCCAAAGCACTGAGTTCAAACATCCAGCATCACAAAAGAGACAGAGGAGCCCAGCTTCTGCTATTACAGAAAGCCAAAGCTATCAACTGAGAAAGCATTAAATATACCACTTTACATTTCTGTGATATAGTATCTTTCATTGTAAGATTATTCATGAGAAAAAATTCTTACGTTAGATATTAAAATCAACTCTATCATTTAATTATTGAGTTATATATTTTATTGGCTCATTTTTTCCTATAATTTTATATTATATTTAATATATATTATTTATAGACGTGTAAGATAACTTATAATTCCCATAGAGTATACCTCATGTTTACAGGGGGTTTTTTGTGTACAATAAAAATGAAGTACACCCAGAAAATTTAACAGCAGTGTTAGTAGAGAACATTTAGGCATTTAGTGCAAAAAAATTGATTGTGTTTCAATGAATTACACTTAATTTTTTTTTACATTTATTTATTCAGAGAGGCCATGTGCAAACCACGTGCATCTGCAGAGGCCAAAGAACAGCTTACAGGATTTGGTTCTCTCCTGCCGGCACAGGAATTCTGGGCATCAAACTAATGTAGGCAAGTACCTTTACCCACTGAGCTATCTCACAGGCCCTGGAATGTGATTTTTAAGTGAATTATAATAACCCTTTCTGGGTTTAGTATAATTGGCATTGCATTCTACCAGAACTTACGATGGACAGCAAAAAGAGGCAGTCCCATGCTAAAAGCTAGCTCAAAGAGCAGATAACCATTAGGTGAATACTATCAAAGATTTGCTTTTATTTAATATGTATGCGTATTTTGCCTGTAGGCCAGGAACTGCCATGTGGATGCTGGGAACTGAACCAGGGTCCTCTCTGTAAGAGCAGCGAGTGTTCTTAACTCTCTCACCATCTCTCCAGCACCGCATGAGTGTAATTAAAATGCTACTTGTTTTTCTCGCACAGCTTTCGAGTTGCTCCACAAACAGCAATGATTGATAGTACCCTGCAGATTTCCTTATCAGGGCATGGCATATTTCTCATAGATTTTTCCATAAAACTTGGAGTAATATGTTTGAATTAAACATTTCTCTTGCAGATGAAAAGCATACAACTAATCAATAATCACAAATTTTAAATGACAACTTTTGGAGAAGCTATTTATCATAATTTTACTGAAAGACTTTTGAATGGATACTGACTGAACTGTAGTAAGATGGTGCCAGACCATAGTTTTGTTATTAGGATTTCACTAGTGAGTCTTGTATTCATAGACATGTTTTTTGTTTGTCTGTTTGTTTTTCTTTTTAAATTTAATTTTATTTATATATTTATTTATTACAATTTATTCACTTTGTATCCCCACTGCAGCCCCATCCCTTGTTCCCTCCCAGTTCCACCAACTCTCCCTCTTCTCCCTCTATGCCCTTTCCCTAGTCCCCTGATAGGGGAGAACTTCCTCCCCTTCTATCTGACCCTAGCCTATCAGGTCTCATCAAGGCTGGTTGGATCATCTTCCTCTGTTTCCTGGCAAGGCTGCACACCAGCCCCCAGGAGGAGGTGATCAGAGAGCCTGACACTGAGTTCATGTCAGAGACAGCACCCGTACCCCTTACTAGGGAACCCACTTGGAAACTGAGCAGCCAATGGGCTTCCATTGAACAGAGGGTCTAGGTCCTCACCATGCATGGTCCTTAGTTGGAGTATTGGTTTCTGCAGGACCCCCTGGGCCCAGGTATTTTGGCTCTGTTGGTCTCCTTGTGGAGTCCGTATCCCCTCCAGTTCTTTCTATCACCCTCTTTTTCCATACACATGTTTTTAAATCTTCATTAGTTAATTAATAGGATACGTTCAAAGCCAGACTGTGGATCCACGTGGGAACTGGAGACCAGCAGACTCTTCTTCACCATGCTGCTGTCAGTTCAGGCTCAGTCTTTTCAGGTCTCCATCCTCAACGGCCTAGTATCATCCTACCTCTTTACACCAGTTTTGAAAGACATCACTTGAACTTGAGGGTGGTACAAAAATGTCACATGAACTAAAGGAATATTCAACATCATGCAGACATTTTCCAACTGCCTAACATGCAAAAAAATCCAAGTTTTCCACTGAAGACCAAAAAACAAATTATTTTGGGTGCCATATAGCTAATCTGTGGTCACCAGAAATAGCAGTTTGGTGGACATAGGGAGAAACACCCTGATTAACAGCTCTAGCCCTAAGTCCTGTGGGATAAAGTAGAGATGGCTTTCCAGAGGAAAGGGGTCAACAGAACAAGGAGAAATGGATCGAAGCATTGCCCACTCTCTGCTTTATTACAGAGCTCACAAACAGCTCTGGGTATAACTTAATGTGCTTGCTTGCCTGGTTTTGTGGTTAGCCAGTGTTCTCGTATATTCATATGCCATGGTTAATGTAAACAATCCCTTGTGATTGAGCATTCATTTTGCTTACTTTTGAACTTTCAGAACTTTGGATAAACCATAGCACATAGCAGGTTCTTGATAAATATTAGTTGAATTTTCAAACTTATAAATTTTAAGATTCAGTGCATGAATAGGCCTTCAAGGAAACAGGACAGTCCCTTTTTCTATTTCCCTCTAGTCTGACATCAGAAGCACAGCTATTTCATTCAGATAAATAAAATACCTTTACTATTCTCAGCCTTTGTAGTAAAAGACTTAATATAATTTGCAAATGTTAATAGGGCACAGAAAATTGGCCTATTTATCCTGATCATACAAGTAGGTTATTCAACAGACTGATTTGGGATGAGGAGTTCAAGGATGTTAATACTCAAAGATACTTTACTCAAAAAATAATAATAATAAGTTGCCTTTCCAGCTTATTACTGTGGAAGAAAAGGGCCCATATTTTACTACAACCTAGTAATGATATGAACAGACACAGTCAACAGGTTAGCAGCCCTGCACTAGTAAGAGTGGTGTGATTTTCAAAGTACTATAAAATTTACTAAGAGAAAGAATCTACTACACAGGAATTAAAATTATTAGATATGTATAAGATGAAGAAATGTCAACCAAGTCGCCTTGCTTTAAGTAAGTCTCGGCCTTGGGTGTACCAATCCCATTGCAATAAAGATTCCATAATTCTATCCGGATAATAACACAGGATGACCAACCTCCAGCCACTTCAAACCTAAGTTACAGTGAGATGAGATCAGAAATAAACAGACAAATTCGTTCAGACCGTGGGAAGAGGACTCTAAGCCAATTAGCTACCAAATCTTGTATTTTTTTTTTTCCTTTAAGACCATTTGTAAAAACTTTACAATTATTGTAAACCTTGGGGATGTAAAACAACTAGTGACATTATGTTTGACTGTCATCAGTCTCGATTTAAAAAAAAAAATTCTAAATATGATAAATTTGAAATGGAAAGAGAATGTAGTCAATTTGGGGGCAATGAGGGAAAATTCCTGGTGCTTTCTTTGTTGTTTCAATAACTGAACAGCTTAGAATACTATCCTTCAAATACACCACGCATTTCCTTGCCAAAGAAATAAAATATCATACTTTCCTATTCCTTGTAGCGAAAATAATCTCTAGCTCTCAGTCACAATTCACCCACAAAAAGCTTATTTTCCTTACCTTGTGTCCTTGTCTTCCTGGTTCACCAATTTCTCCTTTCGCCCCTTTATGGCCCTAACAAATGTGAAAATACACACGAATAAAGGAAGCTGCTCTGGGATTGAAGCCGAAAGTGGCCGGCCAGAAGGCTCATAAAGTTGTTCTGCCTCCCTAAATCTGTGTTAAAATACTATGAGAAAGATTATGTCACAAAATTCAACACACAACCTTGGTAGTTCTAATGACACAATGTACACCATGTGACTGATTTTTATGATAAGCATAAGTTTAGGTAAAAATATCCTTCTAGATCAGCAACTGCTCTGCCACCCAGCGAGGCGACAGGCTGCAGTGGTACCTGCCTTCTCTCCGGGTTTCCCCAGCTTCCTCCCCAGGCTTCGGTTAAAAGCTTTCAGTCTTCTTCAGCACAGATACCTTCGCCCTTTCAGAAGTTGACCCAACTACCCCCTTGCTCTCTTGAAATCTCTTCCTGCCTACCCTATAGCCAAGTCCTTCCTGGGGGTAGAGGAAGGGCTGGCCCACGATTAACTTCTCAGCTGTAGAGTCTCTTCCTTCCTCAGTAGGAAGTGCAAAAAGGGAAAGGCAAAAGCCCACCACACCTAGGCAGTGGTGCACCTGCGCAGTGTCTCCCAAGCAAACTGGGAGACAAAGTTCCCAAATCAGGGCGGCTGGAACTTTCACCTCTCCCTGGTCTTTTGGAAAAACAAGATTATAGCGCAGGCGTAAACCTCCTACAGGCAGAGAACCCACCAAACTGCAATTAGAGAAAACCCTATGGAAAAAATGCATGCCTTTCGCCTCCAGGCCTTCCAGATGAGAACAGAGCAGGGTCTGACATTTCTCAGAATCACTTTACACTCAAAGAACGGTGGGAAAAGCAACATATCCCCAGCATTTTTTTTTTCTGAATAGACTATTTTAAAGAATCATAATGGCAGAGTGGAAGAAAAACACCTTCAGGAAAATCTGTTCTACACAGTTCTCCTATTTTTTTTTTTTTTAACCAACGTATTCTCAAATTCACATATACACAAAGTATATATGCAGTCTCCTTCCACATCCTCAGCACTGTTTTTCTCCCCACAGAAGGCAAACGCCCGGCCCTGGATTTCATGTTCAAGTTTCCTGGCCCGGTGTACGCTGTGGGCATTTCCCTGAACTACAGACGTTCTATAGCTAAGAACGCACACCTCAGTTGGGACCCAGCAGGGACACTAGTGTACCACAGACAGAGAGCAAAGGCACACTTCACTAGTCCGTCCCAGCCGGCGGTTAAATGCTCCCCCCTTTCTCTGCATGTAACACTCCTGAAGCTCGAATAACAGAATCATTCTTACCCTCATGCCTGGTATTCCTGGATATCCAGAACGACCTGGTGGGCAGGAATTGGGGCACTGAGAGAGAAGGAGAGAGAGAGAGAGGTAAACTAGAGCACCAATTTTGTGCAAGATGAAGTTTTTTTTTTTTTTTCCAAGTGTGACAAGATGGAATGTTTTTCAAGGAGTCCAGCTATAAAACCCTCAGGCAGTAACAATCATTAAATAACTCTGAATGTTTCTTTCCTTTGTTTTTGTTAAAAATACGGAAAGTTTCAGAGAATTCAATAGATACCCTGCCATGTGCTCATCGTCTGCATGTTACATGTTAATATTTTATCATATTTATTCCTGATTTAATAAAAGAAATACAATTCTGAGGACAGTGGGTTGTACCATGGCCTTGTCTGGTTTCTTCCTTCTCCATTGAAGTAGCCCCATCCTGAGGTCTCAGCCTTTTCACCATGTGGTCAAAATCACACCTGCGCAGTTTACAACTGTCATCTGACTGCTTTCATCATAGCGCCTCCAAAAACTGCCATCCTGAAAAATCAGACCTCAGGGAAGAAGCCAAAGGCAGAAAAAAAAATCCTTCTCTAGTGGAAAAACTAGCATAACCCGAGATTAAATAAGCAGGTCCACAAGCCCGCCATGAGTTGCAGTCTGAGTTAAAAAAAAAAAAAAACATGGAAGTCTGGTATATTCCAGGCAGATTATTTCAAAGACAGCTCATCTGAAGACTATGTGGCCTTTAAATTAGAGCATAATAGTTCTGATTATGTTCTCATTTAAACCCCTTGTTTTCTACTGATATATGCTGATAGGAAAGAATTACAAAGCAGATTATATTAAAAGGAAAAATCTTACCAATGGGTCTCCATCATGAAATCCAATTGTTCCCTAAAGTAAGTAAAACACTAAAGTTAACAATAAAAATAGAAACACACGCCTTTAGTCCCAGCACTCAAGGAGGCAGAGGCAGGTGGATTGCTCTGAGTTAGAGGCCAGCCTGGTCTACAAAGTGAGTCCAGGCCAGCCAAGGCTATACAGAGAAACCCTGTCTCAAAAAACAAAGAAAGGAAAAAAAGACTAAAACTAGATACTTTAACTTACAGATAATATAAATTTCAATGTTCAAAAATATAATAACTCTGTTAGTTTTATAATATACAAGGAAAAAAATAGAAATACATGTTAATGTTCGAAGACTTGATTGACAGGTGATACCTTTAAAAATCCCTAAACTATAGCTGGCTCTTTTTTTTTTAATAATTTTTTATTTAAATTTTTCTTAATTACACTTTGTTCACTGTGTACCTCCCCGAGCTGGCTATCTTATTGCAGAGATCAAATGCCTGACAAGATGGACAAAGTAGAAAACTCTGACACATAATGAAAACACAGAGTACCACATTTATTTCTACCATTTAAAGAACTTAGCAAGAGCTAATTTATCTGAAACTGCTTCTTCTGCCTGTCACTTCTGAGCACTTAAGAAATCACAACTATTAAAATGCTGCGATCAAATAAAATGTCTTCTGGGAAAACCACCTTTTAGGTTATTGTAGTTCCTCTACTCTTCTGATTCTAAAATGACCCAGGCTTTGAGTGGATGAAAAGGGAGAGAGGGAGAGAGAGAGACAGAGAAAGAGAGAAAGGAAACGAACAGTTGTTGGAGGGTGGCCTGATGTGTGTTACTGGCCCTCAAGACCTGGTTAAACTTACCCTTGTTTTGTAAACCTGCCTAGGACATTGGTTGATTAAACGGCCCACACCTGGGCAGGACAGAATGGGGTAGATGTGGCTAAAGTTTCCAGGCTTGGAGGGTTCGGGAGAATCACAGGAGACATATGGGAAGAGAGGAGGAAGGAGGATGCCATGATAGGTTAGTGTGGTGGAAAAGAAACACACACACACACACACACACACACACACACACACACACGGGCTCAGAGTAAGGACTCCAATAATGGCATTATGGATGGAAGGTAAACCAGATGAAGAAATTAAGATGGATGGCATTGGATGGGGCCTGGGAGATAGATGGTGAGGTTTTTGCACCAGCGTAGGTAAAATATCTGCCCTGCCCAAGGGAAATAAGGCAATAATAAAATTTAACAGGTGTCTATGTCTTGTTATTTGTGATAACAAGTTAAATAATACCACCATGATAACCTTAGGTATAATAATAAACTATATATCGCCCAACATTCTTTTATATTTATAACAATAAACAGTAGCAATTTTGGAAGTGTAAAACAATGATTTAACTAATAGACACTTCCATATTTGTTTCTGTGATTTCTTCACTCCCCACCCTCAGATGCAAAAGAAACTTAAGCTGAAAAACACTTACACTAGGTCCTGGGGGTCCAGGAGGGCCGGGTGGTCCTCTTTTCCCAGGGTCACCCTAAGTCATTTCAAAATAGAGACACAGTAGTTACACAAGGTTCAGAACATAGTACATAAAACCAAGGAGTCATGAGAGAATGGCATTACTAGAAAGTCTAGCACAGCTCAGACTGGCATAAACCTACCACCAAATTACACCTAACTACACCAGTTAGCTGAACAGCACCAGACAAGTAAAGAAATTCTCCCCAGGGTAAAAAACAAAGCAAAGAAGACACATGGGAAGACACAAAACCAATTATCCACAGGATGATCATTGATGGACCCATCAATGTACCCACTTGAAACACAAGCCAAAAACCGAATGTATTGTTCCGGTTGGTCTATAGATGAACCTCAGTGGCCAGAATTACTAGCGTCATCCAGACAATTAAAGCAAAAGAAAGCTCGTGCCCAGGCAGGGAAAGAGAGTGGAGAATCCAGCTCTGCAAGGCCGTGTCCTGCTTCTGCTGTCCACCTAGCCTGATCTGACACTGAACTCTTGGAATGGGCAGTAAAGCAAATAAGCTAAATTCAAAGATGAAAACGGGTTCAAATTACTCTGTACATCCAATTTTACTGTTGGCACATTTTCCTTCCTAATAGTCTACATAGAAAGTCAGAAGCTTCATAATTCTTTTAAATATGCAATCATTTGTATTCATTTATTTGTAAGATATATATATATAATATATATATATATACACATATATCTTTGTGAACAAAAACATATACAGAGCAAGAAAGATACCTGCTGTCTGACCCCTTTCCTCAGTGAGCTCACAATCTTCCTATCATAACATCAATGCTTCAAGATTTTTAAATGTTTACAGAATATCACACGAACACTTTTTATCAACAGTTTTCTCAGTCAAGTTCGGTTGCTTCCTCTGTTTAATTAGAATTAAATTCTGATGATACTGTAATGCTTCTGCTATAAACGTGATATCTATGTGCTAATATTTAATTTCATATGGATAGTTTAACACATAAAGCCACCTGATCCCAGTTCTAGATAAGATTGTAATAACTGGCTGTCACTCCCTAATTTGCAGCTCAGTCTGGAAGTTAGAAAGAAATGCTTTGCTGGAAGAGAATTCATCTACTCTTTCCGGAACTTCAGGAGAAGGTGTACGGTGGGTTCATCTGCCTTCTTCGCCAGCACCTCCTTTCAAATTAGCAAATGTCAATCAAAATGCACCATGATACTCACAATGGGTCCTACACGGCCAAGTTCTCCAGGAAGTCCTGTGGTCCCAGGAGGACCCTGAAGTCAATGAATCAAAGGGACAATATGATTTATGGATATCTTTACAGTCTGTCATAAATGCTATCAAAGATGATAAAACACAGACTTAGGATTGTTCATCCTTGCCAGAGTTGGCTTGCAGTGAGACAATAATTCATTTAACAAAACTTTAATTATTTAATAGGAAACAGAAATTTCCTGCATTGGTAATTTTCCTAATTGGTATATTTGTTTGGCAGATTGAGGGTGTTGTCATTAGGGACTTGTCTTATATATAACATCATACAGACAAATCTATAAGCCCCACTGGTTAGAGTAATGGTGCAGGGTCAGGTCAGGCTATTGGAAATAGAAGATTTTCTAGACTGTGCAAAAATAAACAACGAAGTGATACATACGGGGGGTCCTGGAATCCCACGGCCCTAAAAGATCAAAATAAAAACATTTACGGCTTGTGGTTTAAACGTCATATAAACATAGACACAGACACGGCTCAGTTCTCGAGAAGCTGATCCCCTCCCACTGAACAGATAAGTGATGCTCACTGGCAGGAAAACCCTGGATGGTGGAAGCAGACAACACTGCCTCAGATGAAGCCAGATGCTTGTTTCTGCCCTTCAAGCCTTCCTTTGATTCCATGCTGACTAATACTGTTTTGCTAAGGATTTTTAAAAGAAAGTCAAAGAAGCCATGTATGTTCTCCCTCACTCATATTAGAGAAGAAGCCATTGATGTTCACCCTGACTCATGGAGAGGCACATCACAACCAAATAGTTTAAAGATTTTTTTCAGCTGTATATATAAAAAAAAAATCTACATTAAAGATAACACAGCTTTATGGGTTGCAATAAATGATTTTTAGGCATTCCTCAAACAAGCTGTAGGCACAGAGAGGCAAAGGAGTAAAATGTTTTTGGTTTGGTTTGGTTTGGTTTTCAGAAATATATCCCCTTGGACCCTGCAGATGTGACTCTGTGTCAAGAATGCTTACTGCTCTTACAAAGGACCTGAGTTCTATTCCCAGCACCGGCATCAAGCGGCACCTGCAATTCCAATTCCAGGGAATCCAGTGCCTCTGGCCCCCAGGGGGACTTCAGTGTACACAGTACACACAGACTCGTGCCATTAAAAAACAAATTGCTAAGATAAATCTACCCCCTTTTAAAAAGTGTGGCTATATTCCCACACACTAAGCATAACAGATATTGAAATTAAGTTGGTCTAACACCTGACATAACGTACAATAGGATCTTAATGGAATGTTCTATTTGGTTTTAAAGCTCGTCAATTCATCTCCGTTTCCTGTGTCCGTCATATCCCTTTATTCACACCAGACTATCCACAGTCACAGGTTGAGGCCACGTCTTGCTTATCCACCCTATCCTAAGTCCCGAAACAGAGCCTAGTGTGCAACAAACTCCAGCAAGCAGGGAAACGGGTGCAAATGGAGATAACTGTGCTAAAGCAAATTAAATCATCTCTGAAAAACAAATATCACATTTTGTTTTGCTTTGTTAAGTTGTGAATCCTATATTTTATATAGCTCAGTGAATCATATTTGTAGACACGATGTAAAAGCAGAAGTGAAACTGAGGGGTGGTGGTGCACACCTGTAATCCCAGCACTCAGTGAGGCAGAGGCGGGCAGATCTCTATGAGTCTGAGGCCAGCCTGGTCTAAAAAGTGAGTCCAGGACAGCCACAGCCTCACAGAGAAACTTTGTCTCAAAAAGCAAAAAACCTTCTACACCCAAAGAAGCCAAAGATTAACAAACACTAAGCTTCCCTGTTGAGCAATGCCAGGATAAGGCTGGTGATAGCTCATAGCTCATCTGTTGAGCTTTTATCAGATACACAACTCACGTCATCAGTGGCATGGTACATTGCAAAGATTTAGAACCACCAGCCACAGCTAGGTGCTGTGACTCACACCTGCAAGCCCAACGGTCATGAGACTGAGGCAGAAGGATCCTCATGGGACTGAAGCCATCCTGGACTACGTGGTGAGCTCCAGGCCAGCCTGAGCTACAGGGTAAGACTCTTTCTATCTCAAAATTAAATTACATTAAGAAATCTCACCTGATGTGTACATGTATTTTCACCATACATTCAAATGTTTCTATAGGTATGCTTACCATGCCGGATGAGTCATAAACCCTTTATCATGTGTTTGATGTAGAAAACAGCATTACATTTTTCATCCCAATGGCAGGATTTTACCTAACAATAGATTTTCAGCTTTGTTGCTTCACTGCTTGTAATACTTACTGGGAATCCACGAGACCCAGGCACACCAGGTTCTCCCTAAAAATGAAAAATATATATATAGCTTCACTGTACTTATCTCTTTGTAGCACGAATATGAATACATTCAAATTGGATAGATACCAAAATCTTTAATACAGTTCAGGTTTCAGTTGGTTTGCAAACCTTCTTTTGAGGTGTTTTTGTTGGCATTTGAGGACACTGTATAATTAACACCAGGTGGCTAACTTACTTTCTGTCCCCTAGGTCCAACGGAGCCAGGGGATCCATCAGGTCCTGTTAATCCCTAATGAAGCAAGAACATGGTGTCAGCGCTATCATAACAGCCCTAGGAAGACCACCGGACAGAAAGTTTTTACTTTACTAGCTATCTCTAGATTGGTTATGCACGGATAAAGCAAGTATTTAGAAAATAACACTTTCTAATATAGCCTTACTTTAAAACATTTACCATGAGATCTGCTTTTGACTTCTCATCTGTTGAAAATTTTTACAGTTTGGTAACTGCGCGGTTACAGGTTCAATAACTTCAAGGGGATTTTAAAACTCTGCTTTGAGAAAATACAAATAACTACAGTTGATTCTGCCCTTTTGCCAGATTTATATATCTACTTTATTTCACCTACGAAATAATAATGCTGTATGTATTTCTAGATGTGGGACAATAATGTCTTAAAAGCTAACGAAACAGTTTCTTAATATGAATTAAAGACAAATACTTTTAAATCCTCTAGCCATCTTCCAGGCATTCAATAACATAGTGAAGAATATTAACTTTTAAGTTAAAAAAAAAAAAGAAACTTGAAGGCGTGCATTTTTGCCAATAAAAACAATGTATGCCACCTGCTAGGTACAGCTTGTGCCTCATACATACGTCTAGCCACCATAGCACACGTGACAATGTATTACACATTTTTATTGTTTTTATTAACACTTATTTGTCCTCTTCTTCAATAAAAAGTAAGTATGGAACCAGGATAATGCAGCCTGCATGTCACAGTTTCCATATTTGACAGATGAATTTTGGTTTTTATTTTATAATTTTTTTCCTTGTAATTCATCATTTTCAGTTGTTGTCTTGGTAACATAATGTTTAAATTCTATTTTCCTGAAAGTGAAATATGTGTGCACATATGTGCATGGATTTCAATGCACATGAATGTAAATGTCTTATAGAGTCTCTATTGTCCAGATGTGAAAAACACTTGGACAACACTGAGTCAGAGGCCTCTTAAAACTATGGAAACCCTGTGTAAACCAGATTGCCGAAGTTCATGTCATAAATATCAAATGGATGCTTTTGGGCAATCAGATAGAATTTGTGGTCTATCATTTTCACATTTTTATTTTATTTTTACTTGTGTGGGATGTGTGTGTGTGTGTGTGTGTGTGTGTGTGTGTGTGTGTGTGTGTATGTACATGTGAGTGCAGGTCCCCAAGGAGGCCAAGAGAGGCCAGCAGCTCCTTTGGAACTAGAGTGAGGATGACTGTGAGCTGTCCAACACGAATGTTGAGACCCGAACTCTGGCCCTCGGCAGAAACAGTGAGATTTTAACTGATGAGCTATCTCTCCAGCCCTGACATTTTTACTTTTTTTTTTTTTCCTTACAAAGTCCTGTAGCAATTCCAGTATGGTAAACCAAAGAAATTAGAAGGAAAAAATTAGAAAATGTTAATTATTAGAAATTTATCACCAACAAAAAATATTAAACATGTTTAAGAGTTCAGTTTTCATTTCCCTAGCCAAATTATAAAACTAAGATATATGAACAAGAGCTATGACATAATTAATTGCTGAATGCTAATAGCAATAAACCATTTGCTTTCCCAGATTTAGCAAAGAAACCACACATCCAGGAGTACTCTCTTGATGTATGTCTTATACATACATTTTTTTAAAAAAAAACCTTGGGACATGGATCCCCTAAGACCCACTTCATGTATACACCTTCAAAGACAAAAATCATGGTCAGTTTTCACACACCAAGTCAACTAGCCTTCTTCAGTTTGTGACTGGACTCACTGAGACAGCAGAGGATAATAACCACTGTTATGTAATACACGGAAGCACAGTCAAGTAACTATCACATAACCTGAAGGCTGTGTCAAATCACTCACATCTACAATATCTTTCGAAAGAGCTTAGCAAGTATGTCAACTGTTGGAAAGTTCTTCAAATTAAGTGGAAAGAGGATTTGGCCTTGGGTGTTGCAGTGAAGTCCGTCATGAAATAACTATGGGGAAAAGTGTGATCTTGCCAGGTGCAATGGTTCATGACTAACGTCATCACCCAGGAGGCTGAGGCAAGAGAGCTGCTAGCTCAAAGCCGGTCTGGGTGAGCTACATTCAAGTTGCTTTACTGCTGTAAAGCAAGTGTCTCAGGGGACAGAAAGGAAGGGGGAAAATATGAGAAACGGGAAGAGGGGAAAGGGGGAGAAGGAGGGAGAAAAAGAGAGGAGGAGAGGAGATAAAAGGAAAGAGAGAAGGAGAAAGTGATCCACGCTCAACAGAATGCTAGGACATGTCCCTGACATCTAACACACTCAACACGTGATGAATGAACAGGTTAGACTGAGGTTCAGCTTTTGGGTAGAAGGGTATTACACGGGTCCCTCTACACCCTCTGTAATGATTTGACTTAGACCCTGACCCTACCTGCTATTGTTTGTTTGTTGCTTAACTGCACAGTGTTCTAATGTTATTCTTCATTTAGAAAAGCCCAGACAAACAATCCAAAGCTGGAAATTAACCACAGCGTGACACTTCTTTGCCTTCTCGGCTTCCTTCAATGCCTGACCATTTTCACAGACACTGACCTTTCAAAATAATGTCTTAACCAACTATGCCTGTTGTAAACATTTCTCAGGGGTGTAGGTTATATTCATCTTGTCATGCCTGGATGACATCACATAATCTAACTACAATCCCCATACACAATTACACTTCTTTCTGTCTTATTTGGATCCTGTAAGAATAAAATACGGTTTACAGAGCTTTCTGACTACAATGAAAAGCACGTACAACAATATCTCTTGATTATTATCCATAATAGTAACATAGTTGTCCTTTGGGTATAAGTAGGCTCTGGCATCTGTATTCTATATGACCACAAAACAAAAAAAGACTCAACTTCAATGGGTGAGGAGAGGGACTGGAAAAATGTGAACACACACACGCAGCAGGCACAATTTTCAAAACCCAATTTGCAATAAAATCCTCTAAATCTAATTTCAAAGAAATTACGGAGGAAAATCTCTCCAATGGCAGGGAGAATTGCCTTCGTGTGGGTGATTATGCAGACAGAGCTCCATATAGAATCATCTCGGAGCTGTGCTGTGAGCCTTCACAGTGCTAGTTGTCAGGAAATACCTGTCCTCAGCATCCTGTTTCTTGTCTCCTTCCAGGATCCAGCACCTCAGCTGGTGACAAGGCATACAGCCTAGCAGTGATGACAAACCTACCAAAAATCCACTGCACATGGGAAATGCAGTCCCTCTCTTGGATTCTGACAAACATCATACAGCAGTCATTTTTAAAAAAACATTCCCCCCCAAAAAAAGCAAGTCTCACAGTGAAACAAAGAGCAGAAGACGAAGAGATTGGAGATCAAGGTCCCTGAGTTCACTGTCAAAACAGTTCTTCCAAAGTTTTCCTACATGTTTTATTCCCCAGAGGCTGGATAGAGTTGTTGGTATATTCTCAAAGAGTCACAAAATGTCCTTTCTCAATTAGAGTAAGACTTTAGCATCAACTCGATGAGAGTCGGGTAAGAAAACTTCCCAGTTGCAGACGTCATGAGTGGCTCTGATTCAAAGGTCGGTGGGTATGAAACATTAGAGTTCTAGCCAGCAATCATAGAGTGTCAGTTGTAAATGATTTTCAGCACATATATGCACTCTTCTTAGTTGGTACCTTGGGGAACTAAAAAATCCGCTACCGCTCTTTTCCTCTATTCTTTCCAGCCACTCCTCTATTAAGAAGATGAGATCCAGTACATTCGGGGTGGTATGACTGTAGCTGTATTAAGAACCTCATTTCATTTGTATCTCCTGGAGGTAGACCTGAGTTGCCTAAAATGAATTCAATAAATATAAAAGTCTTTGTTGTCTTAGCAGCTACATAACTCTGGGTCTCTGAGGAAAGTATTTATTCTTATAATTTTTCATTTTCCTTTTTATGAGAAAATAACATCTACTTTCTAGGTTATGGTAAAGCCAAAGGGAATAATATTTGTGACAGTGCTTGAGGAAAATACTCCAAGCATATGAAAATGCCACAGCTAAATTCTCTCAGCTGAAAGGAAAACCTAAAACACTGGCACGTGCATGGGTTTTCTACCTTTTCCCTCTCCCCCGCCAGCCTCTTCCCTTAGTCCACTGAAAGGGGGAGTTCTCCTCTGCCATCTGCCATAGCTTATCAAGTCTCATCAGGACTGCCTGTGACCCTCTTCCTCTGTGACCTGGTAAGGCCGCATCGCCAGGGCAAGTGATCAAAGAGCAGGCAATCTAGTTCATGACAGAGGCAGGCCCTGCTCCCCTTACTTGGGAACCTACATGGAGACTGAGTTGCCTTTCTTCTTCCATCCTGGGTTTCTACTTATGGACCATTTCTGGGTCAAAGGTGATTATCTAAGAAACTTGTACAGTTTTTGATATTGCAAATGTCTTTTTCGCACTGTGGGACTATAATATAGTCAAAGAAATATGTGTAGTTGTTTTTCTGTTTTTTCTACTACAAAATTCAGAGCACATTCACTTATTTATACAAATGGGAAAATAACTTTAAAAAAAAAAAGAAACCATTCATGGAGATAACCTGGACCCCCTGCACAGAGGAGCCCGTGGCAGCTCAGTCTCCAAATGGGCTCCCTAATAAGGGGAACAGGGGCTGTCTCTGAACTCAGTGGCTGGCTCTTTGATCACTTCCACCTGAGGGGGAAGCAGCCTGACCATGCCACAGAGGAAGACAATGCAGACAGTCCTGATGAGACCTGATAGGCTAGGGCCAGATGGAAGGGGAGGAGGTCCTCCTCTATCAGTGGACTGGAGAAGGGGCATGGGAGGAGCTGAGGAGGGGAGGGTGGGATTGGAAGGGGATGAGGGTGGGGCTACAGCTAGGATAAAAAGTGAATAAATTGTAATAAATAAAAAATTATATTAAAAAAGAAAAGGATTGCCTATGATTTGAGATTTAAAAAAAACCTGTTAAGCAAGTTATAAAAGCCCCATTAAACTGAGGAACTAGCAGGGCATGATGGCACATGCGTAGAATTCTAGCACTTTGAGGCAGGATTTTGAGTTCCAGGCCAGGCTGGACTACACAGCAAGATCTTAGATACATAAACAAACAGACAGGCTGGAGGACAGTTAAGTCCAGCTTTCTGTCTAACATAAAGTTAAAGCTTAACAGGAAGGCAAGATTTTAGACGAATGGCTTATGTTTCAACTATAATTTTTAAAATTCAATCAGAAACTTTCTTTTCCTCCAAAACGAAAGGCAAGTAGAAGTTTCAAAGAAAAGTAGAGAGAGAGTCAACTTATATTAGTAGCTTAGCTAGCGGCCTGGTATTTATCAGACATTCTTCCTACGACCTGACAATTTCAAATACTTCAATTTCAAAGAGCCTGGTAGCCAATAAATCACGTAATCTCATTTGCAGTATCCCAACATGAGTTGACACTACCCACACATCAATCCACAGGTGCTCATGTATTGCCATTTGAAATACACACACAAAAGAAAAAAGAAATCAAACCAGACGCTTTGAATTGTAAAACAAAGTGTGTCTCCTGAAACACTAAATAATACTGAAATATACACATTCACCGAGTTAATAGAAACAGAAAAGGCATGTCTGAAGTAGAAGCGAAAATCATCCGATTTGTTTTCTCAGAACAATGGAGCTTTCTTAAACACTAACAAATATTCCTGGAAATAATAGGTGTAGGCTTGGGGGTGCTTTCTTTCTTTTAGAAAAGCCTTTAGGTTTTGTAAGACAAATAAGGAATGCTTGATTGTGGAAAGGTGACTTGAGGAACTCTATAAAACAAATGCCATCTCTTCTCGACCCAGAGACAAATATCAGCTCATGCTGAAGGGCTAAACCAGCTGTGGGTACTGTGCACAGAGGCAGGAGATGCTGAGAAAGCCGAAGCTACTTCCCTCTGAAGAAACATTATTTACCATACAGCTGGGCATCTGGACGTCTTCCCAAACTGAGTTTTGACTTCTCGTTTGTGTGTGCTGAGCATCTCCTGTCCCTACTATCTCCATACACACTCACTTTGAGCAAACTCTCTTTTCTTTTTCTATTACTGGGAGCTGAGATACCTCCTGTCCTTTCCTTTACCCGCTCCGTTTTCAGGTGTCTTCTTCTAAATTTTTATTGGTTTTCTTATTTTCTGTACCTGAGCAGTGTTCCCAGGGACCAGAAGAGGGCCTCAGACCCCCTGTGATGGTTGTGAGCTGTCATGTGGGTGCTGGGGATAGGGCCCTGGTCCTCTGGAAGAGCAGCGCCTCCGATGATTAATCCAGAGAGTGCCCGGGGAAAGTGAAGCATCCTTACTGTGAGACCTAACTTTCCACCAACTAGCACCCACATGCCTGCTATAGGGTGAACAGAGTGCCTGGAGTCCATGACATCAGCCTTCACATGACATTTTGCAGGGTTCCACAGCATGCCCTCCCCTACTCTCTCATGCAAGTGCTCTGTCTACTCACATCAGCGCCTGGTATGCCTGGCTTGCCCGGTGCTCCTGGCTTGCCCGGTTCCCCAGGAGGTCCCTGAGCAGGAAGAAGGAGGAAATGAAGCCAGGCTGAGACTCTTCAAACACACACGTCTACAAAACACATCTAAGGAAGGAAGTGAGGCATCATGTCGCCAATCAACTTACCGGAGGGCCGGGGGGACCCTTTGGACCTCGGTCTCCCTGTAGACATAGAGAAAAGGATGAACACAAGGATGAGTGAGAGTAGCTGGGGTCCCACGGGAGAGTCTCAGGCATGCACGCCACAAAGATATGGGCGGAAGCCGGGGTGCGGGCCCAAGGACGGACGTTCAGACCCCCAAAGCCAACAGATACAGGACTAGCCTTTTCTCTAACAATCTCCAGGCTACAGTATCAAACCTGGAACTTTCCCACCGTTTAGTCTTAGCTCTATGAGAGTGACAAGAAGGGGCCATCTGGCCCTTTCTAACAGCTCCAAAACTGGAGAAGTATGAGAAAAGGCTGGGTTGGAGAACAAGGAAAAGGCACACTTACATCGATGCCATCTATGCCTGGAACTCCAGGAGGTCCCGGAGGCCCTGGAGGTCCCTGCTCGCCCGGGGGTCCTCTCTGCCAAAAACAATGTACAGAGGTTAGTGGAGGACAATGTCTACCCAGAAGAACTAAGCAGGGTCCTTATTTCCTACCACCACCACCATCACACACACACACACACACACACACACACACACACACACACACACACCGGCAAGGAGGCCCCTCTGTGTTGGATAAGTTTTTGAACCAAAATACAGCATGTTTCCACCTTGTACGAGGTAAACTGTGCAAGGTGGAATAAAATTGACGTCTTCAAATAGAAGCAGGGTTTGCTGGGCCTCGCCTTCTCGGAATGCATTAAAAAGAAGAGAACTGCGAAGAAGGGAGCTGTCTAATGTCCACCTTGCGTCCACAGGAATTAAGAAATGAATGCGGGGTCATTTGATACCTCCACTGCAGATCAAATTGAGCAAGCAAGACTGGAGCAGACCCAGGATAAACAGTTACTTTACCACTGCAAACCTTTCTTTGTCCAGTAGACTGGGAAGGGGGGGGGGAGATTTTTAGGGTGGAGGGGTGTGGGGTGAAAGAGCCTTGAACTGGGGAGCCTGACCTCATTTCACTTCCATCAGCAGTGACATTCCCTGACAAGAGGTCTTTGCACCTCGCTTCAAAAGCTACACAAATTTCCGACAGACCCTTAGCTTGTGAGACCTAGTGTCACTTGCAGACAGCTGTTTTGACAGGTCTACAGGGAATACTGGCGTCTGAAACAGTATAAATGTGTTGCTTTAGGGAACTTTTTTCTTTTTTTCCTCTCGGCTTCTAGAGGGAGTGGGGGAGATGGGGAAGGGAGAGAAGGAGAGAAAAGAAGGCCGTTTTCATCAAGAAAGACTTTGTTTTCCTGAACTCCAAGGACCAGACAGGTTACAATGGGGTCTCTGTAAGTGAAACCTCAAACCTCCACCAG